TGGTTGAAGCTTATACAGGTGAGAAAGGGAGGTAGTTCTAATGATTCAATAGCCATAGATGTAGGATGTGATGTTGATTGTACCTACCCCCTGTCCTAATGCCAGCAGACGTATAGAGTCCAAGTGAAACTCATACAGGTAAGAAAGGGAGTAATTTCTGTTGATCCAACGAGAAGTTATGGGTCCATAGGGCCACAGAATCAGGCTGGTCGCCCCCTCCTACTCCAGGAAACTCAGATAGCCTTGGAGAAATTTACACAGGCAAGGAAGGGAGGGAAGGCATATGATCCAACAGCACAAATCCACCGCATTGGACTGCCATGTAGGTAGCACATACCCTAGGTATCTTATCCCGGTAATCCAACACTCCTCCCAGATGCTTATTCCACAATGTTTATTCATTATTTCTTTTGAATGGTACGTGACAGAGTGCAGTACAGTGGAAGTCCCTTCACCAGACGACTGCGATGTTGACGTGGGCAGTGCTGATGACGCCGACGAAGCCGTGGATGCAGCAGAGTTCTTTGGACCGGACGCGACACCACCTACCACATCTACTACAACTTCATCTTCTACCGCCGTCCCAGCAACAGGAGCTGCCAAACCTCAGGTAGAGACATAAACAATATCAGGAGGGCATTTCACAAAGCATTTTTTCAATGACAAATGACAAAAATCAGTGACAAATCTGCTGATAACCAATCAGAAGCAAGGAGATCAGTAGCTTATAACAAAAACTCATTTGTCACTGATGACAAGTTTTGTGAAACGCCCCCCTGGTGGCAGGTCACATGAATCATTGCATGCCACATATTAAGCCATTGCCTCCTGGTGGTCCCTGTATGAAGCCTATGAGAATAAGATACAGTAATTCACTAGTCAATGGGTTCAGACTCCAGGGGGATGTTTCACAAAGATCCTAAGCCGAACTTAGCTCTAAGTTGGACTTAAATATTATGGAGAGCCATTTGTAGCCTTAAAATAAAATAACTAAAATATATTAAAAAGCAAAAATTCAAGTATTTTAAACTTTCCATAAATTCCACATGAAATCTCCTTAATAACAGAAAATATGAATGATTTGAATCAACATTTTATGCCTTTTAAAATAACTTTTACAAAATATTTTCAAAGATGCTAACGGTTTTTCATAATTGTTAAGTCCAACTTAGAGATAAGTTCAACTTAGGATCTTTGTGAAACACCTCCCTGATCTCTGATTGGACAAAACCGCAGGCCATAAAATGGCTATTGACACCTGGTACATGTGCATGACAACCTCAGGGGAATAGTATCAAAATATTGCTCGGAAATTTATTCTTATTTTTGTTTGTGCCTAAGCAAAGCAAGGACCTGGAGAATGTCTGTTCGGTGACAATCATTCCACATTTTGTGGTCTGGCTCAATAACTTCTGAATCAGAGCCCTATCAAATATGCAAGGTACATGAGTGGAAAGGGCAAAATTTCCTGCACACACTGCGTCCATTTTTGTTTTATGACTGTATTGCATTTGATGCTAGGAATTTTTTAAACGAAAATATGCTCTCAACTACGCAAATTGGCAACACTTACTGAGATTCAAATCATTGTTTTTCAATCAAACTCAGAAATAGTTCAACTTTTTCACAACATTCTTTGCAAATTTGTCTTGTTTTCAGAGACATTACATTACATTTTAAAGAGGTAGCAATGAGAGAAAAAATTATCGTTGCCAATTTGAAGAAGAATATGTGATCGATTTTGCCTAAAGATAAATCCTGTCCTGAAAGGGTTGATTTCATTAATTTCCAACAATGCTAATAATAATAATTCTGCTTTTATAAAGCGCCGAATACATCTATGAGGTCTCTAAGTGCTTTACAGATATACTATTACCCCGGTCATTGGATTCAATACTTGCCCGCACAGAATCTCCACTCCCTGGGGAGTATTCCAGCCAGGCATTACTGTCTGCTCAAAACTGTTTGACCTAACAATGATGGTCACAATGTTATATCCCATAGGATTCTCCGCAGCATGCCAGCCTCGGTTCCAGCCCTCGATCACCATCATCAGTCACGTCTCCTTCCAAGCGTTCCAATCCGTTCCTGACGAACCCCGACCCGACCCTGCCCCCGCCCGATGAGGATACCGTCTTTGAGTTCGCCAGCGATGATAGCAGCCTCAAGATCAGCAGTGAATCCGTCAAGGAGCCACAGAAACGTGAGAATTTCGCTCTTAAGTACCACTTCAAAAACGGACTGAATACAAAATCTTAACGCTTATCTTTAAGGCACTCCACAATACTGCACCCGAGTACCTGAAAGATCTCCACACCACAAAGCAATCCCATTACTCTGTTCTTCTGCCTCTACCATCCTAGAAGTCCCCAGAACCCGAACCACCCATTATGGGGACCGTGCATTTGTGCATGTTGCACCAGTCCTCTGGAACAAGCTGCCTAGAAACCTTTTAGAAACCTCTTAAAACAATTTTAATTAATCAGAGTTACTAATGATATTATGTTGTTAAAATTCTGGAGAGAGATTTGTGTATTTTGTTTTGTATAGCGCCTTGAGTAAGTTATTAGATAGGTGCACCTTATAAGTATTTATTACTGTTATTATTATTATTAATAATTCTCTTTTAACTGTTTGCCCTTGATCCTGTTGGAGGATTCTGAAACTTCACAGCTTACATCGATTCTAGCTGACATGAAAAATCAAACCTTTTTCAATTGCTTCCAAGCAGTATCGCTATCAATCTGATGGCAGGTCCAGAATTCAAATCTTTTCAAAAAATTAGATAATCCATAATTTTTACCAAATTTGCTCTCTGCCGATCAAATGCCACGATTTCAGTAGCTTATAACTTTGATTTTTAATGACAAGTTGTATAAAACAAGGCATTCTAAACTTTTTCTAAATTTTGATTGCATAATCCATGTTTTTCACCGACAGCTGTAGAGGGTTACCAGTTTTACCTCAAGAAATGGCAGCTGGAGAAGGAGGCAGAGGAAAGAAGAAAGAGCTTCAAACATCTACCTCGCATGAATCAGGTGAGAAAAGAACATCAATTTGATTTAATTTAGATTCTTTCTTTTTCCCTTGAGGTAAAGTATTTATTCAAATTTTCTCAAAGCATAACACAATATATAAACATACAAAATGATTGATACACTTATTTGACAAAGAAAGGTACAATGAAAACAAGATTCTAGTATTTAGATTACAGTTGAATGTGCCTCCTGCTGTCAAAAAATAAAATAAACCGTTGCCAATGGTTTGTTGTTCAACTTCATATTTATATTTAAATTTCTTTTGAAAACATGGAAATGATAAAAAATCCCTTCACAAGCATCTACCAGTAGTTGAAAATATATAATATTTTGCATACAAAATAATGTAATTAAAAGAGGAATAATTTCCATCTTGGATGCCAAAGATGAAGTCATTCCGTCTTCACTTTTAGATTCTTTATGGAGAGTAAAGCTAATAAGTGTCATAGATCATAAATGTTACATAAAGATACAAAGTTCCTTGAATTCTTTAATGCCTTAATCGTGGCTTAGCTACAGACAGGGTAATGATAACATATTGTGTAGTAAGCGCCGTAGAGTATATTCATATGGCTGCACTATATGAATGGACCTATTATCATTAAAGATAATCTTGAGTTCTGCACGGTAAATATAGTAAATAAATAATCACAGAATACAACAAATTTTACACTGAATGTTCAAGATTACAAATAAATGACATTTAATTTTGGTAGAAAGTGTATTGTGGCTAAGGAAATCCGGGTAAATAAGCCTGACACTATGTGCTTTACACAGGTCACTATGTGCAAATGGGAGTTGTGGTTTTTATGGAAGATGATGCCCAGCAAGTTTTTAATGAGGTTGTTTTTAGTTTACTGGTTCCAACAATCAATCTACTGCAGTATAAAGAATCCAGAATGAATTACAGCCATGTTCTCTCGACATATGATGTCCGTACCAGAGCTCAAGATTACCTTTAATCTAACTGCTGGATCATGTCATTCTTTTTGCACCCATTCAGGAGCAATTCATCCAGCTCCTGAAGAGCCTCTATGACATGTTTGTAGACCACCCCGAGGAGCAGGAGCTCTACCGTTCCCTAGCAACCGTCGGGACACTCCTCTTTGAGCTCGGGGAGGTAGGCAAGAGATTCTACAAGCGCAGTCAGTCGTCTCCAGCCAAGACCTGGAGTGAGCCCTCGACGTCGAGTGCTTCACTCGGAGAGGAGGTGCATGAGAATTGCATTGGTGCTGCTGCGATGGGCGGTGAAACTCAAGGTGGTGATGGCATGGAAAAGCCTGGGGAGGAGTCTATTGGTGGTGTGCGTATTGAAGAGACTGGGGAGGAGTCTAGGAGGGAAGCAGATGAAGGTGTCGATGGTAGTCTTGCGGCCAGGAGTTGTGTGACTGGTGGTGATGGAGATGGTGGTTTGACAGATGCGATGAAGGATGCATCCATTGAAGAGCCTGTTGATGAGTCTAGCAATGCGGATCCCAGTGCTGTAACTGAACACTGTGATTTGGATCCAGCCATAGTGACAGCACAATCTGACAGCACTGCCTCAGCACTACCAAGGCCAGACACACTTCCTACAGAACTGCCTAAGCTGGTGGATAATGAGTGGGCAATTGCATTTGAACAGTTCCTGGCTTCAATGTTGAATGAGTCATCGTTGGTGAAGTTTTTTGAGAAACCTGTACAAGTCTCGGGACTAATCGAGAGTTTTAGACAGCGCAAGGTTTTCCAAAGACAACTAAGTGACGTCAGCTTCAGTAGTTCTCCATAAGCCACAGATGACCATTTCATCTGTTGAAATCTATTTGAAATACACATTGATTGAAAAATGAAACCATACATTATGACATCATTATGACATCATGTATAGCAACACAATTGCTACAAGGGGCACCTGTGCAGATTGAGAATTGTAGCAAGCGCAACACTTACCAGAAACATCCAAGCGATATCAACTTTGGTAGTTTTTCATAAGCCATAGATGGCTATAACTATTTCAAATACACATCAATTGAAAAATGAATCCATATTGCTATCAGATGCTCCGGTGTATTCTTAAAGCTGTTGTAAAATCATTTGATGAAGATAATTTATTTATCAATAATTCACTTCTATATCATCTAGACAGATTTTGGTATATCATATCATGGCTCCACAAGTTTCCCACATTTGATCATCTTTTTAGAGTATGTCCGTGTGTACAAACTTTCCATTGATTGTTATGGTAAACGTGCTTATGTGTAATAAGAATCCGCAGTAATTTAAAATAGCAATTTTATATTAGTTGGAAAATTCGACAAATCTTTCACATCTACATGTGTAATTTGATCTTAGAAAATGTATACAGTCCAAACATATACATATTGCTTTACCATTTCATTAGCCACTTTTCAGTTGTTTATGCTATATTTTATTCCCTTATATGTATGTACATGTAGGCCTCGTATATGTATTGGCAACCATCAGCCTCGAGAGACAATCGAGGTTGCGCCTATAAAGTCAGTCTGGTAGGTTTACTTTGAATCATCGGGCCATCGCGTAACATGACCTTTTGTGATATAAAGCGGAAGATCATGTGAAGATGTATGTGAAGGACCAGACCTTTCACAGATTTGACGTAGGGTTTTCACAAAGCATCGGGTAGTTTAACCAAGCCATTTGTAGATGAGAAGCGTTACTTTATTTCACAAACATTATCCCTGACATTTCGTGACAAAAGGGGAATGTTTTCACAGTAGGTCGGGTATATAACCCCTCCTGACCCGTCGCAATGACTTGATGATTACAAGTAAGCTGTCTGGTATATAGTTTACTTGAACCTCCTGTTGTGGAAGGTCTTGTATATAATTATTTCCTATTGTATTTTTATTTGTATTTAAGCTTTTTAGAGGAAGAATTATAAGGTGCTAGAGAGTTATATGTTTGTTCATCCATGGGCCAACTTAAATAGATCTCCAATGTTGGCAACATCGAGTTTGTTGAATTAGGATGATTTTGAAGAAAGAATTAATGCCTCATATATTTAAACCTACATACTTCTCTTATGATCTGATTTTTTTGTCTACTTCAATACCAACGAAAACAACAACAATATATTATTATTATTCCGTCAACAAATAAAGGCTATTTTGACATGACATGGCTGCCTTTTTATGTATATAAATGTTGAAGTAAACTCCACTTTAATACATATTTCAATGAGATGTTCGTGAATTTATACTTATGATGGTTTCATGCAACGATGCCCTTTTTATTAAGGCACAATTGTAAGTTAATGATGAATTAGTGATACACACATACTGTGTGTATCAGCTTGAGCAACATTATGAAGTAAAGTGGCCTACAGCTCAAACATAAGTTTATAACATTCAGTTTACAATTTGCAAACTCCAGCTTGATTTATATACCTGGTACTACTCATAATTTTATAGTTATTTTGATTGAGAATATATATATTTTTGACAACTGGTACAGTAAGTCATGTATGGGGCGACAGATACAATCACCACATATATTTTTTCTTCCCCCCCCCCTTTTTCTTTTATTGGAATCATTCCGCCAGTCTTGTGCAATTGTTTTCATAGATTTATTTGCTGAAATGAATCGTGCACTTACAATGTAGGTATATTTTCTATTGAATATGAACATTTTAGTTTAAGAGATTTTATTCCACATTCTCCAATCGTATTCTATTTACTATGATTTGTTAAAGTGTTTATACAATGTAAATGTAGTTTGTGAAGCGATTAACTTTTGTTTATGGCGTGCATGCATGTATAGCAGAATAGCGTTTTGACTTCATTTTCTTGTTTACCCAATACGACATAAATATTCATATCTGAATAGGTCTACTTTCACAGATAGTAATATTGGCCAGTAAAAACTATTCAGTTGTGCAGTAACGTATTTGAAAATGCTAGGAAAATATATAGTATAATGTTATTTTGACCATTCTAAAGCACAAATTAAATATTTAGTATAAGAAAACAGTACAGAAAATAGCATATATACAGTCAAAGACTGCCTGCCTATAAAGACCGTTTTCTCGCTCGATGCATTTATTTCTCTCTGAAATCTGTATTTAAAGCCTGTCTGCACTTGTTTGGCCAGGGAGGATTAGACCTCCCTGCAAGATCACCGACAGGTGGTCATCTCATCAAATCAGCTCTCAATTAACATAAGAAAAAAGGGAACATGGGGGACCAACAGGCACCACTAAGGCATTGTTTGCCCTATAGAGGGCGCAAGCTATAAGTAGTACAGTGGGGCTTTAAGAAAAGTGTTTATTAAAGAAAAATGACCACTTGCCTGTAAAAAGAATTTATCCTTTCCCTTGATATATCTTTATGAACAGGTTTGACTGAAAATGGTTCAACTTTTTTGAACAGATATGGTGTGGTCAACCGCCCCCGCGAGAGCGCCACATCTTTTTTTTAACGTGTACATTTTTGACAACTGTGGACAACAAAGGACGAGTTAGAAGAAATGTGATGCGTATTACTTTTTACGTTGTCATTAAAAAAAAATACTGCAGTTTTGCCACGTTATATCTGAACAAGCCTTTAGGGGCCAAACATTTATAAAGACCACCTGCATACAATGGCCGCTCTTCCAGTTACTCTTGGGTGGCCTTAATATACAGGTTTAAATTTAGTTGAATTGTGTGCATCCCAACCATAAAAGTTAGAACCTATGTGTATTAAGAACAAAGCCTGTTATTCTTGTGATTTCTTTTTACTTTGTCTTTAAATGTTTAAATAATTGTTGTTCACACTCAATACTGAATTGTTTATCTAATTTCATGCATAATTTGTAAATTGTAATTTTGAAAGCAATATCAAAGGATAGTCAGTCTTTATAACAAAATGAATTGAACTAAGCTAAAAACTTGTCGTGAATATTTATATCTATTATTTCCATGTCATAATATGTCCTGTATCCTTTTGTGAAATATTCTCGCCTTTAACAAAATTAATATCAACATTTTGTTATAAATTTTCATGACTCTTCAGGCGCACAATAACAGAGATACTTATTGTAATGTATGGAATCAGTTGGCTCATAATAGCAGCTAGTATATTCCATATTTTGTTTGTGTGCTCTATATGCATTATTAGGTACACATGGCTCTTTCTTAAGACTCGTTCAGAAATGACCTGTAAACCACCACAAAAAACTTTTTTTTAAACGTTTAAATGAATGTCAATGGCATCTGCGCACATCAAAGAACTTGCGTATATCCACTGAACTCTGCGTTATAAGATGCAGAAGAGTGAAATGTGTAGTACACTTTACGTCATATAATAATGCGGTTTTACCGCTTCATGTCTGAACAAGGCTTTATAGGTCATTAACCACGGCATGTATGAACGAGGCTTACGAGTCAATTTAAGGAAACACGGCATATACACGTACCATTGAAATAATGTGTGTGTAACATTCTACTTACCGTATCATTCATTACGAGACAGTACACAAGTGTCATTATAAATTGGCCAAAAAAAACAATGTATACCAATTGCATCTTCTGAAAATGTGAACAATTTTAATCACTATAAATAAATTCAGTACATAATAAAAAACTTACATTTTTCTGTTGTGTATGTATCATGATTGAAGTTTTATGTATGATTATCCTGAGCCAAACCACAAAATGTGTAAGGATTGTCACTAAAGAGTTAAATTGGGGACAAAAATCCATTTGCTCTTCTGTGACAATTAAGGACAATCGATGCCCAAGAATTAGAAATTATCTACAGGCTAAGAATTTATAAATTCTTTCATTCAAAATAAAAACAGGTAACATCAAAATATTGTTCTCATTGAAGATATTATATGCTCAAACATGAAGCAAAATACAGATCTATGTATTGAAATTTAAGATTTGTCTTCTGAGATTTTTTTCTTCCAATATGTATTTGAAAACTCAGTGTTACTCGAGGGGTTATGGAGTTATCTATTAAACATTATTGTTTTAAAGTATTTTCAGGGACACAATTTGTCGTAGACTACTGGACAATGCGTTTTAAGGAGTAAATGAATAAACAACAAAATTGAAAGAAATTAGCAAATACATTATAGATTTTGAAATAAATGTAGCTTAGTTGGAATATGGTACATTCAGTCAATACAACTTTTCAGACAATGAAACGGGCCATGAGACAAGTTTGAATGGATGATAAAATACAAGTACAATTTATTCAATTTCTACATGTGAACTGCCACTTGTTAATGGCATGATGCGTAATAAATACAATAACAGAAAAAAGCCATCAACTAATGCATTGGGATTACCAAAAGAAACTGGTTTTCTGTAGGGGGCTCTCCTCATTAGTTGATGGTAAAGACGGAGTTCATTTTCCCCTCCCATGCACAACTGCACACAAATAATTGATGAAAATAACAAGCTACCTCTTATTTCTTTTCAGGGGGATATATCATTTAAATTAATTCTAAGGGACTTTGGCCAAAGTGAACATAAAACATATGTTATGTAATAATGAAAATAATTTATGAGATTTGTAAGGGCTAAATCCACTCAAATTCAAATACCGGTACTCAAGAGTGCACTTGTTAAACAAAAACAAACAAACAAGAGAGATCATAGAAAAGCATATATGCATTATCAACAAAGGAACAGAAGCAAGATAGAACATACCGGTACACAAATGACAGAACAATTAATTATATGCCAAATTATAACAGTTCTTTTATACAATCTCCACACAGCTCATGCCTGTGTAATTCTGCAACCTGCAGGCTACTACGGATGGCTGTGTAATTCCTTTCATGAAGCTAGAGCTCGTGTAGCGATGATGGAATCATTCGTTGAAGAGACAGTATATTTGCCAGAGCCTTTGTTTACCAATCTATAATACTATGACAGCAATATGCAATCCGAGTGGAGTATACACTGTACATGTAAGTTCACAGAGTATTGGAAGCTTGAACACACTGTCAGCTGTAAGACTTGCCATCTTCATAGTTATTCATCTCTCTTATTTTAAGGATAACTGCCAATGAAATGTTCATGTGTGTGCTATGCTAGGCTCTGTCCATCTTCATAGTTGTTAATCACTCTCTTGTATTAAAAGGATAATAGTCCATGAGATGATTTTGTGTTATCTTGCTGTCTCCTCCTCTGCTATACTCTGACCAAAGATGGATTTGAAGAGCTCCATCCTGCAAGGCAAAAGAATGAAAGATATTCCAATCAATTTGATCTTTTTGATCAATTTTCATCATCATATTTTGTAAAATGGAATTTGATTATCTCTATAACCACCCTACATGTATATACCGTGGCATACTTATTTATTACGTCATTCATTATGTATGTTTATCATATTTGTGTATGTTTATCACTGTCCTGTAATATTTCATGTATATATTTGTATTGTATTACTCTGTAACCAGTGGAAACCAAATTTCCTGAAAAGGCCAATAAATTATTATTATACTTATACTTATCATCATCCTCATCATCATCACCTTCATCATCATCATCTATTTTCTGTTTCTGGAGGAAAGTCCCATATGTACCTACTCTACTGTTATCAAAGTTCGCTATTCCCAGTCTTGTGCAAGATTTGCCTCGCATCACATATACTTCTAGCAACACCATAAACATGAAACCAAACTGCTGATCAGGAAGGACGGATCCATACATGCCAACATTTGAAAATCAGAAATCTGTACACTATGTGCGCAAAGCGCACATCATGGGCGCGAAGCGCACATCACGAGCGCGAAGTCCTTTTAGCCGGGGTCCAGGGCCCGCTTTAGGGCCCTGGAAGCTCTGGGTTTCCAGATGCTCTCTGGTGCAATCTGAGCCTATTTTAGGGACCATTTCCCCTAAAATTCAAACCAAGTTTATGGGTAATTTTTGTGTCATACATGTACCAAACAAAAAAGTGATTGAAGTGAATTCCACATTTTAATTTATCCTTGGCAGAGGCAGAGCAGATAATAGACATAGATTTAATTAGCCACTCATGCAGAGTGATGCATTTAAGTCTAGTTACTTTTGAAATAATTATACATGACATAGATCTATGCATAAAATGAGACTGGCAATAATGGTATTCAACTTTCCAAACAACAGTCAACAATCCAAAATTATTGTAACTCATTGAGCTACATGTAAATGAGGTTGTCAAAATCAATGTCAGCAGAACAAGACATCTTGCCAACAATAAATGCAGTATGCATATTCCTCCCCTTTTGTGCTTGCTCTAATAAAGGGAAATCGTTCCTTGTATTCCTGTTTGTACTTCTGAATTCGTCTTGCTGCTGTTCCGCTCATTTTGACAGATTTTCTTCCGAGACAAATCACAAATCACAAAGTATACGGTACCTCGAAACACATACTTTGCATGGGGACCCTATGCATACGGTGCGCTAGCGAATGCATGCATGCTGATATGCGTATGCAAACGTAAAGAAATTATACTTACGAGATTTGCCAGCGCAAGTATTTACGTACGGAAACACATATCAGAGTTCACATGGCGCGCAGCAACACGCTGCCACTGTACGTACATATCAGTGCACGCTGCACGCACCTTGCGCAATGCAATCCGTTCAGCAATCGATCGTATCAATGCTATGTATGGAAAGCCAAATTCCCCAAAATCGGAACGTTCCGTTTTTTAGGGCTATAAAAACTTCAAAAACGGAACAGTTCCGTTAAAATCGGAACGGTTGGCATGTATGCGGATCATGAAATATTTTGAATAAAGAATACAAACCTGGCTTCTGGTAACATGGGTGAAGTGTCTTCAGGTGCCATGAAACTCACAAGCTTCTGGTGAACATCATACCTGTAAAAAAGAAAGTCATAGAAGGTCTTAATATATGTTAAAACTTACCAGATTTGTCTTACTTTGCTTGCCTTGGAATCATCTTTTCTCTTCACCTAAGTTCTCAGCCTACCCCCCCCCCCTCCTTTTCTCTCTCCCGTCTTCTATAAATTCCCCAGCCCCCTCCCTATATAAATGTTCTCCCCCTCTCCCTTTCTATCCATCTCTCTCCTCTCCCTCCCTCTGTCTCTCTGTCGCCACCCCCCCCCCCCCTCCCTCTCTCTCTCTCTCTCTCTCTACCTCTCTTCTGTCTTTGCTTGCCTTGGAATCATCTTTTGTCTTCACCTAAGTTCTCAGCCTATCCCCCCTCTTTTTCTTTCCCTCCATAATTGTTCTCCCCCTCTCCCTTTCTATCCATCTCTCTCTTTTTGTCTCCATCTCTCCCCCCCCCCCCCTCTCTCCCCCTTTCTCTGTTTTTCTGTCTCCATCCCTCCCCTCTCCCTCTCTCTCACACACACACACACATGACTACAGACACCTGTACTGACATTAAGGCTGAGGATAAGAAAATACTGAATTTGTCTCACCTGACTTTTCTACCTTTGCTTGCTTTAGTATCAACCTTTCTTTTCACCTTGGTTCTTAGCTTCTGAACTTGTAACCATTGCCTGAAAAATACAATTTTACCCAACTTTACTGACAGTACAAACATGTAAATCCATTATCATATCTTCCTATAAACTCCTTGCCATGATTCAAAAGATATATGTTAACACAGACAGTCATTATTTTATGGACCATTTTTGTTGATGGGTCATCTGATTTACCATTTGATTTGATTTGATTTGAAATAGTTTACTGATCTAAAAAATCTTTGCAGTCACCGGTACAATTCAGTCTGTATGACTGTCGTACAAACTCAACTGTTATTTTTTACAATAAATAAAATAAAGTGTCCATGCATAAAATGTAAATGCAGTCAAACCTGTCTATAGCAACCACCAAAGGGAGACACAAACAATGAACTTTGTAGACAGGTGGTCTTTGTAGACAGGTTCCTTTAGTACATGTTTCAATGAGAAACCATTTTCAAGGAAAAAAGAAATGTGGTCTTTATAGACAGGTGGTAACTAAAGCAGGTTTGACTGTAATTACAGTGATGATAAACATTTAACATAATTTTGAACTTTTAAGTGATTGCATATCAAGAGGTAGATGAACTCTCACCTAGTAAGCTGGATAGGATCAGTTGTTGAGCTTGTTCTTCTCTCTATTAACTCCCGTAATAGCTAGAGAAAAACAAAGGATTAAAAACACATCTTATTACTGTTATTAAGTATTTGGTGTCACTCTATTAAAACCTCAGGTCTCTCTTCCCAGTATAACTGATTGGGGGTGAGCAGGTAAACCACTACACTGGGGTGTCCACCTACTCTTATACGAACAGCTCAGTGGTTTCGTAACGTGCAAAGGTGACGACTCTCCTCTACATGGGGCCTCCATTTAACATCCTATCCCTCCTATCTTGGCATGAATCATACACAAGACAAAGAGTACTCTACTGGCATATTATTTCATAAAAGTCACACCTTTCTGTCCAAGAAGATGGTGCTATTTTATGTAGTTTTTGTTTTAATACTTCAATATGTTCCCTCAGATCAAGAGTAACAGACATATATTTTTGTCACTACTTTAAAAAAAAGTCTTTGAGCATTTTTCTGAAGTCTTGAAATTTTTTTTGCTCCATTGGGCAAAAGGCCACAGTCATTTTTATTTAATTATCACTTCAAACATCTATTTACACATGTATATTACAGACCTCAGGTGTTATCAAGATTGGAGGTAGGCTACCTTGGGCCCAATAGCCGAAACATTAAATAAGTTATCCTTCTTGAAAATGCTTAAACTTACCTGATGGTAGAAGTCATCATCATCAAAGATTTCTGGGTCGTAATTCTTAAGATGCTGGTTAGCTGTTTCAGGTATGTCCTAGAGAAAAGAAAGACAAGAAATGAGTTTGGAACCACTAAAATTCATTTGATTTGGATTAAAGATAAACTTGAGTTCTGGTAAAAAAAAAGAAAATGAATTCTCACAGAATCTAATGAAACTTACACTGAATGTTCAAGATTACAAATGTCATGTGCCAAACAATTTTGGAAGAAAATGTATACTGGCTGAGTAATGAGCATAGAAAGATAAGGAAATCAGGGTAGTACTAGCCCCGACACCATGTGTGTTGTCCCATATACATCTTTCTGTGTAAGTGATTGTTACTTTACCAAGACTCTGCCAAATTTATGATGATTTTGATGACTCCAGAACCTTGCATTACACACCATTACTTACATGCTATATGATCAACTTTTCTGATCCATTCCACACCTTTTCTTTCACAATGCAATCGCATTACCAGAACTCAAGTTTATCTTTAATTTTGACCATATGTGATATTTGGAGAACAAAGGAAAATCGTGTAACAATATGAATGTTCAAGATTAAGATCAACAAGATTAAAGACACAAGAAAGTAACATTTTGGTTAAAATCCTCATTTATTGTTACTCAATCGTATGTACTTTGTTAATATTTAAACTTACAATGTATCATTGAATATTGTGTTTCCATTGAAACTCATTAACGCGTCCGTCTGTTGAAACCTTAAGTAGATACGGCACTGAAGAACACATAAGTCCTCTTTGCTTATAACATCACACCCCCCCCCCCCCCCTCACTTTCTCTATCCTTTTTTTTGGAATTCTTGGTTTCTGTCGATCTCTCAGTTTCTCTCAGTCTCTGTCTTGACTATCTTTGCCTATCTCTCTCTCTCTCTCTCTCTTTTTACCTGTGTTTCCTCATCTCCGCTTTCCTCTTCTCTGCTCTCCACCTGTAACCTTTGACCCAGCACCGTGAACTCTGACCTCTTCAGCTGAGTCCTCTGCACAAGTCGGTTCTGATCTTGCAATATCTGCTGGATCTGTAGCAAGGCTGACCTCTCAAAGCCACTAAAGGACTGGAAATAAAAATTTAAGCAAGAGAACAAATTACTTAAATCATGTCTGCAGTAGTTTAGCCAGTAGGGATTAGACCACCCTGCAAGGTCACTGACAGGTGGTTATCTCATCCAATCAGCTCTCAATTAACATTAAAAAAAAGGGGATCACGGGGGACCAACAGGCACCGATTAGGCATTGTTTGATATACAGAGGGCCAAGTAGCTATAAGTAGTGCAGTGGGGATTTAAAAAAAATGGGCAGTTCTACCGACAAGCCAACTAACCTTTTTATTTAACTTTCCGGTTGATAATCTTGTCTTTTCATACCACTTTTGAATGGTATTGCTCCTGAACGATTCAAAGTTTTTGTGATGTTTAGCGAGGTGCTCTCCAAATTCTGAAGGATCCAATTTCCGTTTCAGTGATTTTCGTTCGACCTCCGAGGCGGGAGTCTTTGGTTTTTCATCCTCCCCTTCATCGTCAGTATCGCTAGGTATTTCCTCATCGTCGTCCTCTTCATCAGCACTGCGTAGTGAGGAGAGATAGAGATAGAAAGGGTAAAAAAAGAGGTTGGAGAGAAAGAGAGAGAGAGAGAGATGGTGGGATAAAAACGAGAGAAAGAGATGGTGGATAGCAAGAGATAGAGAAAGAGAGAAAGAGAGAGAGGATGAGGGAGAGAGAGAGAGAGTGGGATAGCAAGACAGAGAGAGGGGGGGGGGGGGGAGGGGGTAAGGTACAGGAAAGTGTGGTTGAGAGGGAGATAAAGATAGAGAGGGAGGGGAAGAGAAAAGGAGAGATAAGGCAGGATAGAACGAGAGAAAGAGACAGAGGTACAGAGTGAAAGAGAGAGAGATAGAGAGGGATACATTGGCAGGGGTGGGAAAGAGGAAAAGAGACAAAGAGGGAGTGAAAGGGTGCGAGACGTACTATGATAGGTATTTCTACTACTATAATATTTCACAGGTTCATCTCATGAGTATGACTGCCAGTTTTAAAGAGAAATATATTTATAAATTTAATCAAATTCAAAGAGAAAATTTGTTATCATTATAAATTACATTCATCATTATTACCCGTATCAGACATCTGAGCTGGTCATTTACAAAACCGTATTGCCCTACTTTTCACTAGCAGTGGGAACGGAGGGGTATATTCTTTGTATTTTCCTTGGTCTCACTGCCCGTATAGACTTTGCGTGTAGAGACGAGTGAAAATAAAGTCTTGTATTGACCGCGGCATATTTTGTCATTTTCATTGCGCATCTAATAAACCTGCACACTTTTTGCGCAGGTAATAATCACACCAAAGGCACACTGTTTGCAGTGTATCAAAAATTTCGTCAAGCACTGCTGGTTGACAAAATTTGTTCAGTTCTATGGGATTGTCATGGTTGATTTATGTATTTGTTCTAGATGTCTGATTTGGATAACAATAAAAATATTGACTGGCTTAACTTTCGGTAGATACCACATATATTGCCCTCACAAGACCCATATTGCCCTCGTCTTTGACTCGGGGCAATACGAGTCTAGTTTGGGCAATATAATTGGTATCTCCCTCAAGGCCAGTCAATATTATATAATTATATCACATCAAATAGTGCAGTGTATATATTATGTGTATCATACATGCATTTGAAAAGTGTTCATCAATCTTCCAAATTTTGAATTAGTCAATCTTACTCACTTCATAGACTGCTTTCCAGGAGTTTCTCCATGAATTACATGCTGTGTCTCTGGGTTCTGTTCTAGTAATGTGTCCTGGAGACTGATAAGGGACTGCATGAGTCTAGTCAGCACTTTCTCACCTAGATATGGTCAAATTGAAATACAACGGTGGATTGCGCATGTTATACTTAGAAGCTACAGTATAACATAGAAAAGAAGAGGTTGATAGTTAAATAGATAATAGGAAACCCCAAGTCTAGTCATTTATCTCACAGGGAAAGAGTAGCAGATGTTGTAAATAATGTCCCCTCCCAAGCAAAAGCAACAGAAACAAGAAGAAGAAGAATTATTTAAAAAAAAAAAAACTTCTTCTACTCCTCCTTCACCTCCTTTTCTTCAACCTCCGAGAAGAGGAAGAAGCAAAAGAAGAAGCAAAATGATAATGATAAATAATACTAACAAGACTAATTAATATTAACAACGATAACAATGATGCTGCTGCTATTACTACTACTTTAACTACTACTTCTACTACTACCATTACTATTACTACTTCAACTACAACTTCTACTAAAGCCTAAAAATAAATAAGTTGTATTGCCCTTCAGGTGCCAAAACATGGGAATTTTGTTTTCTTCTTTTTGTTTCTCCCTCTTTGGGCTGATATTTCTTAGCTTAGAATGCAAATTTTTATGTTCTTATTAAACGGTAAAAAGATTTTTTTTTTTTTAGAAAGCCGACCATAGATTTCAAGATTTTTGGGTCAATCGCAAAGGGCAATACAACATTTTGATTTGTAATGCCTAATAATACAAATGATGACAATGATATATTTATAATAATGCAATATTCATGGAAGTACAGTGTTTACTTTGCTTCAACTACTACTTCTACTAATAATATAAATAATGACAATAATGTCTATTATAATACAATATTCAGTACGGTGTTTACTTTGCTTGAGGGTAACTTGCAACTCTGCGCCATCGTCTTCCTCCTCCATGAACCTGTCTAACGTCTGACACTGAGGGAGCTGGTTGGATAGGTGAAGAGCCTTCTGAAGCTTGATACGAGTCTCCATGAAGCTATCCCATAGTCCTATCACAGCCACACAAAACACACAGAACACACAAAAAGATAAAAGAGAGCGGTGAGAAATTTAGCTCTGAAAAAGCCCCAAGATAACTCGGCTGTGATTTGAAAGAGCTCTAGTAATACAGTCAAACCTGCTTTAGTGACCACCTGTATAGAAAGACCACCTATCTAGAAAGACCCCATTTTTCGTCTCCCTTGAAAATGGGTTTCTCGTTGAAACATGTACTAAAGGAACCTGTACATAAAGATCCACTGCCTATAAAGACCACTTTTCTTGTCTCCCTTGGGTAGTCTTTATAGACAGATTTCACTGTAGTAACAATTTAATGCTTAATTAGTGAGAAAATCACACTTTTCCAACACCAAATCCTAAAAATAGATTTTGCAAGCACACAACTATTTTTTATATAATTCAGGTTTTATCAAAAAAGAATGATGTGATTTACTGTTAAGATGGCAGATATGCTGGTGTTTTATTTTTGAAAATGTTGAAAATTGTTGTAAGTTTGCAAATTTAACAGTGCATGGAAATAGGCTGGAAATTGTATGCATGCTTGACTACTTATGCAAGTTGCCAGGGTCAATTATGAAGCAATGATTCACCTTAGTGTCTGTATCCCATTACCTATGAAAGCATTTTTTAAACAAAAAGTTTATGATATAAAATGATTCATGCCATTGGGACTGGTGAGACTGTCCCTAAAATTTTATATTCTTTCATTTTGTAGAAGAAAAAAATCAGAGAAATTAGATTTTTAAGAGGGGTTTAGACAATAAGCATCTTTACATGAAATAATGCAATGAAATAATGCAGCCCTAGTTTCATTCATTGCTTGGATAACATTTCCTCAAATTCATTTTCTCGACACTATACGTATAAAGATTTGTCAGGACAAAAGACAAGTAGACTTACATAAATGAACAAATAAAACATGCTACACAAAGTTCATAAAGCATCAATTAGTAGCTTATACTCCATTTAAACCCCCTCCCCCTGAGAATTATGAATTATGAAGAAGAAAAAAAAATACTGAAAGGTCAAATGAAATATAGTGAATTAATATAAGGCCAACGTTAACAAAAGAAAATTCTTCACCTGTTCGGAATAATTGTAAATCAACTGTCAGAATGCGAACCACAAACATTATGACTTGCCCGATCTGACAAAGTTTAATATATGCAATAGCATTCCGACTATTGAAATATGATTATTTTCAGCATGTGAATGAAATTATTCAAATTGAGGCACTTAGTATAAATTTGGTTACATCATGGAAATGGCCTGTTTATGATAGCGGTGCCAATTTGACTTACCAAGCTGTGACTGGACGGCCTTCCCTTTCTCCACTTCCTCAGAAGCGTTGATTTGAGAGAAACCCTCAATACCACCATCTTCTTCGTCTTCCTCTTCTTCATCATCATCATCATCTTCCTCCTCCTCCTCATCATCATCATCATCATCGTCATCTTCCTCATCATCAAAGCTCACATCATCATCAAGGCTCTCCTCATCATCATCGTCGTCATCCATCGAGGAGTCTTTGTCCGCTAAACTGTCTTCATTTCTTCCTTTCCCTACAGGAAATATGGATCAGAATTGAAAAACTATTAGCAGAAAAATAATAATAATTTGCATGTAATGGAAGCATACAGGTAAGGTAGCACAAGAAAACACTTTGAACAAACAGAATCGTTCTCCACTCTTTGTGTTTTTGCAACATTCTTTTTTCTCCAAAAGCAACTAATCAGTCATTCATTTAAACAATTATATATTTGTAATCTTAACCTTCATTAATTTCATAGCATTAATTTGGATTTTTTTTTGTATAGATGTGATAAGTTAGGAGGGAAACGATATGATATGTCAATTACCATCACCACCTACTTCTTTACAAAATTTTTACCTTTCAACTTTCTAGTCATCTCTCTGATTTTTTCAGCCATTAGTGCATCGTCTTCATCCTCATCGTCTTCTTCCTCATCATCCTCCTCCTCCTCCTCATCGACTTCATCTCCTTCCTCGTCATCATCCTCTTCATAATCATTGTTGTCATCCTCCCCTTGTCCTAACAATAAAAGGAGTAAAACATTGGTTATTTGATGTAGTGATTGACTTGCATGTAAAACTTTGATTGCTTCCTTTGCAAGTTTGCCACATGTGCAATTTTGTACAAAACAGTAGACCCCAACTGAGAGGGAATTCAGTGGTCAATACAATAGGTTAATTAAAAATAAAGGTCTGTTCTTGAAGAATCGTTGATCAATGATTCCTGAGCTTGAATCTTTACATGCCACACTAATATCCCCCCCCCCCCCCCCCCTGTGTCACATTGTATGTATTGTTGGATAGATATACCAAAGGATTCAAGATTACTTCACTGTTTCCAGTGCAAGAATAATATATACCGGCGTTAAAAGTGTTGTCATTGAGTAAATCAAGATCGGAAATGGGTTATTTTGCGAAGCCATTGTGTTCCAAAAAGTAATACGTCCGTCAGTTGGTGTCTACTGTTTCGAATGATATTTCAAAGATTTTTACTTTTTTGAATACTTCTTGATCGTTTTGAAGCGCAATTTTTTTATGGCTTCAATATTACACCATATCACAGACACTGGTAACACGTAAGGCAGTGCATCTCAGATTTAATATTATTAAACGTAGCCTTTAATTGTCATTGTCTTATAATCACTATATCATCTCTCACCTGATGAAGACCAATTTTTTCTTGATGTCTTGAGACCCGTGTACCTGGTATCTTCATCCAGAGACCGATGAGCGGTCTTCTTCCTCAAAGCAGACGGCCTCGCAACTTCTTCGTCAACTTCATCAAACTCGGCTACCTTGGCCGTTGTGTCTTGAAAGGTATGGACAAAAAAGAATGATCATTAATATTGTCAGCATGTATTATTGTTGTTCATCATCCACATTTCCATTACATTCAGTGTCCATTGGTTCCTTCCGTTCACCTCCTCCTCCTACTGAGCTCCACTCCAGCAAAGCATAGAGAGTCAATGCCAATGCGTATTGACCTCTAGCACTGCATCCATGCTGTGAGGCAGGGACCTAGAAGTCTATACACAAATGCACACACCACACAATATCGCATAGACTGTACACAATCATGTCGATGCAGCTGTAAGCAAAGTTTGACACTAGACTTACAATTTGAATTTTTAAATTATTCTTTTTAACATCAGTAAGTTGAAAAAAATGTATTTTACTGCTATTTAGGTGTCATCAATTCTCACTAAAGTACCGATTTTGAGTGAAATCAGTTCGAGTTTTGTACAGACTACAGTGGTGTTTGAAATGTTGAGAATCAAAAGCACAGCTTTTACTACACAGCCAGGATAGTGATGCTCCTATGTGTGCTGAGCTCCTCCTTCTTCTCTTTCTTTTCCTTCTTTAGAAAAAGAGGGCACAGAACAAACTGTCCTATTACTCAGCTCAGTAGGGGGACGCTGGTCTGAGAATGAATTGTCTAGTCTACATAAACGCGTCCTCAAAACTAAGGAACGTTCCCAAAAATTGTCGCAGACTTTTTGTTTCATTAGCGCTCTGCGGATTTTTGGTTCCTGAACCACGCGCTAGGGCGATGTGAAAAGCAGATTCCGTGTAATAAAATACTCCCAATTCCCCATCTACTTTGTTTCTCGCATCGCCAACACGCGGAGAGGAATTGAGAAACGTCTGCAAAAATGCGGACGATTTTTATTTTTGCAGACGCACCACTCCAGCAAAGCATAGAGAGTCCATGCTAATGCGTATGGACCTCTAGCACTGCATGTATGTGGTATGCACGGGGTGGATTTTTTTTAGTATTAAGATCATAAAATGTAAGACAAATACAACATAACATAGGTTATGTTATATTTGTCTTACATTTTACAGTATTTAAGATTATTAAATTATTTTTATAATAGAAAAAAAGAATTCAAAACTAACTTTTAAAGCCCTTTTTCCTCCTTCTTTTACAGAGATGGCAGCATGATTCCCTCCTCGATTGCGATGACATCAAAACTGCGCACTTTACGCACACCATACACTGACTTCTACATGCGCTACAATTCGCCACAAAACAGCTCGCCCCTAAACAACACGACACAATACCCTCCCTGGATATCTCGCCACAATACCCTGGACAACTCGACCGTAGCAAGTTGTGCAGGGTATTGTTGCGAGATGTCCAGGGTATTGTGTCGAGCTGTTTTGGGGCGGGTTGTTTTTGTGGCGAGTTGTCTAGGCCCCGGTGAAAACATACGTGACTCGTGACCCGTGGCTCTTGCGCAACATCTGACGGGTAGTTTTCTTATCTCGCAGACGTTTTCATTTATTGCTTTATCGCAGGTTTAAAGCACCTAGGCCTCTAATTCCGTACAAATTTCTAGATAGACTTTCGAAATGCTTATTATTAGTATCATTATTGATATTATTATTATTAAGACCCCAAAATTGCTAAATTGAATATTATACTTTGGAATTATATAGTAATGCTCCGCCACCTCTGTCGGCTAATAGTTGGGCTGAAATGTATACCAAACTCTAAAAACGCTCGTACGCAATAGCCTACCGCTGAGCTGTGTACACAACCGATCGCGTCCATATCAACATGCATATATTTGGACGTAAGCGGTCGCGAACGGTCTTTAAAAACAAAGGTCATAAAATACGAAAATGGCGCACGTTAGCTGAATTGCGGATGGGCTATAAGCAAACAAGTAGGCCAGATGTCTGGAAACCAAGGAAATTTACACTAACGAAACTTGTAAGTTCCATTCTTTATTTATTTGTGATGGGTTATATCCCATTTAATTAATTATTAGGACATTTGAAAGTGTCATACCGCAGGCTTTCAAATGTGTCGCGTTAATGTGCTGGTGCCAGTGTTGCCTGTTTTACTAGTAGGGTGTCTGATCGCGCACCCGATGTTGTGTGCTAAAATACTTCCCATAGAGATTGCACGCATCCCTATGCAGTCTACGTGCATTGCGCGACCATGAAAATTGGTCAATGATTTTATGAAAAAAAATGAAATTCAAACCTTTGGGGCTTGTGATCCTGAAGGTGAAACTCAATAAATGAGGTGTCATATGAAAGAGCAGGTTTTTCTCCATATTCCCCAAAGGGGCGCACCCCCGAAATTCTAAAAATATCTTGGTCAAAACAGCGATTTAAATGTTGTTTGCATCCTAGCTCCAAAATTTGCCACTTTCCTGAGCTGCGCCCCCCGGGCTTATGTCCGGCTAGACGTAAGGAAAATATGTATGCACTTATTTTTTCGCTAGCCCCAAGAGATCACTCGCCCCAACAGTTTAAAAATACCCTTCCCACATTTTTGGAATCAGCTAATTAGGGAGGCGTGAGCTCCGCTCAGTCCAAACCATGGTTACATCGCGTAACATGTGCGCTTATAGTGAATTAAAGTATGGATGGCCGTTCCCACCATAAACCCCGGAAGTGAATACACGTTATAGTCAATGGCAATATCGCGGAGACATCTCCGCGATATTGCCATTGACTATAACGTGCATTCACTTCCGGGTTTTTTGTGCGAAGAACGCTAACCATACTAGTCAATGGCACATGTCGCGGAGACAGCGTAGCTCAAGCTTGCAAGTCGCGCATTGGCTTAGCAGCATGCGTACGATATGCATACGCTTGCATATCGCGCGATACAGCTGTTTGGCTAAATTTAGCAAAACAACATCACTCTGCGTGGACGTCTTTTTCGTCGATTTTGACCAAAATGATATGAATATACCAGCATTTTGGAGGGGCTGTATCTTTTGATTGAAACATCGGTGAAGCTTCAAATTTGAAATGTATTATTCTGATTACACTTTTTATTCAAATATCAAACAAAAATGGTGAAAAACGATCCCAAATTGAAAATTGAAAAATCGTTCAGACACCCTATTACTAATACCAGGGGGCCGTTTCTCGAAACCGTCATAACTACAAGATCAACGACATCTCGCCACTGTCACGCAACTTGTCAGCTAAGTGTTTCACGAAGCCGTCTTTGCCAAGATGAGCGACAACTTCCGCGACAAGCGAGTTGTCACTGCTCCGAACCCGTCATATCTTTTTAATTGCTGTAAAGCGCCATCACAAGTCGGTTTGTTGCCATTCCATGGGCCGCGAAATGTACGATTAGTTTCACTATCATTTTCAGAAAAATATAGACGAGTTCGGTACGTAATTCTCTGGGATGCGAAATGCAAATGTACAAAAGTGAGAATACAAATTACACAGAAACTTTAAAAAGCTGAATAGAAACATTACATCACAAATCATTAAACTATAACGTATAAATAAGATAGATAAGAATGTTACACACCGTTTTCCGTAGTCGATCCATAGTCTGACTTAGGATACCGTCATACCTTTGGGGCCTATGTGCATTATTATTCCCTCTCTAATTACTTCTTCCAAATTATATTTTAAATATCAAATCAATTATATAACGAGTATTTATGAGACTCTGGAATAAAAACTGGCTGAGTAAAAGGTATTTTGCCTAAATTTCCTCGTCACAATGAACAAAAAAGTACGTATTGATAAACTATCACATTACGGTATCCTTCAACTAACTTTTGATTCGACTGTCGAAAAAAAAACTCTCGCCGGTTTTTCTTCAATTTAAGAATCTTTACAGAAATATGCAAATCGTTTGATGATCTATATTTGATAATGACACTATTTATTATTTATTTTAGGAGAATTTATATGTATATATTTCTTTTTGAACAATTTTAGCCCCAAAACTTGTTTTGGGTTATTCTTGATAAATCAAATGGATCGTGACAAAGACTATGTTCTTGTGCTGCTAGTATCGCGATATATCGATATCATGTCTGTCATGGCTCTGTGAAACGGTTTATCCGCTTCATGACATCTCCGTAGATCGGCGACAAAGATATGACTGTCATGGAGTTGGTTTCGAGAAACGGCCCCCAGGTCTACACAGTCAGGATAGTAAGTGATGCTCCTATGTGTGAGACGCACATATTTTAGCGGACGCTCCTTAGTTTTGCAGACGCATCTGTCTGCGTTTATGATGACGATCCTCATTCATACGGACGATCCTTATTCTGGGACCAGCGCCCCTACTCTACTTTTATTATTAATCTTCACATAGATTCTAGTCTAGGCTTCTACACGTACACTCTACGGTACCTACACAGAATTTCACACATGGGACTGCCCTCAGCGCATGGGCTATTCCGATATTCGTATTCTCGAGTCAAAAATCAACAACAATATTTTTAAAGGCTATATTTATTCCCTTATTTCAAACTTACTTTCATCCCAAAAATCGTCTGGACTTTCTGCAGGAGTAGGGTTACTCAAAGCAAGAATTTGCTCCGAGAGTGAGGCTTGTTTCTTCTTCATTTTCACACGTTGATTCCCCGCTGAATGTAATAGACCAAAACACCCTCTTTATTTCGCCACTATGGTGTCTTCAAAGAGAATAGAATAGCGGAGAACGGGCCGCGAGTTAGACCAGCGACTGCAGATTGGTGGGTAAAATACTTCCGCTGTTTGCAATAATACATGAAATAAGTGAAGAAGAAGTATTTCCCACTTAAAGTAAGCTTGCAGACGTGCCGTGAATAATCCTACATAAAACTAAATAATCCCTCTGCATACAAACATATATTGTATAATAAGTGAGTGCAATTCACTTATTATACAATTCATAATCTCTTCTTCTAAATCGACCACTTCAGCGTCTATACCATCCATTGTTTCTTGTTCTCTACCTTTCTGTCTAGTCTTTCCCCCCCCCCCCTCTCTCTCTCTCTCTCTCTCTCTCTCTCTCTCTCTCTCTCCCCCCTCCCCCCCCCCTCTCTCTCTCTCTCTCTCTCTCTCTCTCTCTCTCTCTCCCCCCCCCCCCCCCCCCCCCTCTCTCTCTCTCTCTCTCTCTTTGATTTCCTTTTCATGTACATGCTTTTATTTTGTAGTTTTCTGTATTGCTTTTCCAGCTTAAGCTTGGAGTTGGAAGAAAGGAAGACGGAAAAATAAATTAAGTGATGATGGGCTAATTTGTTTTTTGTTCACATTGTCCTCGATCAGGCTCTCCCGGACTTTGTAAGTTTGAAGTGAGAGAGAAGTATGAACAAGAGAAAGGGAAAGACAGACAGACAGACAGAAAAAAAAGAGAGTGTGTGTGTGTGTGTGAGAGAGAGATAGAGAGAGAGAGAGAGAGAAGGAGAGAGAGAGAGAGAGAGAGAAAGAGAGAGATAAAGAGAGAGACAAAAAGAGAAGGGGAGAAAGAGAGAGAGAGAGAGAGAGAGAGAGAGAGAGCATGGGAGTTATATGAAGACGGCGAGAAAGAGAGTGATAGAGAGAGACAGAAAGATAAAGAGAGTGATATATAAAGAGAAAGAGAAAGGGAAAGGGAGTATAAGAGAGAAAATGGGAGTTCTAGAGATATATGTACAAAAAGAGGGTGATAAAGATTAAAGAGAGAAAGAGGGAGAGAGTGATATAGAGATAAAGAGAGTGATAGAGAGAGAAAGCTAGTGATAGAACGAGAGAGGGAGATCGTTGGGTTAATGTAATTTTGTAACAGATTCTTAAAAATATTTTCAGATATGTTCCTTTGTAATTCCTTCCCCCATTCCGCTCCTCTCGTTTTCTGATGAGAATCAGGGAAGGGGCATAAATATATTGCATGGCTTTTGAAATACAAAAAGGAAAATACTTTTGACTTATAACACCACCCCACCCCCATCCCCCCATATACTCACACATTAATTTGCACATGCACGCGAACACATATACACTCGCACCTGATTATGCAGGCAAACTTCAAGAAGAAAACAAAACTTTTCAAAAACAGTTATAAATCACATCAAATGTTTATTATCTTTCTGAAAAAATAAAAAATGCACACACCCCATACTTTCCTGAAGAGAACACAGTTTAGTAAAAGAAAATGGATACAAAATACAAAAATATACAAATAATATGCAAGATAACTCACACACTTACATGTATTCTTCTATATTTACATGCAATAAAGTTGAAACAGTTGTCATGCAACGGCCCTTAGTGCCAAAATAGAGCACAACCGTCTTTTGCACAAAACTGTATGAGCACAGTGAAAGATTGTATAATTGTTAAACAGTAATATTATACAAGCAATTAAATATTTAGTAAAGCACTCAAACTGGTTCATGCTTTTTATCTATCATAATAAATATCACATGCACATAGAATTAAGCAATACCCTGTTAATATTCATACCTAGAGAAAACCATTAAAAAAACAGATAAAAGGAAAATAAAATGATTGACATTCATTCTTAATGTTTGGCTAGCTATGAACTTACAAGTTATGGCAAGGACTAACCCTGTACAAATAATAAGTATTATATACCTCACTTAAGTAATCCAGCAATCTGATTGGTCGAAATTGCATTCATAAACTTTAACTGTTCCCGAAAATTCCCAGTAACCATGGTTAAAACAGTTCTAAAATCCCAATAACCATGGTTACCGGGAAAATAGTTCAGTCTCCATGGTTACCCCATAGGTTTATATGTTAAAAAATTGGTCTGAGCGATCGAGGATACCGTACGTGTGCGAAGAATTGGTCGGTAATTTCAATACAATTGAATCTCGATCGATCTTACCGACAATTTTATCTTGCATTGTTGACATGAAGACGAAAATAAACTTCCAAAAACAAAAAAACAACATCTGCCGATAGATCTTGATATAAGTTCGTGCCAATATGCATTGCAAAAGTAAAAGAAGGGCCCGTTTAATGGAGCAGCGGCGAAGCATCCACCACGCGAAGCCGTTTTCAATCCATTTTAATGTATATATTAGAGAAAACTGCTAGATATGGTGACAGAGCGTGATGGCCGAGCGGTTTAAGGTGCTGATTTTAGCTACATCACCTTTTGTACGCAAGAGATCGAATCCCATCTTCGACAAAAGTTTTTTTATTTTTTATTTTTTAGTCTATTTTTTTTTGGCATATAAAAGTATTAATGACTGCTTTAATATTCGAGAAATAGTTGTTTTTATACGCTCTCGGGAAGGTTACAATTGGGCTATTGCCCTCGGCACGCCTCGGGTAATAGCACAATTCTAACCTTCCCTTGAGCGTATAAAAACAACTATTTCTCTCAAAGCAGTCATTAATACTATACTAGGTTATATTCTACTTAGGTATTGACTAATTTAGACAAATGATATGGCAATGCATATGGCATATGAATGAGTTGACAACTAAAACTTGATACATGATAAAATTGAAGAATTATCTTGATCAATTAAATGCATTCACAGACACAATGCACGTGCCACACAGGTCTTTTTCTTCAACATTCATTCCAAATATTTGGCTGGCTACAAACTTATAACATATGAGGGTGATTAATTCTGCAGAAATATTAAGTAATAGATAAATATACTTAATTATTGACTTTAGACAAGTGATTTGGCAACATATTTGGCATATGAATGAGTTGATAACTAACACTTGATACATGATACTTTTTGATTGCCTTGATGAATATAAAAGTATTCATAAAAACCCTGTATAAATATCATCCATGCTGTACTCCTTCTGGAAGATCTAGACTCTATTAGTATGTGACAAGTACATGATAATAAATAAATATATATCTTATAAGATATTTACCTTGGACGTACATTTTAATACTTAAAATCATTCTTATTCATGGACGGCACAACAGTATTGCATTTGAAATGGAATTAACATTTTCTGTGATTTTGGGTCTTTCTGTTCCTGTACATGATAACGTGAAATTCCAATAATAATTTATAACAAATGTCTCTAAAACGAGACACTATTAAAGCTGCAATGACTTGTATTGACAACTCAAAAACAAAACTTCACCCTCTAATTCCCTCATTGAGGATGCCTATACAGAGGGGAAACTAAATTATGAATTATTAAGGGAAAGGATAACTTTTGCACCTCAGATTATATGGGAGAAGGGGATATTGATATTGATTTCATTCATGAAACTTTTGTTCTATGAGGTGGGCATACAGGTGTGATGCTAATAATTCATGACAATCCGTATGTACACAGGTCCAAAACCAGATGCCCTATTTTCATGTACACCACTTCCAAAAGTTCAATCAGATTTACCACTTCATTTAATAGTCAAAATCTTACAAAATGAAATGTTTGGGCAACATATTGTATGACAGTAAGATACTCATCATATAATATATAGCTACTCGTATATATATTTTAACACATTCATGAATCATCAAATATGAAAGAACGGTTGTAATAAGTAACACCCTTGAGTTGTTTGATTGCTATCAAGCACATCTTCATTGAAACTGAAAAAAGGCAACATGGAAAGAATGCTACGATAGGTTAACATTTACCAACGCAATAACAAAAAACAATGCTGAATCAAACTCTATGGGATATAGTGCACAACAAATACACACACAAATTAACAAATTGCACACAAATTACCCCTCCTAAGATACCTTTCACAATAACACAACAAACAAAAACATGTTTTAGCAACATCATTAACCAGGAAACTCTTTGTACAACAACACACACACATAAATAAAAAAAATTGCACACAAATTACCCCTCCTAAGATACCATTCACAATAACACAACAAAAATGATATAACAATATGTTATAGCAACATCATTGCATATAACCAGGATATTCTGTAGATAACATAAAACGTAACAAAATAACAGTTTTCATACAAAAACTTGCAGCCCTTTAACATTTGAAATATCATTCCAATCCCTGCATTTCATTTCAGAGGTATTAGTTTATAAAGTAACAGCAGCGTAGTAAAATAATTTGTAAATATCAGTTTTCTCCAATTAAAAAGACGATTCATACATAATATAGGATGGACCATGTGGATTAGTCTTTTAAAGGACTGTTACTATTTATGCCATGGAAGAAAACCAATGAAGGCCTTGAAGTGCATAAAGAAGGTCCACATTCACTCACACAATAACAAATACAATGCTGAATAGAAGTTTCTGGGATACAGTGCACAACAAACACACACACACAAATAACAAATAACAAAATAATTACCCATCCTCAGATACCATTCACAATAACACAACAACAAACATGATATAAAAATATGTTTTAACAACATCATGAACCAGAAACTTTGTAGATAAAAAAAAACAAAAAGCAAAACAAGATAAAAATTTGCATACAAAAATTTGCAGCTCTTTAACTTTTAAAATATAATTTCAAATCCTGCATTTCTTTTTTAGTTTATGTAGGAATCGCAGCATAGTAAAATAATTTGTTAATATCAGTTTTTGACGATAAAAAAGACGATTTATACACAATATACAACGGAGCACTGAAAGAAAGTCTGTCTTTGACAGATAACGTTTCTGCTCATATCAGAAAATAAATGTCACAAAATTGTACAAAATGTTACATTAAATGTAAATAACATTACAACTACATAATATCTGCAGAGCAATTTGTTGGAATATATTGAACAGCTGATTAATAAATTGGCAAGATAAATTAAGTACTCTGGCTAAGTCGCATTGATCCTCATGCATAGCATGTGGTCAAAAGTATTCAAAAATAGGGTGAGCTTTTTGATGAAGTGAATTTGACACATGATTTCAGTAGTTTTTCTATTCAGCTTAACATCTACCTACTTTTGTACAAACAAGTCAATATTATTTTGAAATCCTTTCTCTCAAAACAAAATTAAATGCAATCATAGGCATAGACAATTGAGGAAGGAGAGGAGTCAGCCAGTTTGGGCTGCAGCCCCCTACAGTTTTATAAAGGGATAATCTACTCCCCTGAAAGCAAGGTATAGAATGCAAAATGATATTCTACTTCACATGTTATGAAGGCGGATCAAGAACACAAATAAATACGAAGAAAACAAAAGAATTGTGAAATTTGATGTACAATAGGCAAGGAGAGTTGTCCACAAATGATGTCATCAAATTAAATATCATCCTCTAGTGACAAGTCATTTCAAAAAGCTTCAACTTCCTTATTCCTTGCCCGATTTTGTTCAAATTTTCACTGATTTTATTCAAATATCTTAAACTTTACAATAAAAGTAACTTAGTATGAAGGTTTTGGTTCCCTTTAAATTCCACTATTCAGGCACACACATCCTCATATTTGTGCAGTGTGGTGTCTGGATATCGCCATGTCCGTTCAACAAGATGCCCAAAAACTAATAACTGATGTTGTCTGGTTGGAGCCAGAGAGGAGTTAATTCTGGAATAAATAATACAAATAAATGCCCTTCTGCCTTCAAACAAAATTTTATTTTGGTAACAGAATAACTTGGCGCTCTTAAAATTTAGAAACAGTATGATTAATATTCAGGCAAGAGGCATCAGCTCCCAAGATGCCTATGCATTCTATCCAGAACTCATGTATTTGTCTAATCACCTGGGTGAAGTGTGGCAAATGTAGATTAACATCTAGTAACCCTTTTTCATATCAATCTTACCAAACCTGTATTGGAAAGCCTGTATTTCCTGTTTGAGCACATGGGTGAAGTGTGGCAAATGTAGATTATTTTTATATTTATTTATTTTATTTATTTCTAATCTTTTGTCAGGGTAGCCCATTCACCAATAAGTAGTGGTCTTCCATGGGGCCCTGAATAAACATGAACATATTTACATCAAAAAGCAAAACGTTTATACAGAACAGTTAAAAAATAAAAATATATCATTAACCTAGTTCAACAGTAATGTCATTAGGAAAATATTGATTAAGCCCTAATTATGTGAATAAGTCATGTTAATATTCCAGAACATGCACATGGTGTATGTTCGGCTGAGGCATTCACAAATTACAACTTTGTTTAAACAATCTCTTAAATGAATTGACAGAGGAAGGTGGTCTCATTATTCCATTCAAATATGGAAGAAACAATTGGGCTACACTTATAACAATCATGCATCTAGTAACCCATTTTCATTTCCAATCTTACCAAACCTAGCTGTCTTGGAGAGCCTGCATTTGCTGTTTGATCTCCTGCATGATGGTCATTGTCTCAAGCTGCTCAATCTTGGAGTCGATGGCATTCTCAGACAGCATGTTGAGCTTGTTCCTCATGTCGCAGATGTGCTGGGCCATGTCTTCAATCTTCATCTCCGTTGTTTTGGTGAACTGCACACTCCCCTGAAATGACAGACAATTGGGATGAAAAATGGCAAATGGTTGGAAAGGACAGAAAAAAGATGATTGTAAGATGATAATACAATTTGTGATGCTTTCCACTCCTATATTGCTCACTGCTTGCTTAACTATTTCTGTTTGTTAATGGGTAAATACATCATCATCATCATCATCGTTTATTGAAGTCAGTATTTTCTCTCTTACAAGGGGTTATGGACTTTCGAGCCACTTCTTCTTGTCTCGAGCATCCTCCTCATTTAGACCAATCTAACTGCTTTCTTTCTACACCATAGCTTTCCATGAAATATTAGGTCTTTCTTTCCCTCTTATGCCATCCACTTCCAGATCCCTCACTCTTTTCACAGGTGCATCATTGTCCCAATTCTCGACTCGACCCATCCATCTCAATCCACTTATCTTTTAACCGCTTCCACCAGTTTCTTCCAGATTCCCAGCTCTTTTCAAAAGTTCATCATCTTCCCTTCTCAACACTTGACCCATCCATGTCAATCCACTTCTCTTTTATCACTTCCACCAGTTTCTTTTAGATCCCCAGTTATTTTCAAAAGTTCATCAATCTCCCTTCTCAACACTTGACCCATCCATCTCAATCCACTTATCTTTTACCGCTTCCACACTTTCTTCCAGACCCAACATTGGATGATGATAATAATGTATATTGTAAGAGTAAAAACAGTAATACTGAGACAATGCTTAACACTAGTGTTTGTAAGTGCTGAACTATTATTACAACAACTTCAGCAAGGCAACCATGATAAGGCATTCTGGCTTTCCATGAATTTCTTCTCATTGACAACCCATTTACATCACCTGGGTAAAGAGAGGCGAAAGCAGATTCTAGTCGTCAGGCAAGCAACACCCAATAACATCTTTGATGGCATATATAAAAGTGTCCTTTTTATGTGCTTTTGTAACGTACGTAAGAAGTTCAGGCTTAAGGATTGAAAGGGGTGTCTAGATTAACTAATACAAGTCCAGACGTTTCTTAAGGTCCAAAAGAATCAGCTTTTCCTTCTTAAATTTGCAAAAATGAAAAATAGACAAAATGATTATTAGACCATATGGATAGTAGACGAACTTGTTGTAGACCAAGCGTCAATAAAGTGATAAAAACGTCACTAAAGGCCGGGTGACACTAAACTGCTATGGTTACCAACTTTAAAGGCCCACTGCACTACTTGTAGCTACTTGCGCCCTCTATATAACAAACCATGCCTAATCGGTGACCATTGGTCCCCCATGATCCTCTTTTTCTTATGTTAACTGAGAGCTGAGTTGATGAGATAACCACCTGTCCAGTGACCTTGCAGGGCAGTCTAATCCCTCCTGTAAACTATGGCAGATACGCTTTAAGGAAGCAGAGAAAAGGCTGGAATATTAAGGGTACTATGTTTTACCGTCTTCTCCAGTTCTTCGAGAAATGCCACCAGCTGATCGTGTATCTCCTTGTACCCAATGGCCTTGTAGAAGAGCTTGTGCATGGGTGAGATTTCCGTCCTGATACTTTTCACCTGGTCTCTCAGAACACTGCGCTTCCAGATCAAGAGGACAGAGTTGTCCTGGACATCCAAGATCCCCTTAGCCTAGGAGTATCAAATAAAAGGAGCAAATATATAATACAGTTATCTGCATGAATCAAAATCTAACAAGTAAAAAAAAAAATGTTGACCAAATTATGCAAACCATATGCCAAGTCAAATTTTGAATAAGTCAAACTACGGTATGTTTTGCGGTCCGTACAGCTAGATTAAACTTATGCAGAATTAACTGTAATACAGTGGGTATACCCAATCCAATTAAGCACCATTTAGCGGCGACACCAGTGTTTGGTTGTTTTCACTGGATTATGGGAAATATATCAGCTGTGGCTTTGTTATATACAAAATCTTTGTGTATAAGATGCACCCCTATTTTTTTTGGAAAAAAAAGGAGACTCCGTAGGCAGCAAGCTATAGGTCCGTGTTAAAAGAACCATGTGGGGAAGAACATTTATTTGACTGCGAGGTGGAGTTGAAGGCGCCGATTTGTGCTTGTGAACTTGTCACTAATAATAGTAACAATGTCGTTTTTAAAACTAAAGATGACAGACAAATTTTCCTTTAAGTCCAAACAGAAATCTGGCCATACAGGTAGTTGTTCTAGTTTCCGAGTGGTGAGTCAACACACCGTGTATGACTGAGCTGGGAAACATTGCCAGGCACAGTGCCAGGTGGGGGGCTTAAATCGGACACTTAAAAAAAATATTAAAAATTTGGAGGGAAAAGTGCGTCTTATACACTGAGATTTACGGTATATAAACAGTCAAACCTGTCTATTGCGACTGCCCAAGGGAAACACAAAAAGTGGTCTTTGTAGACAGGTGGTCACTACATCAGGTTTGACTGTATACCAGTATATATGAATCTTAGGGATTTCTTTAAATTTTTTGGTAGGGATGGCTTATATAACTTATCTAAGGTCAACATTGCGCTGATTCCAAAAATATCCTATTGACCCCTCTACTGACATTTTTGTTATTTGGCAACATTTTGGCCCAATACTAACATTTTGGTCACTTTTGGTCAAGGGTATATTTTCCCATCGTTATTATCAGCAAAGGAAATTCGATGGGCTAATTTTAAGTGTTACTTGGTGCTACAAAATAGTCATCTTTTGCAACATATAAAACAGAATAAAATATCTCATGTACATGTATTTATAGAAGAAGAAAACAAAATATTTATATATATATATATATATGCTTGGAGAACCTCTTCGACAGAGGTAATAGTGAAGTAAGGTATACAGAGAATACACAGAGAGACAAAATCCCAAGTCTCCTACAAGATTAAACTTACCTCAAGTGTACGTTTACACATTATCGCCTTTTTCTGAATGATTTCGATGTCATACACAGCCAAACCAGTCTGCAATATTAATAAATAAAAATGTGAAAAATCAAAATAATTTGTGTTTTTTCAATATCACTTTATCAACAATCATGATATTAGCAACGGAAGAAATAGAATATAACATACAGTTGTATAGATACTCAAAACTAGAATATAACAAATAAAAAGAGAGAAAAAGCAAAGGACACATAATATTGCCAATGCATGCAGGGCTTATATGTCACAGTATTTATGGTGAAATGCACGATACACAACGATACTTTTGGGTAACTCAAGAATGAAAGGTGGCCTGGTCGGATTAGGGCATTTGTTGAGTACAATTAGATCCAAGCTTTAATATATCACATCATCAAGAACCATAAATCACGGACAAACTAAATTTTTCCCAAACTTGAAAATGACAATTTTTGTGTTGTTGGGGTAACTCAAGAATGAAAGATGGACTGGTTGGTTAGTGCTTTATTGAGTACCGGTACTTGATTCTCAAAATAAACAGATACAAGTCCATTTTTTGCATACTTAAAAAGGGTACAAATAATTTATTGGTTAACTGTATACATTCACTAATATCAAATACACCATCGGTGTGATAGTTACGACTCCTTACCAGGAGATTCATGATGAGTATTGGCATGAAGAATATGAAGAGAAAAAAGATAATGTGTGTAGAGGCTGGATAGAAGACCATGCTTGTAAAGTCCACAGAAGCCACGGGTTGGTAGAGGTAGTCGAGGGAATGAAAGACAGCATCGAAGTTGGGCTCTCCGCTGGCCATGGCCAGGATCTTTGCTAGGGAGTTCGCCACGGTGTGAAAGGGTGCCTAGGAAGGAAAATGACACCAAGTTCAACTTTATATACCGGTAATTCCATTAATAGCATGTACACAAACAAATCAGAAATACAGCACAGAGGCAAATCATTATAGATCCTGACGATTGTCGTCCAAGATCCTGACGATTGTCTACAAGTGCATCCAAAACAAAGCTCCAGTGTATCTCAATTCTCTCATCGTACCCTACCAATCTACTCGTCCTGGCCGTCGCTCATGTACTGACAGTACCCTGCTACATGTTCCTCGAACATACACCAAAGCTGGCGACAATGCTTTCCATGCATGTGCTCCTCGACTCTGGAATGAGCTTCCACGTTTTATTCAATTAGCACCTTCGCTGGATGTCTTCCGAAAAATGTCTCAAAAATCTCCTCTTTGACCATGATCAACAATAAATTCTTTGATAACTTTTATGTAAAGCGCTGTGAAACAACAGTTAGTTTGTAAAAGCGCTATATAAATGACTTTATTGTATTGTATTATAAATGGAATCAAGGGTACCATAAAAGACTTGAGGTGGCCTTGTGGAAATAGTCCCCTTATGAAAATGTTGTTTGTGCTCAAAAGCAAGAGAGTACAATATATCACATGAATATGCCAACAAAAAACATTCAAACATAATGCTTATAAAGACACATAGAAGTGGGCTCTCTTGGGCATTTTGACATTGTTCTGGCGTTTACCCAATAACAGGTGTCATCAATCATCAGGATTAGCCTTCAGTCTTATGGCCAAAAGGCTTTATGCAATATGCTCTGTCTTTTCCCATTAAAGTAATTTTCCAGACTTTCCAAGATAGGCCTACAGGTTCACTGTGTGCAGACTTCAACACACATTAATGGTATTTCCACACAGTCTGGTGTCATTGACAATATTTACCTCTTAAAGCCTTCCTGAGGACAGCCGACAAAATACATATCTCTAGAAATGTTTATCTCCTATCTACGGTACTACAAAAGTATAACCGCTGGCTATTCAACTACTCATACTTTTAGTATACTACTCTCAGAATGTACAATCTTATCAAATTCCTTTAATTGAACATCTAAAGACATGGTTGAATTGCTTTATAGTTTCATGAAACAGAAATTATATCAGAGATTTTTGAGACAGTCCATACCTGATTTAAAAGCAAAATACAGAACACCACAGCGAAGGCGATGGCGAAAATGCCGACAACGAAGATGAAGTTCAGAAGAGTAGATAGCACCTCTGTTTAAATAAGGGAAAACCAGAAGATTCAGGGCATAATAATTAGCTTTGAAAGATTACTGTGAAGCCATGAAATGATAGAAAATGATCCCACATTTTCTCTGACGACAATTTCATCAAAAGTAAAGGATTATTTTGTCACAAATGAATAAATGAATAATAATAATTAAAAAAATGATTATGTGTAAAGCATCCATTTGCATTTGCATATCCATTTTGCAGAAATGCATAAGATGCTGCGAGCATAAAAGATAAAATGACAGTATTATTATTATTATTAGCAGTAGTAGCACTAGTAGTAATATCATAATTATTCTTATTATTGTTATTATAAATATCATTATTATCGTTAATATAATTATTGTTATTATTATTAATAGTATCATTATTATCATAATCATCACCGTCTCATTTATTAATATTATCATTAATATTGTCATTATTATTATCCTCATCATCATCATCTAAAAAAGAAAGAGCCAATCATACCAAGAAACATGAAGATATAGAGACCAAAGAATGGAACAGTCTGCAGGAACAGGATGAAGTTGAACCATGTCAGAAACACTGCGAATGCACCAAGCTGCCATTGCCAATCCTGTAAAAAAAAATGCATATACACAAATATTATTTTTAAAAGCAAAGATGAAATATGGTTACGAAGGTTAATTCATTTAAGGATCTTTTCTTTGGCTATCTGCGTGTGGAAAATGTTCTTTGGCTGAATGGATGTGTGTGGGTGTGGGACTCAATGCATGCATGAGGGTGTGGGATGTAACTGTGGGTTGCGTCTTTAGCAGCAGGTGTGTGTGGGTGAAGGACTCAATTTGGGTTGTTTCTTTGATTCTATGAGGGCTTTGGATGTGGGTGTGGTTGCATCTTTAGCAGCAGGTGTGTGTGAGCGAAGGACTCAATGTGGGTTGTTTCTTTGATTCTATGAGGGCGTTGGATGTGGGTGTGGTTGCATCTTTAGCAGCAGGTGTGTGTGGGTGAAGGACTCAATTTGGGTTATTTCTTTGATTCTATGAGGTTGTGTGGGTTTTGGAGGCTATATGTGGGGTAAGGTTTTTTTACTGCATGAGAGTGTCGATTGTAGAGGGGTCATTGTGGGTTGCTTTTTTGGTCGTAAACGTGAGTGTGGGTTGCTTCATATACTGTATGCAGCTGCGTGTGTGCGTTGGAATTAGTGTGGGTTATGTATTTGGCTGTATGCTCTCAAGAATGTGGGAGTCATTTGCTGATTTGGCTGTGTGTTGTTGAGGTGTAGGAGTCAATGAGAGTCGTTTCGAATGCTTGTGTGTGTGTGTGGTTGAGTGTTTGTTTTTGTTGTTGAACGTTGTTCATGTTATTTAAACATATTTGTGGCTTACATCCAGTAAATAAGATCGAAGTCATCGAGTGATCGATCTGTATTGAAAAACAAGTCGGACAAAATCTTGGAACCAGCGAGACTTGAACATGCATCTACTGCAGGAAGCATTACATTTATAAAAACTTGTTCATGTTGTTGTAAGAAAGTGCAGGGGTTTAGAGTCAGTGAGGATTTTTACACAAAACTCTGCTCAAGGGAAACAAAACAAATATAGTTTCGAAATATAGGAGGTCAGTCATATACGGTGCCAAGTATTACTGAATCGTATCATGGAACTGTAAACATAAATGTACACAAATATCATTTTATTTCATTTTCTGTCTGATCCAAGCACTATTAGGACTATCAGCTTGATGCACCCATTAGGGTTGTGTTTCATGATACTTGTTATCAATAACAATTAGTTAGAATAACCGTTATAAGCTCCTAAAATTGTGACAGTTGATTGGCTGAGAGCAAATTTGTTATATAAATTCAGTATAGAGATTTGACTGCTACCCTGGCTACGAGAGGACTGCCTGATTTATACGCTCAAGGCAAATTTACTGAGAGCCAGTATAGAAACAGCGAGTACTAAAGTATTAAAGCAGTCGATATCCCTTTTATTTGCTGAATTCAAACAAAAATCTACTAAGAATTCTTACCTCATCCTTTTATTGAGTAAAGATTGGTTAAAACATCACAGAAAATCTGAGGAGCTGTCTGTTTATCACCGACAAAAAATGACTGAAATTTTCAATCAGTTGGGAATCGCAGACAAAAAACACTGTATGGTGTCCGCGCTCGCTCAAAGAACATTTAAACACGTAAACCAATGGGCATCGCAGCAAGATTATATATTTTTCCCGGTAACTGGAATTTTGCTGAGATTTTACTCTTGGACTATTAATCAGTTTGGGCATTTTTCGTTTCTTTACGGGAATGGCTAAAAATCATGACTGCAATTTCAACCAATCAGATGGCTGGATTTCTTAAGTGAGGTATATAATATTTGTTATTGATCACAAGTTTTACGAAACAGGACACAGATATTCTGAAATCTTATATGTGGTCAATAGCATATGGTCCAAGTTAAGCATAGGAGATTACACAAGAGCAATCGTGGCAGGAGCATGTGTTGTACAACCCTATGGGAAGTGAAATGATTCACAAAATGTCATCATAGCGAATGTTGCACCAAACAATACTTACTGGTTTTAGGTTGACCCCATAGCCGTAGGTCAAGTCACCAAGGCCGGGCACTATGAAGAGTGTGATGAAGACCACGAGCGCCACTTCTCTCAAAATGCTACCCACACCGCGGATGTTGTTTAATGTTGTGTGTCTGTAGATCACTACACGATAGACCTATTCATGGGAAATAATTTTAAAAATATCATATGGTTGCACAGTCAAACCTGTTTTTAAGGCCAGCTAAGGGAAAAAGGAAAAAGGGCCGGGTAGACTGGTGCCTATGCGACAGGTTCTACAACACAGAGTTCTTTCTTGAGGGAGATAAAATACATGTACACTTTAGACTGGTGGCCACTAACACAGGTTTGACTGTATGAGACATGGCCCAGGAAAGTTCATCTGCAGCAATATCCAACACTGACCAAACACTTAACTTCAATCCTAGACCAAACACTGTACCTAGCAATAACCCTAATCCTAAACCTAACACAAAATCTAACTGCAAATGTTAACCTATCCCTGTACTTTTATAAATATTATTAAACTTGAGGTTGCATTCAACAAAATATAAAAGTTATAGAAAGAATTTAGTCAAACGCAAGGGTTTAAAGGTGGAAGTTTATGTCATGATTTTCTTTCTTACAAATTCAATGAAGTAGATCACAGTGAGCGCAAGGATGATCCAGGCCCCAACTCTTCCAAACAGGACCAAAGCAAAAAGGTTCATGTTCTCCTGCCACTTGCTTTTTCCGTCAGCCAACCAGGTGTAGTTGTTGCCTTCAGGGTTGGTCTGGACATAGAACGGTGGAGGGATGACCAGGCTGTGGCCGGTGACGAGGACAACGAGGGTGAAATGGAGGAAGAGGCTGATCCAATATTTCAGTCGAGTCGATTTGTTCTTGTAGCGGATCATCAAGCGGACTACAGGGTGATTCAGCAACATTTTACTCTCATCCTTCTGAATCTGAAATGACAGATCAAATAATATCATTAACCCTTAGAGAACAAGAATGAGTTTAATGGCTAAATCGATCACATATTATTCTTTAAAAAGGCAACAATCTCTATTTTTCTATTTTTTCAAGTTTTTTAATGAAATGTAATATCTCTGAAAAAAATGATTGTTAATCTCTAAACATGTTGCACATATTTAAAAAAAAAATTTTTTTTCCTTTTTAAAATACTTGGCTTCAAATGGAATATAGTCATGAAACAAAAATAGATGCAGTCTGTGCACCAAAAATCCCTTTCAGGGCTCTAAACTAAATATTTATTGAGTCAAACCACAAAAAGTGGAATGATTGTATCAAAGGGGCTAAAGAAACAATGCAGTGTAGTTTAATCCCAGTGATACCAGTTGTTTCCACTCCATTAACCTGAAAAGACACCAAGACATGTTCGAGCTCTATAAAATTTGTACCCTTAGAAGCCTGAAAGAGCAACTACTGGGCCTGAATTCAGGCAAAAGCCTAACAAATGGCATTCATATTAAACCCTAATACAGTGGAAATAGACCAAATTATTTGCTGATACCTGACCAAAGACGTGGCTCTCATCTTTGCTAGATATTGGGAAGTAGTTGTGTGATGACTGGATATGATGACGAGTACACCAAAGAAAACACAGCAATAAACTATGGCCGTTTTTACTTGGCATGTGTAATCAGGCTTTTAGGGTTAACCTTGTTTCTTACCATGAGTCTGAGAGGATGGTTCTCAGAACGATATACTGGGTCAGTCACATAGATCTTTGCGTCCTCTTTCAGTGTTCCATCGGCATGGAAATTGGAGTTCTGCTGTAAACGATGTAAAGATGAAGTCATTCATGGTGAGTTCAAGTAGGAGTTGGGGTTGTTTGGGGCACCCAAAATGTAATTCAGGACCCCATAAATAACATTTAACATGAGCTCATGCATATACAGACTCTAAGTTCAAGTAGGAATACAACACAAGTAGGAACCACGAAAGGAATGACCCCTGAGTGAGTGGTGTTTATTTTACCTGACTGCTAAGAAAGCATAAATGCTTGTAGGTAAGCAACCAGACGGACGACAGCTTTAGGTCCTCTCTGAAGGACCTGATAATTAGGATTAATGCCTTACCAAAGGGCACTAGCGCATCGACTTGGTTTAGAACCCGGGTCACCGGATTGTGAGACCACTGCTCTACCGACTGAGCTATCGCGCCTTCTTAGTTGTTTGGGGCACCCAAAAGTTAATTCAGAACCCCCAAAAATAACATTTAACATCTATCTACCATCTACCCCCCAAAAAAAAATTAAATTAAAAAAAAAAAAAAAAATAGTGAGGGTGAAGCCCCTTGCCCACCAAAGGTAAAGCTGTCACATTTAACATAAGATTTTATGGAATATCTACATGTACATTGAATTACACTAAATTACCAGAAATATTGGCTTTTTATAAATTTATCAACTTATTTTCGGACAGATTATTGAAATAATGCATGTAAAGGTATTTGTTTTCCTATTTGAAAGTGAGAGATATGTAATGATCTGTGTCCATCACCAACTTATCCAAAGACACAACATGTAGAGGTTATAATAGAACTAAAATTGTATTTGGTATATAAGTGTCTATTGTTAGGCAGGCCAGAAATATTCTGTGATTCAACATGTTCTTTAGTGTCTTCAATGTGGTCTGACTGCTAAGAAAGCATGAGTAAATGCTTGAAGGTAATAACCTAGCATTTTTTCTTTTCAAGACATAAAGTGTTTATCTAATACTACAGAGTTCAGTGACTATGTGCAATTCATTTGTTGTGTGCAGTTACCATTTCATTTACATGTAAGAAAACCGCTGCAGCTATTTGCAGTGATTTACAGCACAAAAAGTGAACAAGCCCTAACATGCCACAGCAGGCAATGTTCATTGTACAGATGCAAATGAGTAGTCTCGATTCGAGATCATTGTTTCATGCCGTGAAATAATTTTAATGGCAATGACACAATACTAAAATATTTGTACTTCATATATTTCAAAATTTTCTGGTTTTAAAATAAATGAAAAAAATCATTTCCCAGGGCCCTGCTTTATAAAAACATAACAAACAAGCCCCTGAAATTGTGGAATTTGATTGGCTGAGAGCAAATTTTTCATATGAATTTAGCATGTGTTATTATTAATATTTAGTCTTACCGATTCCTCGTCAATGTTGTGATCTGAACCACCTAACGTGCTGATGGTGCGCAGCAACGTGTCACCAGTATCATCATAGTTTCCCCTACCTGTAATGATTGAAGGACACAGATATTATAAAATGAAAAAAAGAGGGAGCAACCACACAGAATTCCCCATCACACAAGTATTGACTAACTACACAAGCCACGTCCAGTGCAAGAACAGGAACTAATCCTTGGCGTTAAACCCTTCCAAGTCTTAAGTGTACAGCTTCTGGAAGAAGCGTGCCACGGAGGACCACCTCCCAGAAGCGTGCACAGAGGACCACCTCCTAATTTGGTCCGGAGCGTGCCAAGGCAAACAGTACCATACTTCAAAGAGCGCCCAAACACAACTTAGTCTACAGCCTTCACCTCTTTGAGGGTACAGGGTTCTAGTTGGTGAGTGAGACGATAATAAGTTTCATCACCCGTTTCTCCCCAGTCACACAAAGTTTCTCTACAAGTAACCCTCACCCTGTGTCTGAGTCTGACCCTAACTGTGACCTCTGCACTAGAGCCTAAACCTCACCCCAATTCTAACCTTAACCCGTTAACTACTGAATTTATTTGTTGCCATAGGCTTAACACAGAGGCCACCAGGTTCCAGGAAGCAATGGGTTAACCCAATTTTCTCACCCCTACCCTAACACTAAGAATAACCCTTAACCTAATACCTTGTAATAGAAAAAATAGACCTATCCTGTAAGTGTTAAAGAAATGAAAATCATATTCAAGAGTGTGAACTTCTTACTGGATGTAGTTTGAGTTTGAGTTTGAGTTTGAGTTTGAGTTTGAGTTTGAATTTGCATCCAATCTGAAAACCAGTCTTCCAGGAGCTCATAATCTACTTTGATATTCACAGAAGTCGTGTCATCGATGTCGGTGTCTGTTAATCTGGTGATGCATTTGTCTAGGACGAACTGGCACACGCCTACAGGGAAAAAATTATTTGATTTCCTGGGTACCGTGCAAATCATCAAAAATCTTCCGAATATGGGAATAGGGACTATTAGTCAATTAGCAATAATTCAAATACTTTTTGAGAAATAGATATGAAACTGCATGAGCTAATTCTTTATGGCATATATACACTGTCCGTGTGCCAAGTTTCAAAATTCGTTGTCACTCCATTGCCAAGATCATAAAAGAGGGGGGGGGGGGTTGTAATTCCCCACCTTTTGGCCGAGAGAGCTACAAATAATCCACCCTTTTAAAGCTTAAGGTGACAAAGAAAGAATTGTGTTTAGAGTCTACCTGGCATGGTGGTGATGAGGTTCCTCATGGGCGTGGTCTTGTTCGCCCCTTCACCGGTGGAGTGGGCCATGAGGGAGCGCCAGTTCTCTTGGGATAACAGAGTCACTGCCACCATCCTATCAACAAAGAAATGCATGCACAAACAACAGATTGTCAAAGTTACAAGGATAGTGACCCCCTAACTGTATTAATTTGGTTTTAATAGAAGCAAAACAATTAGAGAAACAGGTACAGAAAATTTATGACATTTTCTTTACAGAGCATATTGGAGAGGAGCTCACAAGATACATCTTGCAGTGTTGCCAATTTTTTTTCCCCTGATGACAACTTCAAAAACTCATGAGTTTCCTATTTTTAATCAGATATTAGCGACATCATTACAAGAACGATAATACTTCACTGAAAATCACCCATTGAATAATTAAAAATGGAAATTGTCTCTGAACTCCAGATAACAACGTTTTACAATTAACAATTTGAAATACATCATTTCAGCTGTTTGAGTGTTTCCATATTATTGTTCTTCATTTAACCTGCCGACTACTAAATACTCTAATTCCCATAGGATACATGGACCACCAGGTTCCGGCATTCAATTGCTTACTTGACGATTGTTGCAGCGGCACACTTCCTGTAGTGGCAGTAACTCATTTGTGTAAAGAAAATTGACCAATCATGTTTCTCGTGGCAATTAACTGTAATCCTTGGCCATAAAAGTTAACCTTCCAATTAGTTGAAAAAGAAATTTAACCCATCGCTTCCTGTAGCGTGGAGTCCCCTTATTATGCATATGGGCACGAAAGAATTCAGTAGTGGAACAGGTCAATTGGAAAATGCCCAAGCTAACTACTGCAACCTACTCGTGCCCGTTACGGATGGCGTGGTCCAGGCAATTTCGGCCCTTGCGGTCGCACTCAAAGAACCTGATCTCCCCCTGATTCTGCTCCAGAAGCATCTCCACGATGAGAATATTCCCGACTTTGCAGGCGTACATCAACGGGGTCATCTGCAGAGGCAAAAATATTCGAGAACAAACATGGAACAGGATCCTGTTTCAGAAAACTTGTTATTAATAACAAATGCCTAATTTCCCTGACAAATTTCCACTCAGATGATCGAATGCCACGATTTCTGGCACAGGATGTTCTAATTATATATCTGGATAAATCAATACAATCTCTACTGATTTTCAAAGCGTGAAGCCATTAGAGATTATTACTCAAAAGCATTAAAGGACCTTTTTGAAATGTTAAAGCATACACAGACATATAGCCAAAGGTAGTACAGCTATAGAAGACATTTGTTTTTTACTTTTTACTTTATCATCTACAGGCATATTGTTCAGAGTGGTAGCTTCTCCAGATTCTCTATGGATAGAACTTCTCTATAATATTTCTTTAACCTCTTAATAAAAAACCAAAAAATAACAAAATGTTGGTCAAAAGACTTTGACCCTAATTTTTTCCCCCCTCCTGACCAGCACATTATGATTTTGAATTAGGTTTGTAAGCTGTCATTTATGCATCCATCCATGAAACCTTTTCCCCACTACTGTCTAAAGAAGCTGTAAATAGGAAGCTGTACATCAGGTGAAATAAATACTGGCATTACAGTCAATATCAAAGACACATTATATGATATATTTGGGTAAAGTGTATGTGTGTGCATGTAATGGGTTTTTTACAAATGCGTATCGATCCCATATGATTATTTACAGCCAACCGAAAGACACAGCTCAGTTCCAACCCGGACCTGAGTCAATTTTTAGGCGAAGACAGAAAGCAGAATGTACCACTAGACCAACTGACAACTCCCTAAAGGTTTACTAATAATGATAATAATAATCTCTTATCCTGCCATAATAAATACAGCCTAATGCCACAGGGATAATCCCCATTGTGCCAAGCCTCCAATCCCCCTGTGCCAAGTTAATTTTGAGATAATCGGATGAACGCGATGGTACTATCAATAGCGTGTGCAAAACACTAGGCGCAGTGCAATGGGCATGAACAATAACTGCTATTACGAATGCGAGCATGCATGCACAAAGCACATAAGCGGTAGCTCGCTCGCATGAATGAAGCAACCAATCGATAGCGGGCTTGCGTGTAAAAAGCACTTTAACGGTAGCGTGCAAGTAGCCTTATGGCATGATATGAGTTGAAATACCGTCTCTATAAGCACTTTACAGACATTATTACCCAGGTCATCAGATTTATTCAAGCACAATGTGCACCATCTCCACTTCCTGGGGAGTATTCCTACCATATGGTTACCATTTGGCTATTACTAACACCATTGCTTTGGCATCCTACAAGGTCCCCATCTCACTCCTGGGTATGGAGTGGCAATGCAGATTAATGCCTTGCCAAACTTTGCATTTTAAGTCAAGTGCTTAAATCACTCAACTAAGACACATCTACATAAGGTAAAGGTTATAGGTCATAACTTAAAGATCACAATAGCTACCTACCCCTTTGTTGTCTTGCATGCCAGCTAGTACCTTGTTGGTCTTGAGAAAGAGCTTGGTAGTCAGTTTATGGCCTCGTTTGATTGCAAGGTGAAGAGGGGTTTGTCCCAAATGATTCCTAATCAGTGGTCAAAGTTCAAAGGTTAAAAAGGAATCATGAATCTCAAAATAATTTCTTTAATAATGCAATCAAATGGAACACATAAGATTGAAAAGCATTTCCAAATTTAGGGAGGACCTTGGTAGTCAGTTTATGGCCTTGTTTGATTGCAAGATGAAGTGGGGTTTGTCCCAAACTAATATTAATCAATGGTAAAAGGTCAAGGGTTTATAAAAATCGTGAATCTCAAAATAATCGTTGAAATAATCCAATCCAATGCAACAAATAAGGTTGAAAAGCATTTCAGAACTTCACTACCCTTATTTTCAAGCACAACTTGCTTCTTGTTTTCATGATTTTAAATTTTTTTTATGATGCAAAATAAATTGCATTGAATCGAATCGAACTGAATTTAGCAAAAGCACACACCCTTAAAATAACAACTTCAAAACATCGGCTGAGCTAAAATAAAGACACAAATTTACAAAATAATGAATGGCAAAGTTCAAGGGTTAACCACTTGACCTCCTTTTCTTACTTTCTTCTTCTCCTTTTTTTGTTGTTGGGAGGGGGGGGGGGGGTATTTTTTTGCAGATGAGCATCGATGACCCCCTTGTGTACCCCACCCTGGCTTTGCTTAAGTACAGATTTTATGGACAGATTCATTATAATTCCTCCTCACCAGGGCCTTGTTTCATGAAACATATTGTCAATACAAGTTAAAATGACTGTTATAAGCTACTGAAATCATAGCATTTGATTGGCTGAGAAAAAATTTGTCATTGAAATTTAGCAGTTGTTATTGATAACAAGTACTGAACTTAAAGGGATCCGGTAACTTTGTCTCAGATTCTGAAATAAAATTCTGGATTTAGCTCATGATGCAATGATTATTACAAACCTTTAGGTCAGCCAGGAACCCCATGACTTTTACAAGCCGATCGCCTGTCTGATTATCAAGATATTTATGATTAAAATTACAAATTTTGAAAACCGTTCGCCTGACGGTTTTCATAACACTACAGTCTATTGGGGAAAACGAGTATGGTAAAACCGGTCACTCAAAGATTTTTACTTTTTTGAGGCACTTCTTGATCGTTTTGAAGCGCAATTTTTTTAGGGCTTCAATATTACACCATATCACATACACTGATAACACGTAGGGCCGTGTATCTCAGATTTAACATTGTTAAACGATCCCTTTAAACCTTTTAAAAAAATCACTCAGAGGAATTAAGGAAAGAGTGAAAGGAACACAAAATGGGGAAGTATATACCAACAGCCATGCGTTCACAGCCTTTTCACTATGACTAAAGGCTACGAAGTACAGTCAAACCTATCTATAAAGGCCACTCATGATCAAGGAAAACAGAAAAATTGGCTCCTGTAGGCAGGTGGCCTTCCTAGACAGGTTCTATAACCCACTCACTTCTTTCTCAAGGGAGATGAAATACTTGGCCACTACAGACAGGTGGCCTTTATAGAAAAGTGGCCACTCTTACGGTTCGACTGTAATATTGAAAGCTTCAATTTGTGAAAAGTCTCAAAAGCTTACTGTTCACAGAGGCCCACATCATCCTGGTTCTTCAGTAGAGCTTTAGCAGTGTCGAAATGACCACCCTGGGCTATCAGGTGCATGACGGTATTCTCCTGGGAATCCTTCAGGAAGACATAACGCCTGTGCCAACCAACAAACTCCAGCAGACTCCTGAATGGGATGCCAGAATTAGACGAAAGGAATTAGTTGTGAGTTTCTTTTTTGGGCAAGAGAAAGTTATGCTTGTGCCATGCAACAACTTCTATCTAGCACACTCATGCAAAGGGTACAGGAGTTATAAAGACTTCAGTTTAGCATCTTGCGATGAGAATCTCTCAGAAACTACCCTTAAGCTGCCTGATGGCCATCATCAGCTTCCTGTCCAACCCGGTTAAAGTATTTTTGCTTTTAATATGGATACTTGCATCTCAAATGTGAACAAGATGACACCTACCCATTGAAAATGGTTTGAAACCTCCTAACATACTTTTGTTATGGTCCGATGAAAAGTCCCATTTCAGAAGCAAATTGAATGATTTCTTCAGAAAGATTTTAGAGGTACTTCAGAAATTGTATTTTCCAGATAATAATTAAGTATTTGTGGCAACGCCTGATTTCTCATACAAAAAAGAACACACTGTCCGGTCAGGTGGTCACCTTACACGACCTTTCTTGAAATCAAAGCTGAAGATCATGTGACAATGAATGAGAAAGGATGGGAGCTTTCATAGATTTTCTGCAGGATTTTCACAAAGCGTCGGGTAACGCGATGATTCAAATAAGCGAGTTCATAAATAGCTCTGGCCTGCATGACCCCAAAATATCCACAGATCTTAGACACGATGGATACTTCCCACCTGTGCATTTTAGAATAATCACTGCCAAAGTGATGGAGGTGCTTCATGAATACCTTTTGTTTGCCTCTTGAGAAGAATACTTCCACCTGTGTATCAGATAATTTTACTGTTGGTGCATAAATGAATACTGATTACATAACTTTCATGAGCACGATCCGAGTATTCGTCTCAATGGTTTTACAATTTGGGTACGAATGACCTTTATCTGCCCATGCGCAAATCCTAATTACGAACTCGCTTATTAAGCCATCTTACTCTGTCTGTCCCTTGGCTGCACAGAGCAGTATGATCTTCTCAATCTCCATGGATTCACAGCCGGTACTGATGTCATCAAAGCTGTTCAGCAACTCCTATTAAAGAGGTCAACAAAAAAGGAAAGACATAAAGAAACCTTAAAGAATGCACTTACAGTTAACAACTTAAAGATAAACCTTAGTTCTGGAGAAAAAAAATATTTAAAAAAAAATTCTCACAGAATCAAACGAAACTTACATTGAATGTTCAAGATTACAAATAAATGACATGAGCCAAACAATTTTGGAAGAAAATGTGTACTGGCTGAGTAATGAGCAAAGAAAGATAAGGAAATCAAGGTATAGTACTAGCCAGACACCATTTGTGTAGTCCCATATGCATCTTTCTGTGTACAGTGCTTGATACTTTACCAAGACTGGGCCAAATTTATTATGATTTTGATGACTCCATAACCTTGCAGTGCACACCAATAATTACATGCTACATATGATCAACTGTTTCTGATCTATTCCACACCTTTTCTTTCACGATGCAATCGCATTACCAAAACTCACCTTTATCTTTAATCATGCATACCCCAACCAAATTATAAATATAACTTTTTTTGAGAATGTGAAAAATTGATTGGACCCAATTTATTTTATGCCTGACAAATCGTCACAACATCTGATGGGGAATGGTCATTTTCATATGCAGCCACTGTTTCATGGAATTACTTGTCGGAATAGCTTAGAAACATAGAAACATATGAAAAGTTCAGAAGTAGTTTTAGCACTTAATCAGTTCTCACATTTGTGAAACCATGATCGCATCATTAATTTCCACTCCTTTATTGGTATTATTATTATTAAACCAACCTGGAGGACCAAGGACAGGTTTTTCTCAACTGAGATCCATCTGATAAGATTCACCATGATGGACAAATCTGGGTTCGCATGTCTGAGAAGAACGACCAGGCAATCGCTCGATCCCGTTGAAGCGGTGAACTTGAGCAACGATTGGGATCCATGAATTTCATCGTCCAAATTCAGCCTCAAATCGATGTCATGACTAAAAATGTATAGAATCGGAAAAGAAAGAATTGTGGTAAAGCATAAGAATGGAAATGTTACGAGAAGGGCTTTGTCCAACGTCTGGATGAACTATAGCCTGATTTATAGATAGATAGATAGATAAGGCTTTATTCAAGGGCTTCTCAAAGTCTGGACCACCCTAGGGGCTCGATCTGCTTTATTTAATATCATGTTTTTAACTGTAACAGTTCCCCTAGACCAAAAACAAGCCTCTTTTTTATTATATAATTACTAGCAGGACCCGCGGAAATCCGCGGGATTCTAGAGGTGGGCGGGGGGGGGGGGGTGTAAATAGATATATAGAGACTGTCTAAATTAAAACCACCAAGAACTTTATTTGCCATTCAGGCCATTAAAAAAATATACATGTTTAGCGTCCCCGCCCGCTTTCTTTTTGGGGGCCGCCTCCTATTTTTTTTTTTTGAAAGAAAAAAAAACAGCGTCCCCGCCTGCTTCCTTTTTGGGGGGCCGCCTCCTATTTTTTTATTTTTTTTTTTATTTTTTATTTTTTATTTATTTTTTTTTTTTTTGAAAGAAAAAAAACATGAAAAGCACTGCTAAAATGTATTTCTGATTTTAAATAAGAAAAAAAAAATTGTCGGCCGCCATCTTGAAAAATAGCCCGAATGTCAGGGAAAAATGTACGGAGCGGCCATTTTGAAAGAAAAAAAAAAAGGGCCTCCTCCTTCCCATTTTTCGAAAAAACAGGATGCTAAAAATGTTTTTTTTTTAATTTGGCCTTATATAAAAATTAAAAAAACGATCCAACTGTACCGGTAATTATTCTTTAAGCCACTGGAACTGCGTACAGTTCCGTAGTGTGGCGTACCGACTATGCAGAAATTAGGCTGCGTATTAATGGGAAAATAGTCCCTGCGTAGGTTATGCGTAGGCTGGCGTACAGGTTTGCTTATGGTTGCTTACTGTGTGGAAAGCTTTTACTGCTTTGTCGATCTGGCGTAGGGTAGCGTACTGTTGCGTAGGCATGTAGCGTAGTGTTGCGTAAAAAGGCTGCTTTCTGCGTCAAGTTTCTACGCCGAAAGTACGCAAAAAAAATTAAACATGTTGAATTGTTTTCTTTCATCTTGCGTACCCCTTTTCGTTCCTCAGCATATAGTAACGTAGGCCAGCGTAGTTTGTACGCAACACTACGCAACTCTACGTATTGACCCCACGCCAATTAGTGACCTGCAAGTGTCACAAATAAAGTATTTAAAATATGCTCATCTGACCCTAATTAAACACCTAAACCCCCCGAGCTTTCGGGGGTTTATGGACTCTTGAAACCCGTGGACCCCACGCCTATATTATATATACACTCAACTCGCTGCGATCTGATCTCGATCTCCCACACCCCCCCCCCCCCAACTTTGAAGAACGTAACCCCCGAGCTTTTGGGGTTTTTATGGCCCCTTGAAACCCGTGGACCCCACGCCTATATTATATATACACTCAACTCAGGACCCGCGGAAATCCGAGGGATTCTAGAGGGGGGCGCAGGCAAAAAATTAAGTTTTTCATTTCGGGGGCTCCATTTCAAATTTTTGGGAAATTTTCGGGGACTACTTTTTCCAACTTTCGGGGGCTCTTTTTTCTGGGGCTACTTTTTCATTAATTCATAAAAGGATAGGCCTACACTTTGTTGAGATTTGTTTAGTAGGCTCAGGACAGGTTTCAGGCTTCCTATACTTCATAATTGCCTATTTAAAAAAAAAAACATTTTTCTAGTTCAATAACTAAGTTTTCATGCATTGATTTGATGCAAGAACTGTAACATAATAGACCCTAGATTGTGATTATTTCTGACCATGAATTTCGATAATCATTTTTCAAAGTAAAATTTTCACAAGAAAATCAGACAGTCGATTAAAAACGTAAACATTAGTAATACTTTTACTAATTCTAAGATCAGGTTTCGTAAATCTATTCACGAAACTATATTGAAATCGCGGCAATAATGATGCAAACCAACAGATAACAATTTCAAAGTGTCAAATCTATTCGACTCGAGCTCAGCTCAACTCACACACACCATTGTATTACGTCTATGCACACACACACACAGTGTAACTCCAGAAAGCTCGAACACCGGCGCCGCAGGCCTCGGACGCCTGCGGTGCGCGGAGCCGGTGTTGGAGCTTGCTGGAGTTAAATTGCAGCTCACACACACTGCACAGCAGCACTGCACTGACTGAAGGCAGCTTGCGACTGAATTGTCAGTCCAATGGTTTTCTTGTGAAAACTTTCCTTTAGAAAATGATAATCAAAATTTAGTAGCATGGCCGTAATAATCACAAAATAAGCTTTCATTTCATACCTCCATTCACGACACCTATATAAAAATCGCGGCAATAATGATGGAAATAGGTCCCTAAGTTTGGACGTGGACGGGAAGCTTCGTGTGTATCTCTGTGGCTCGTGCAGCTGAATACTATACAATGGATATCCTATAGAAAGATGCTTTACTCGGGTAAGCCCGACCCTGTGCGTCGTGCATTTAATACGCAACTTAATGTGAGTGGACAGTCATCGGTCGTGTGTCTACGGATGTCATGTTGAATATCCATGAGGTATCTCTGTCGTCACGCATATCCTGCATTATGCATGTCGCGTCTGTTTTCGCCCTGGACGTCGACACGGAGGAGGACCTCGGGCGGAGTATAGCCAATTCCACAGAGTGGACTCTCCCGCGGACGATGGCACAGGGCACGGGTACCCCGAGGGGAGGGTTCAGGAGGAGATAGCCGCACCAACTTCGGTCGGCGATCTCATTAAAAAACAATAGAATACAAAGGCTCGCCGAGACGTCGCGCCCCCCGCGGAGCCTTAGCGTATTATTATTATAGACAAGTGTCATTAATGTACATTTTAGGAGTACATTGTCCGAGTCTGAACAAAATTTGAGTTATGTTTGAGTCATGTCCGACTTTCTAGCAACTGATATTAACGTTATTTGTTTTACTTAATTGGACGTACCATATACGAATGACCGGAAGAATTTTCGAGCAAATGTCTTCCCATGTTTGGGACCCTTTAGCTTTCATGGAAATCATGTACATCCGAAACGTCAAAGAAAAGTTTGAGAACACCAGTCTATACAGAATATGTACTTGTGCGTGTAGAGGCATTAACAGATTTTTTCTAGATTCCATCAAGGCAGTCCCTAGGCTGGTATAAGACGTTACCTTTGCAACATGAGACATTTACAAGACAAGACAAGACAACATAAGACATTTACCTTTGCAACATGATACACAGCTCTTCAGCAACTTCAGCATAGTTGCCCCTGCAGGCGTAGTGCAGGGGGGTTAGCCCCTTGGCGTTCCTTGTATCCAGGAGCCTCGGGCAGAGATCATGTAGCATGTGGACGATGTCGAGATGTCCGTGCTTGCATGCCGTATGCATGATGGTGGAACCGAACCTCGATTTGAAATCGAGGAGGTAATTGGAGGGACCACCCTCACTTTGATCCACTGGACGAACTGTTTATCATGAGATTAATATTACATTCATAAAGTGCCTTTTCATTAGATACAAAGCGCATAAATGTGAAATACTTATAAACAAAGAGAGAGAACAATATCATAACAAATCAGAAAAGATGTGATTTGGGGGGAGGGGGGCAAAACGTACTTTCACTTTTCTGTTTACTGGCTCAAGGGACTCTACGTGTTATTCCTGGCCTGAGGATTTCCTGACATAGCAACAAGTATTGTAGTTCATTCATTAATAACAGGTTAATGGAATAAATTGTCACTACGTCCCCAGGAAAGAAACTTTCAATAATTTGAATATGTTGGTAAACCGGTCTATTCAGCAAGAATTCTCCTTAACCTGTTGACTACTGAATTATCTCATTCACATAAGCTGTATACAGGGACCACCCGGTTCCAGTAAGCAATGGGTTAATTTGACTCACCACATGTCATACAGCACCTGATCAGCATCTGGCTACCAGTCTTGATGGCCTCATGTAGGACAGTCTTCTGATATATGTTCTGAGCTAACAATATCTGCAACGATAAAACACAGCAAAACATCCCATTTGAAAGTTTTACATGTTAACATGTCTAGAGCTCAGCTGTCTTCCTCAGACCCGAATCGGCAGACTGAAATAAGCCGCCAGGTGCATGTTACAGGCATATTTTCTTTTTCGGGATATGTGATTCAAGAACTTTCAAACCATTATTACAACCATCCTGATGAAACTCTTTTATAATCCTATTTGACTATTTATTTGTAATCTTGGAAACATTCAATTTGTGTCTGGGTGAATTAAAAAAGGCAACTGAATCAAGTCTTTAAACTCATTTAACTGAATGGGGAATTAGACACCATTCAGATTTTACCCAATAACAGATGATGTCAATCACCAGGATTAGCTTTCAGTTTCATGACCAGCAGGCCTTATGAACTACCATGCATTCCCCCATATGTGAAAGTCATTATCTATATTTTCCCTCCAAAGAAGACTCTTCAAGAGGGTATTTATTGATAGGCCTACAGGTTTGAAGTGTGAAGACTTGTACATCCATTAATGGTATTTCTACTAAGTCTTGTGTCAGCAAAAATATGGCCTTGTACAAATGGAAACTGATGACCCGATCCCTTTAAGACACAATCTTCCTGGAAAAGAAAGACTCTCACCTTCTGCATGTCGCATCCTCTACGCTGGCAAGTTGACAGGAATCGTAGAGCATACTTCACATTGCCCTTCTTCAGGATGATGTAGAAAGGCGTGTTCTTCGCAGCGTTTACGGCAAGGGGGTTAGCTCCATTTTCCAGGAGCAGGATGGCAGCCTCAAACTGACCGTTGTGGCATAAAATGGTGAGAAGCGTTGAATTAACTCTGCCAAACCTCAACGGTTGCTGAAAGGCCAAAGATAAAAATTGTAAAACAAGTGCATAAAAATAATAATAGTCACAATTGTATATAATTAAAGAGCTTAGATATAACAGCGCTAGCTTCACTCTATAATCCTTATTACCTCGGTCGTTGGATTCAATGGCTGATCCCCACATGATAGAACACACATTCCGTTCCCTGTGGAGAATTCCAGCCAGGTGCCATTTTGCAAGCCACAAGTGCCAATCAAACCACATTAATATTCCCATTTAAAACTTGGGTGGAGAGTGGCAAATGTAGGTTAATGTCTTGCCAAAGGACATATAGTGCCGCGGCACTACTCAAACCACGAACCATGCTTAGATCAAAATCTTCTGTCCATCAAACTGACAAGCCAACTATAGTTGTCTCTCTATATCTCTCTCTATGGGGGTGGTAGGAGCGGCAGTGGAAAATAGAGGACAGGGGCTTTTTTCACCTCTGTACAGAATAACCTTCAGCGATACTTACATCAATTCTCACATCTGGATGTGAGAGGAGGGCTTTGATCATGATCTTCTGTCCCTCAAACTTACAGGCAAGCAATAATGGTGTTTGACCTAGATTATCCTTCATGTTGACCTTGATATTCTTGGCTACCAAGAGTTTGACCAGCTTAGCTTTATCCTGAGCCTGGTGTAAAGAAAACAAAACAATTATAAATAAATGTAAACCATAATCATACCACTATGCATAACAAAGATTTCTGAAAATCTGAAGCTCTGAACCATGTTATGAAATCAATGTAGTGTACTGTTTGTATAAAGTCAGCAAAGGCGAAGGTAGCGATGATGTTCTGTATCAAGAACTCGCTGATATCCATCCCCTAGACAGTTCTGACTCCTTCACTACCTGCTTTGCTAAGAGGCCACGACCAGAGACTCCAAGTGCCATATGCTCGGACACAAGTTCTTCAAAGGAGCTTCTTTCCAGATGCCACCAGGCTCTGGAACTCACTTCTGCAGGCCGCCGTCACCTGTACCTCTCTGCTAAGCTTAAGAGAGAGGTACTCAAGATCCAGCTCCGTTAAGCTACGGCTGTCTTTTTAACTGCACATAGTGCATTGTAGACCTTTTATTGAGACACTACATGTATATATACACCTGCCCAGCACCTACATCAGTACGAGAATACACCCGGCGGTGGCATGTACTTATAGCGAAGAAGAAGAAGGGCACAGCAAATGAAATAAGATTTAATCCTCAAATTATCTTCACTTTTAAACCAAATTTGTTCCTGACTGTGAGATGAATGGTTATACATCAACAAGTTTTTCATACTTTGTATCAACTCTGCAAAACATACATGAAGATATTCCCCATGGAAAACCAATAGCCCTGTATTCTACTCAAATTTAAACTGTACACTAGCTGGCCATAAGCTTTTGTTCCAAAACAGATTCAAGAAAGGAAACTAATCTGGTGTCTATAGTTTCCCTCTGCTCAATCTGAGGTTCTTGACCCAGGGTCTATTCAAACTGACTTGAATTGAATTGAATTGAATAGACACATTTCCTTAACAAAATAACAAAACAGTAATTATTAAACATATTATAATGACATATTTATAGTAGAATATGTATCACTAAGATTAAACTTACTTGACCTTCGACCCTGACTTTGTCTCTGACTGCAAAGTGAATGGGCCTCTTTCCTCCTGCTCCTCTAACATCAAGATCTAAAATATTGATTAAGAAAAAAAGGAGGGTGATAGGGTGGATAGAAAACTTGCGATTTGCACGATTGACATGATATACAACGTGATAGTGGCACTGAGGCCTTCTGGACATGCGTCATGTTGAGGATTAATAGTTGTTGGCTGAATCCTACGAGCGCATTCGGGGTAAATCTGCATTGTGGTGAAACTGTAAACTACAGCTGCATGTTGACCTCCAAGACTTGTCACATGATCACCCTTGTAAAAAAAGTATCGTGGTACTACTGCGGTAAAAGTACTGCAGTACCCATAGTACATTTACTCTGGTAAGTTGGTTGCTTTTTGCAGTTTATATACTGCAGTATATACTGCGGTACTGGGATGGTACAACAAAAACCCAATATCCTTAACATGCAGCATGTGCAGAAGGTCTCACTACGGCAGTATTTATACTAGGGCAGTATGCTCATATGGTCGGACAGGCCTATGCCTTTGACGCATGACATTAAAATGTTTTGATTTGTAAAACTAGGGACTTGTGTGCATGGAGAGGTGACACTGTCAGTAAATTTTTAATTTCACGTCATAGATCAAGTCGGTCGTGAAAATCAAAAACTTTCTAAAATGTTGGACTACAGATCAAGAGGTACAGAGTTCAATTAAAGGCATCGTTAAATCTGAGATATACTGACCTACGGGTTATCAGTGTCTGCGATATGGTGTAATATTGAAGCCCTATAAAAATTGCACTTCAAAATGATCACGAAGTGCCTCAAAAAAGTGAAAATCTTTGAGTGACCTGTTAAACCATACTCGTTTTCCCCAATAGGCTGTAGTTTGATGAAAACAGTTAGGAAAATGCAAAATTTGATTTTGATTTCCAATCCTAAATAGCTTGATAATCCCACAGTCGATTGGCTTTTAAAAGTCAAGGAGTTCCTGACTACTGAACTAAAGGTTTATAATTATCATTGCAGCATGAGGTAAATCCAGGATTTTGTTTCAGAATCTGAGACAAAGTTACCCAATCCCTGTAAGTCCCTGCTACAGCACTAATGTCCTTTGGCAAGACATTAATCTACATTCACCACACCCAGGCCAGGATCAATTGGTTGGTAGTCAAACTGGTTGTAGACTAAACAGCAATAAACGTCCCATGTTTGTTCCAACAGTCTCCCAAAGCACCAGATTAATCATACCTGCCCCATGTTGTATCAGCATTTCTACCCATGGTACCAGTGTCTTCATGCAAGCGTAGTGGATGACACTGTTGCCCCGCCCATCCTTGGTGGCGATCTCCTTCGAGATTTGCTCTGGGGTTAAGTCGGAGAGGAGGATATTGGCTTGCCCTACGTCGGGCTGCTTGGAGTTCACCAGCTGTGATTGTATAAATGATACAGCAGAAGGAGAATTTCATATCGATCTAAATGAAAATTTCAATTAAAAAGTCATACTGTACCAGAATACGCTAGAAGAAAAAGAAGGCTACTAGCTAGGTTATTGGACGAAATGATAATTATATACCATGTGGATAGTAGACGGGCTGGGTGTAAACCATATTGGACTGAGAAGACTAATTGGGTAGTAGACACACTGGCGTTTAGCCCAAACGGCAATTCACCTACCAACTGACATTGATATATACCCATTTCTGCGTATAGCACGCTTGACTTACAATAATTTCAATATCACCGGCTCAGTTGAACATATACATGTATGTACATAGAGGGAATTGGGGCCAGATGCTTAACAAAAATAACTTTGTCTTCGGATTGAACGAAAAGTATGCATCAAAAAGCTTATTTATTATTTATAATAATGTCTAACATAAATCTCTAAAGATTCATGAAATATTACATGAAAATTTGAAATATATGATATGAAAAATAAGTATCATTTGCCCTCTGTTAAAACATAATTTCTCAATTTATTTTTCATGGACATTCACTATGGAGTCTTCTTTTAAAAGATATTTTCAGTTGCTTATCACAACTTTTAAGATGTATTTCTCACTATTTTCTTTTCCTATCATTCATTTTCTCTATATATTGTATTTATTGGTACAAGTACCACAACCCCACACATAGATGATTTGCTTGTAATACATATATTTTTTGTAAGTGTTTATTGTATAAATAAAAAAAAAATTGAATTTTCAATATTTTATTTTTAAGCAGGGGATGATCCCTGATAAACCTTGGTGGTTTATCACCCCCTCTACAGGTTCATCTTTTGTTTTAGTGCCTTTAATTTATACTTGATTGTAATTATATTGTCTTTTTATGAGTCTATGGAAATTGAATTGAACTTCTCTCCTTCAAATTATTGTTTAAAATCAACTGTATAGATACACAACCCTCCTGGACACACAACGTCTGAGCTAGTCCATTGGATTTCTTTTGTTTACTTGCTGAGTTTAAATTTACATTTGAGATTGAATTTGTATTCTTTCTGGTATGTTTACTACTCACCATGTGATGATGTTTTCATGTATATGTATGTCTTTATATGTATTTTATGTTATGCAGGGCCCCCAAGAATAACAGTATTTTAACTACTGATGGGGCTACCCTGCTGAAATAAAACGAAATAAATAAATAAATAAATAAATACCTTTAGCAGTGAGTTACCACGGGCTCTCCTAGCTAGATTTCTAAAATTCGCCATGCCGCCGGTCAATTCGGGCTCGAATTCCAGCTGCGGACTTTCCAACTCTCCCTCGCTACCGGAGTCATCGTCCGTGAAAGAGGGCGAGTGGGCACCCCTCTCCTCCTCCTCCTCCTCATCGCTCGATTCCGGGGACGATTCGGAGCGTTGATGACGGCTCCAGCTTACTTGGGTGCGAAAGCGGTCCGGACGCCGCATCATCATGTTTTCATAGTTTCTTTGTAAATCGAAAGATTGAGAAAAGAAAAATAATAATATATCAATATGAAATAAAGGTATACAGGTATGTCTGTCAATTACAAAATTAACTTCTTGAAATGTGGAGGAGGGGCAGTCTTACCATTGTAAGTACAATTTTTAGCAAATTATTTACATATAGATTGAACTTTATAGCTACAATTCGGTATCATTGTTCACAATTCATTTTGATAATTTGGTTTCACAGCATTTTCAATTTTCTTTAAAAAAAAAAAATCATACTGCTAAATTGAAAAAAGTGACAAAACTCCTGTAGAAAAATTTAAAAAAACAGATGTCGCGCTTGTTAATCACTAATCCACTATGACTCTAAGACTCTCCAAAGCTCCTAACCGGTCGGATTATAAACATTTACTTTATTTGGACTCCAGGAATCTCCAAAACAGTGGAGGGGTCAACTAAGAAGAAGAAGAAGATTGTAATTTCTCTTCTAATAGTTTTAGTACTTTTAGTCAGCATAAGAACTTCTCTTTAGCATCAAAAGCATGACCAGAATTTTCTCTTTCCATATATTGTTATTATCATTATTATTATTATTATTTATTCGACCATAAAACAAGAAATTCAGTTATACAAAGTTAACATAATAAATGCAATTATCTTAGAAATAATAAAGAGAAGGAAATGAGAAGCAAGGAGAAGAGGAAAAAAATGCTGGTAACCTATGGGCTATAGCTAGCTATAGGGTTCACAAAAAAAGATGATATTTCACAATCCCATAGATATATACCCTCTACCTCACAGTAACAAAACTAATAATAATTTTACAACATAAGTATATAAATCATCAATCATTTGCAAATCCTGATTCCAAATTAAAGACACAAAATTAATTAAAAAAACAGGATGGAAGATATACAAGATCAATATACAAAATAAAAGATATACAATTAAGAAAAATACAAGATAAAAGATAAATATAAATATAAAAAGATAATAAAAATCTCATAGATATTATCTTATAAATATATATGATAAATATACAATATATGTTTATGACAAATATACAATTATATCACCTCACATATATATATTTGCATAATTGCATGCAGTTAAAAAATGATCTTAATTCCAAAGTTGTGCACTTTTGTCCCCCTCAATGACGATGATATGCTTTACAAAATTTAATATCCTACATTTCAGACAACAGTCCAATGAATTTTTTGTTGATGTCATTTTAATGTTGTTGTGGTTTGTTAATGATTAGTAAATATATATATTTTGTTATTGCATATACATTATATGGTTGGTCTTTCTTTCTTTTCTTTTAGTTTTAGTGCATGTCTCTCTTGATTATAGTTTGCTTTTAATATTCTGTTTGTTTTTTATTTTCATCTTTTATTTTTTGTTTTATGTTCTCTCTTTGCGTGTATGTATGTTCGTGTCATTATCACACAGTCACAAATCTCAGCTCATGCAGCTCTATCGGCATGATATGATCGGTCAGACGGTCAGTCACCTCTCAAAAATTCACGTGTGGTCATGCAAGGCCAGGGTCAGGGAGAGATACGGCGGCACTAACGCCCCCGCGACCGACCGAGTCCCTGGGCTTGAAAGTAGCGATCATGTGCATCTCACATCTCACTGTCACCAACCGTACGTGACCATGCCAACCAACCAGGAAACGAAACAAAATATAAATCACAGTCACAACAAATCCAAACAGCATAATAAATATTATTATTATTATTAATATTTTACCCAATTCAACAACTCAAAATATGCAGGTATGTAATACTTTACTAAACTAAAGTACTTACTGCATTTAAGACGAGTTCTTTCAACACATTTTCATTAACATTACTTCTCCCGCGACGAGTCTAATGTCGCTCTTCGAATGTCATGATCCAAAATCATAGCACAATTATTATTAATCAATATAATAAACGCGTTTGGAATCGGGTAATCGGCGCAGAAAATCATAAATCGAATATAATTATGGTGTCTCTAAACAATCAAAAGTAACAGGAAACCAAAACTATCCTAAAAGGTCCGCGAATAAAGTCCTTTCAAAATTATACGAAACATAATATATAGGAACAAGGGCTTATAGAAACATCTTCATGTATGAAAACTTAAAATTTGCTTTTTCTGTGTTTATTGTTTCGTTTTCTTCTTATTTTAATTTTTGCTGCGAAATGGATGCGGATCGACTGAGGTGCATGCATGTAAAGTAAGATACACCGACAAAATGGTACGTATAGACAGCTCATATAGCAGAAACAGAATTAGACAGCAATAACCATCTGATTTGGGTCATTTCTTTAATAAAACTGACATTTGTTGTCATTCCCCAATAATCGGAGGTCTAGTGGAGCCAGACGTAGTCTCAGTGGAACAACCGACGATTAGAGAGACTGAAGCTTTCGGTCTAAAACAGAATATGACGATAATCATAATTATGATACATGTGAATTTCTGTCTCTTTCCCATTCTCCCTATGTCTGTCGAAAAACAAAAACAAAAACAAACATGTAAACATTGCTAATTTTCTATAAGTGAAATATAACGACTAAATCCACGCATTTACAAAATGAATACATATTCTGTAGGCCTATATAAAGAAGACATCACAGTTTTCATTATTTTGTTTATGATATCTTACAAACTTTATTTCGATCGACTGCATGCTTTCAACGTCAGATGACTTAAGTGCTATTATTTGCTTGTTTTATTTAAAAAAACTACTGCTTTGGTTTTCTAGCTTTTTTTATCTTCATGATAATAATAATAATTGTAGAAATAATAAATTCACAAGAAAATGGTTTCAATTCAGGAATTTGTTTACTCAAAATGATATTTTTTCTGAATTTGTTTTTCTTTCCATGAGTGTTAGAAATGAATTATTGATTTGTTAGTTTTCTGTTAACTCAACAGCTCAACAATACTTGTATCTTGAAAAGCCAATTTTATTTTATTCATGTTATTATGTAAATTACCTTGAATATATATTTTTGTATGTGTTTCAAATGAAAATCAATAAAATCCCTGTGGAGGGAAAAATATGGGGAAAAAAAAAATAATAATAATACATTACATTTATAATGTGCTTCACACAATGTTTCTAAGCGCAAGAGAATTGAAGAAAGGATACGGAAGGAAAAGTAAGAAATACTAAATAAACATGTTAAAAACATTGAATTACAAGTAAACGGCAAAAAAGAATGTGACATTACACAAAATAAGGACTGCATCGAAATTGATTGAAATATATAAATAAACCAGATATGCACTCAGAATTGTAATAAACCATGTGAAATATCAAAATGCAACTTTAATACAAATTATTATATTCAATGTAATATAACAATTATGCATCTTAAATACATATCATACAACATTATGCAAAAGAAATTACAATATCATTAAACTGCCACATCACTAAACTGTAAAATAAGGAATCCGAATTATCATAAACCATGTAAAATATTCAAATACAACTTAAATACAAATGATCATGCAAACAGCTAGTGTTGGGGTTTGTGAACCTGGCTGTCGATCCCAAAAGCTCAATGTGACCCAGTGTACATTAATTAATAATCACCTGCGATGTAGGCCTATACCGTATAATTTATGTTCCAATTCTCATGATATAATATGAAACAATAATTACATGTACTTGAAATCATACACAGTCCATTTTAAACCATTCCAAACCATTACAACATTGTATTATATATCCCCCCCCCCCCCCCAATATTTCAGGTGGGGGGATGGCCTGTACAATCATCCCCCCCCCCCCAATAATTCACCATAACAAAAAATTAAAAAAATGAAGAGAAAAATTAATGATGAGAGCCCGATGAGAGTAGTTAATGGTTATTACTCGCAAGATGACCATCAATATACGGTGCCAGGTAAAAATGTCAGAGGTAAAAATGTCAGAGGAAAAAATGTCAGGGGTAAAAATGTCAGAGGTAAAAATGTCAGAGGAAAAAATGTCAGAAGTAAAAATGTCAGAGGATAAAATGTCAGAGGAAAAAATGTCAGAAGTAAAAATGTCGGAGGAAAAAATGTCAGAGGTAAAACTGTCAGAGGAAAAAATGTCAGAGGTAAAAATGTCAGTCGTAAAAATGTCAGAGGTACAAGCAAAAAAAATTGAGTGCAGTTATAATATCTCAGCACTTTTATCACACAGAATGTCGAGACGTACTGCTACTGCATGGGCTAGTCTATTATATTCCTTTCTTCCATAATGTAAATTTTATAAATGGCTGTGTGTTGTATTTCGTACATGTCCTGAGGATAATACAATGTGGACAATAGATTTTGAAATTTATTTTGTTGTGATCAGTCTTGCATATTTATATGTATGAATGTCTAACATTTTTTGATATTTTGAATTGGTTGATGTGTTAATGTTTGTGAAACGGACCGGTTTGGCCGGTGGCAGCCTGCAACATAGCCCGTGTAACGTTTCAGAGACGAACAAAGTCCAAACGAAGAAATGAAAGTTCTCGACAAAAGTCAAGTGGTAAAGTGAGTAGTGCATTTCGTACAAATAGTTACATATAATCACGAGGAATCACGAAAAGTTACATATAAGGGCTGGGCGCCCCGAACTCTGCTAAAGCTTTAGTACTTCATAAGAAAATCAAGAAGTCGCTCCGAAAAGTAAAAACTCGCACCGAAAACTAAAAACCCGCTCCAAAAAGTAAAAGACCGTCTCGATTCAGAAGCTCGTCCCCATTTTAAACTCTCCGAAAATTATAAATAACGATGTAATTTAAATCGAACCTCTGCAAAGCGCGCGCTTCTCTGGAATGTGATGGTGCGGTTGGCATTTAAAGATAAAGTTGAGTTCTGGTCTTGTGATTGCATTGTGAAAGAAACGGTGTGGAAGCAATCAGAAAAGGTTGATCATCTAGCATAAACATGTAAGTATTGGTGTGTAGTGCAAGGTTTTGGAGTCATCAAAATGATAAAATCTTTGGCACAGTCTTGGTAAAGTAACAAGCACTGTACACAGACAGATATTGATATGGGACTACACAAACATATGGCATACAAATCGGGCCTCATTTTAAAGCTGTTACTTGTCATATCTGGGATATGAAGTCATTTGAAATAGATTTTCAGGGAATAACTTTTTTCTTTGATGTTCTTCCACACTTGCATAATAAGAATGATAAACGCTCACAAATTATTGTTCACCTTTCCCTCAACCTCTGTAATTGATGTAACATGGGCGGCTTTCTGCTTTGTATCGGAGTAACAAAGCTGCTTATTGATTTTTCCCAGACTATTATATACCGCAATAGTAATCGACAATATTTTATTGCAACGTGCGCACTTCGGGAATGTGATGATGCGGTTAGCACTGATAACATGGGTTTTTGCTTTGTTTCAGAGTATCAAAATACCAAGCCCTCAAGAAAGTGAAATTGTCGGAAATATGCATTTATTGGAATTACATATAATAGTAGTCATTGCCACGCAGTTAAAATGTCTAACAATCTTCAAAAGTGAAGGAGAAGTTGGGGGGGGGGGGAAGGTTCATAGATATCTGATCCTATTTTGTGGGCTGTACTGACTTTTCTTTTTATTTAATGATTACACCATGGAGCGACAACTCAGCCTATAAAACATGGCCAAACTTCTCGATTTTAGAAATCTTTTCCCCCAGAAGTTTACTCAGTGTACCAGTACCATTTGCTTATACAAAAGCATAATATACCGGTACATAAATGTTGAATAAGGCAGACTAATGGAACATGCATGGTTGCTACTCCGAGTTTCACGCCTTGCAAGCGATCATCAAACAACTGATAGCATTCGTCAAAGTACATGATTCCTCTACAACCTTGGTACAAATACGCTCAAAATAAGACTCAACTAATACAATACAATACAATAAGACTAATACAATACCTGAATACAATACAATAAGAATACTCATGAGTAATTCCAATTGTATTTTATTAGTTAAGTCTTATTTTAGGGGTATTTGTACCAAGGTTGTAGGATAATCATGTACTTTTAAGACTGTTATCAGTTGCCTGATGACTGATTGCAAGCAGGGCGCGAAACTCGGAGTAGAAACCATATCCCATTAGTCTGTCTTCTCTGCCTAGGCACTGACCACTGTTCGGAAGGATATATAGCAAAGCATATAAGAGGAAGGGGAGAGCAGCCAGCTAGGTCACCGTGCCCCAGAAGAAGAATACCCCCCCCCCCCCATCTTCCTTCGGCAATAATCGGGCAAAAAGTCACAATTTGGGGCCGAAAGGTAAATAATTTTAAACTGGGAAAGTGGAAAATAAAGCAGCGGTGAAATAACGACTGCAGAATATCCCTCGCTGTTCTTTTTCGATAAGCCTAATATATAACCCAGGTGTAACCATAACAAACTTTTCACATGCTTTTGTTTTTATTTTATACCTCTGACATTTTTTCCTCTGACATTTTTACCTCTGACATTTTTACCTCTGACATTTTTACCCCTGACATTTTTACCTCTGACATTTTTACCTCTGACATTTTTACCTCTGACATTTTTACCCCTGACATTTTTACCTCTGACATTTTTACCTCTGACATTTTTACCTCTGACATTTTTTCCTCTGACATTTTTTCCTCTGACATTTTTACCTCTGACATTTTTACCTCTGACATTTTTTCCTCTGACATTTTTACCTCTGACATTTTTACCTCTGACATTTTTTCCTCTGACATTTTTACACCGAGCCCAATATACACATTTTGCTATCTCATTTTCATAATACATACATATATAAATAGAAAACGAAGTAAATAAGACAACCGTATATGAGACAAGAATAAATTGAATTCTCACTCATACGGCTTCATCAGGAATTGATGAATTTATTCAATTTATTCAATCAACAGCATCATAGAAAAGCAGTGCGCCAAATGCAAAGCCTCAGCGTTAAAAAACAACGAGCTAAATGTTGAGCGCGAAGCGCAAAAGTACAAAAAAAGAAGTAGAAAGTGGGAGAGAGAGATAATGAGAGACGGAGAGGATACAGGCGCGTAGCCAGGGAGGCGGAAAGGGCGGTCGCCCCCCCCCCTAAAAAAAATAAAAAATAAAAACGCCGGCCAAAAGAGAGAGAGAGAGAGAGAGAGAGAGAGAGAGAGAGAGAGAAAGAAGAAAGGAAGAGGACTTAGGAAGAACAAGGATTAAGAGTCGAGAACGGTACAACGAATCGTCTTCTTTTTCTAATAATTAAATGATACGTCAAAGCTTCCGCGATTCGCGCGGGAGGGGGGGGGGGGGGCGAACTGAATTCAGTCAAGGATTAAGAGTCGAGAACGGTACCATATTGCTCCGATTGTCTCATTTTCGCTCGCGTGAACATTGCCAGCACAAACCACTGACCTCTACCTCCTGAACGGATCATCGCCCATTCCCATTCACTATACGTTACGTACTAAAAGGCTGTATTGTCTGACCGTTCATGAATATTCATGTTTTTGCTAAACTCGGCAAAATGTTTGCTTTTACTAAATGGAAAAATTACGGTGGGGGGTTGGATGAAATGGACAAAATGAAATAGGCAGAAGTGATCTATGATACTTCAGGCTTTTTATGTTTCGTGTGCTCGATCTATAATCTTCAAATCGCTTGGTAAACTGAGTCCAAAGTTAGACTTGTTTCACATGTGTATTATAGGCAATGACGAGCTTGCAACCTATTTTGAAAAATTACGGTGGGTGAACTTTCAAAAGTCAATGAGACATGACGGCTCCAATGAAAGAGCTAGTGATAACGTACGTCGGGGTGGATGTGCTTTTCGTTTAAACAAAAAATGAATTTTTAACGATTTTTTAAAAAACGTCCATAGGCTAACATGTTAGGCTGCTGGCTCTGATCATGCTCTGACGAAAGGGGGCGTTGTGAAATGAGACTAAACGGAGCCATATGAACGAATCGTCTTCTTTTTCTAATAATTAAATGATACGTCAAAGCTTCCGCGATTCGCGCAGGAGGGGAGGGGGGGGGGCGAACTGAATTCAGTCAAGGATTAAGATTCGAGAATGGTACAACGAATCGTATTCTTTCTTTAATAATTTAATGAAACGTCAAAGCTTCCGCGCTACGCGCGGCGAAAGGGGAAACTCCCCCCCTCCCTGCACCCACCCCCCCCGGAGCGCGCTTCGCCTGCTCACTACCGCCCCCCTAAAACAAAGTTCTGGCTACGCGTTTGAGAGGATAATAACCCAGGTAGCAAGCCCATGTGGGACCCACATTGGTCCCATATTCTCTGAAATGTTATCTTTATTGAGGTTGACTTTAAAAAGTTAATAGTTGGAAGAGAGGGGGTGCAACCTGTCATACGCTTCTACCTCTTGGTTGCTTTGATCCATTGCCGAAAATATTTTGGCACCTATCATCCCCCCCCCCCCCAACCACGGATACAAATCGACACCCTTGTATGCGTGATATAGAGCTATACCTTCATCTTTATCGTGTATGTACCGGCCGATATTCCGCTGGGGGGGGGGGGGGGGGGGGGCGTAGTGAGCATTAAAAAAAAAACATTTTGGCCCCGATATTTCAATTTAAAACAAAAATGTTTTACTTTTCTTTCCTTCAATTGGCCGCCCAAGGGGGGGGGGGGGGGGAGGGGGTGTTAAATCGCCGTCGAACCCCCCCCCCATAGATCTACCCCTGGTTTTAATATAAATTTCGATGTCAATGATATAAATGATGATAATAATGACAGTAAAATAATAATGATAATAATATTATTATTGTTATTTTGTATAATGTGATGATGGTGTTAATGATTAACAGAGACGTGTCATGAAAAAACAAATTGCAATGTTTATTGACTTTTTTTTTCTTTTCTCCCTCCCCCCCCCCCCCCATATAAATTTCATTCTCCTCATCTTTCTTTTCTTTTTAAAGCTGTATTTCGATCAATACCAGGTACATCTGCATGATCGGGTGTGGGGAGGAAACGGGTCACAGTTATTTGGTTATTGAATTTTTTCCATACCCGGGCAGCTCGACCGAATGCACCTGCTATTGCAATATATATGCTTTCTATTGATTTTATCTTAATTCCTGTTTGTTATATTGTTGTATTTATTTGACTTGATTTGCCAAATTGGGAGGCCGGGAGTGAGACTATAGTTTACAAGGTAAAATGACCATAAAAATACAAAAAAGTCTTACAAATTCGTCTAATACAATATGAAAGAGAGAAACAGGGAGAGGGAGGGAGAGAGAGAGAGAGAGAGAGAGAGAGAGAAACAAATATTAAAAAGAAAGGGGCCATTAAGAGCTATATCACGTTGTACTTTGTATGCATGCAGCTCCGCAGCCATTTCGTAGCAAATAAAGAAAAGGAACGACACCAGAAAACTCCCTAATTGAAGTGTTCATACATGAAGGTATTTCTAACTTGAACCTATATAGGCTATCGTATAATTCTGAAAGGAAGTTTATTCGCGGACCTTTATGGTTATAAATTATCTATGATCCAAAATGTTAAAGTGTCTGCATGGTCATTTGGTTCAATTTAATTTACAGTTGTGACCTGTTTTCCTTTTGATAGTTTAGAGACACCATAATTATATTTATTTTCATTTACAGCACAGCAGATGCACACAAGCTCCAAATGCCTATTTTGGGACATTATGAAATTCGTTGAGCGACTTTAGACTTGACCCTTACCGAAGGAAGAGAAACGTTTATGAAACCGTTTATAAAAGACTCGTCTTAAATGCAGTAAGTAGTATAACGTATTTCTATTACTCTTTTTATGGATAATCTGCCTCCTTCAAATTACTGAAGGAGCTTCCGGATGTGTACCACTACACCGCACCGGGGTTTCCCCTAATCTTGGTGGTGCATAGTGCATGGTGGTGACTCTCCTCTACACGGGCCTCCATTTAACGTCATATCCGAGTGACGGAGTGTTTTCCACTTGATAAAGCCTTTTTTTTCTCCATCATTTATTAATTGTATACATAATAAACTTACAATTCATATTTATTACAAAGAAAAACACATACTTTGCAGCATTTGCCCTCCATAATATTTCCTTTAAATAAATGTTGAATAGAGTAAAGTACCCGGTAATCGGTCAGCTCCGGTTTTCGGCCAATTGGTTGGATACATGGTAAAATCACTTTAAAATACATCGCATAATAGCATAACACATATCCCACACATACCATACCATGCCAGTGTCACTGAAGAACCACATTTGCAATGAAAAATATATCCTAAAATATCACATTTTAGCGATGTAATCGGCGGTCCCACTACCCAAATCTGAAAAATCGAGTTTCTTACGCGTGTATGTAAGAAATATGGGTACCATAAAATGAGCTTTATTTCAAGTATTTTTCAGATATAGAGCCCGATTTTGTGCTGGTCGCAAGCTCAAAAGTATCTCATCGCATGTATTAAATCAATGCAGCCGCACACCGCGACGCACACACGATATGTCTGTCTAATTCAGATTCCAACTTCCGATCACCGCTGTGCCTGTATTCGGTCAGGCGAGCACCCGGGAGCTCCGGCGTGGGATACCTGCTCCGCCCGCTTGTGCTATACATCAGCGCAGAAACGCACGGCGCGCGCGAGCGCTTCCTATTGACTTTGTACATGCGGCCGTAAACTGAAACGCTCGGCCGATAACCGGCTCCAAAACAGTGAAAATTGAAATGAATATTGTCATGGCAATTCGTGATTTTTTTTTGGGATTCTTTTTTTGTTTAAATAATAATAATATTTGCTTCATGATTTGAACAAGAAATGATAATAAATAGGAAGTAAAGAGTCCAATAAATAGGATTTTGTCTTAAGTGGCCGAAAACCGGGTACTTTACTCTATGTTTGTAAAATCACATTTTCTCTTTTGCGTAGACCTATATAAAACATGAGTTATTAATAGATTTAAAAAAACTACATATTTTTTATTTATATAATCACATTGCTTGCCTACAATTATATGATATCACTGTATTCATTTTTTCAATTTTTCAATTAATAATTTTCTGTATTTTTAATTGCACTTCAATCAATAATAATTGTTATTATGAAATGATATATATATTCTTCACATGCTAAGAACTTATAGAGTAGTTTCAAACTTAACTGTTTTAATCGTTTTTTCTTTAACATATGTCAAATTCATTTTCCATTAATTCCATATATTGCCCAGGATAATTTTTTCCCCCAAAATATTCCCAATATGGTAGATTTGATCATTTGGATATATAAAGGTTCTATCAACTAATACTTGCGTCCAGGCGCACCCCCCCCCCTTCAGGTAAGTAACATAACAAATTTTAAATCATGACCATTATTTGAACAATTGATAAAGATTTCGTTGATTTTTGGTATGTTTTAGTACGCCAGAGTTACAGGTCAACTTTCGGGGTAGATTCATTTTGTAACTGCAATTGCAAGGTGATCGGAATGTATATTTATTTTATATTTGGGATATGTAATTAAAGAAAAAAACCCTGGTTCTTTTGAGTTTGATGCTAAGCCTAAGCAGAAGTTCTGATGCTCACTAAAATTAAAACTAGAAGAGAAATTGCAAACCCTCATCAAAAAATCGATCGTAGTGATTAACAAGTGGGAAACCTACTTTTCTGTTTTTTCAGGAGTCTTGTCACTTTTTTTTGGATTTAGCAGTATGATTTCAAAGAAAACGAAAATTGAAAATGCTCTGAAACCAAATTGAAGGTTTGCAGAGGAGAGGTATATCACCATCCTTGACCTAGCTTAGTTCAATCTATGAAAATTAGTTTTTGCTAAAAATTCAAGTTGTTAACTTTGTAATTGACAGACATACCTGTACATACTAAAATATATTTTTAATTTATATCATTATATTATTATTTTTCTCGTCTCTTTTGCTTTACAAAGAAACTATGGAAATATGATGAAGCAGCGGCCGCGGCCCAACCGCTTTCGCACCCAAGCGATCTTGAACCGTCAGCAAAGATCCGACTCCTCCACGGATTCGAGCGATGAGGAGGAGGAGTCGAGGGGTACCAACTCGCCCCCTTTCACGGACGATGACTCCGGTAGTGAGGGAGAGTCCGAAAGCTCGCAGTCTGAATCGGAGCCTGAGCTGACCGGCGGGAAGTTGAGTTTTAGACTCCTGGCTAGGAAAGTGCGTGGTAACTCATTGCTAAAGGTATGGAACCAGACGGTTTTTTTTTATATTCAACTCTTAAAGCCTGTCTGCACTAATTTGGCCAAGGGGATTAGACCACCCTGCAAAGTCACTGGACAGGTGGTTATCTCATCAAATCAGCTCTCAATTAAAATAAGAAAAAAAGTATCATGGGGAACCAATGGTCACCGATTAGGCAATTGTTTTCTATATAGAGGGAGCAAGAACCTTCAAGTAGGACATTGTGGCTTTAAGACTTGGTTTGTATGGTGTTTCTCACTTTTTTTTGGTTTTTTTTTGCATATCATTTATTCCCTATTTCCCTTATATTGTATTTATTGGTATACCACCACCCCACTATACCTACTCAACCCACACTTCGATTTGCTTGTAATATATACATACTTTTTTTTTGTATGTGTTTATTGTTTAATTGAAAAAAATTATTTGATTTTGATTTTGTAATTTCAAGCAGGGGATGATTCCTGATAAACCTCCTGAATACCTTAAAATTAGTTTTTTTCATATTATACTTCATATCATATATTTCAAGTTTACAAGTAATATGTCATAAAAAGATTTATGTTAGAAATTATTATACAGTAATGACAAGTATGATAGTGCTATTCATGCATACCTTTTTTTTTCAATCCAAAGCTTAAAGTTAAGGTGCTTTTTTTTTGGTGAAGCATCCGTCCCCATACCCCCGATATGTACATGTATCCATGTACTTAGTGAAGCCAAGCTTTTTTTGGATTAAATTTAGACCGTCATATTGAAGAAAAATGGTAATTGAGTCACACGCACTGCATGCAGAAATGGGTACATGCCAATTGGTAGGTGAATTGCCGTTTGGGCTACAACCAGTTCGTCTGCTAACCAATTGGACTTTTCCCATATGGTCTACACCGAGCCTGTCTACCATCCACATAATAATAATAATAATAATAATGTTTTAAAGCCCCACTGCACTACTTATAGCTACTTGCTCCCTCTATATCACAATATAACGGCAATAGTAATGGTATAATAATTATTTTGTCTATTTATCATTTGGTCTAATAACCATTTAAAGACTGTCAAAACTACTGGGCCAGAAGGGATTAGACCACACAGCGAGGTCACTGACAGGTGGCTATCTCTTTAACTCAGCTCTCAACTAACATAAGAAAAAGAGGATAATGGGGGACCAACAGGCACCGATTTTGTATATAGAGGGAGCAAGTAGCTACATGTAGGACAGTGGGGCTTTAAGTTGATAGCCTACTTGTACTGGTAGTGTCACTCGTACAGTATGGCTTTACTTGTAATTTTCATTTAAATCAATATGAAATTCTCCTTCTGCTGTATCATTTACGCAATCACAGCTGGTGAATTCCAAGCAGCCCGACGTAGTTCAAGCCAAGAAGCTCCTCTCCGACTTAACCCCAGAGCAAATCTCGAAAGAGATCGCCACCAAGGATGGGCGGGGCAACAGTGTCATCCACTACGCCTGCATGAAGACTCTACTACCGTGGGTAGACATGCTGATACAACATGGGCAAGGCATGTTTAACCTTTCAGCTGCTTTGGGAGGTTGTTGTAGCAAACATTGGTTGGCCATAGTGGACCTTTGTCACACATACAATGTGTTTGTACAATGATATAATAAGGATTCTTGTATATAGTGCTCATGTCTGACACTTGACACCCTTAAAGGGAAATCCAACCTTGACAGGAAACTACTCTAAAAGAACGTAGAAAATCAGAGAAGCTGACTAGTGAAAGTTAGAATTAAATGGGACAAAATGAAAGATATGACTTTTTGAAAGTTGTAAACACTACCGGTATTCGTATTGGCACTTCAAATTGGCTGAATCCGTATAATCATTGTGACAAAGTGCCGGACTACTTTCCTGCTTGTTTCAACACACACAATTACTAAAATTTCAATATTTATATTTTAGATCTTGATGTTCGGGGAGCAGGAGGAAAGAGGCCCATTCATGTTGCAGTCAAAGACAAAGTCAGGGTCGAAGGTCAAGTGAGTTTGAGGATTAATCTTATCAGTCCATATTCTACTTTATATACCTTACTTTAACTATGCCCCGCAAAGCAGCGATCCCCATTGGTTTACGTGAAAAATATTACTTTGTGCGAGCTCGAGCGCGGATACCATAATAGCAGTGCGATTTGATTGCTAAATTTTCCTGTTCCACTGGAGCACAGTTTTGCTTTCCCTGTTCTACTGGAGCACAATTTGACGATAATTTTTAAATTTGAGGACCCCATGATTGGTAAGTGAGTCGCACATGTATTCCTTGACTCTTTTTACGGAATATAAAAGATATATTGACTGCTTTATCTATTTGAGGCACAGTTGTTTCGATAGGCTATCGGGGACGTTACATCTTGATATGACCCCTCGGGGCTGTGCCTAGGGGTCCTAGCAGGATGTAACGAACATCCCCTTGAGCCTATAGCAACAACTAAGGTTGTTTTCTTATTTTTAAGCGAATACAAGCTATTTTACAGTGAGGTGAAAACACACCAACAAACAATCAACAACATTTATTTATAATTTTTGTTTTTGTTTACAACAGGCTCAGGATAAAGCTAAGCTGGTTGAACTCTTGGTAGCCAAGAAGGTACAGGTCAACGTCAAGGATAATCAAGGTCAAACACCATTACAGCTTGCTTGTAAGTTTGAGGGACAGAAGATCATGATTAAAGCCCTTCTCTCACATCCAGATATCAAAGTTGATGTAAGTATTGCTGATAGTTATTCTGTACAAAGGTGATAACATGCCCCTGTCCTCTATTTTCCACTGCCGTTCTTACCACCCCTGTAAAGAGAGGGAGAAAGAGAGAGAGAGGGAGAGAGAACTGTAGTTGGCTTGTTAGTTTGATGGACAGAAGATTGTGATCAGAGCCATCCCATCACATGCAAATATCACACTTGATATATCTGTGACAGTTATTCTGTACGGCGGTAGAACACACTCTTGCTTCACCCTCCATCTGGTTTATAATATGATAAATATTGCAGAAACCTTTGAAGTTTGAAGAGCTATAAATGCAGCAATAACTCTCAATATTGCATTCCACAATGACCAGTTTGACTTTGACTTTTTGTCTTGCTTACTATGGAAGTCATGCATGTAGAGGTGTCGTGGATACTTGTGGTTTGAGTCGTGCAGGGGCACTTTATACCGCATGTCCTTTGGCAAGCCATTAACCTACATTTGCTACTCTCCACCCAGGTGTTAAATGGGTACCCGGCAGTATGGGAATGTGAATGTGGTTGGGTTGGCGTTTGTGTGCTTGTTTAAAGGCACCTGGCCAGAATACTCCCTGGGGAGCAGAACGTGTGCGATATTATGTGAGCGAATCAGCCATTGAATCCAATGACCGAGGTAATATAATTTAAATACAGTGTCAAGCACTTATAAATGTTGTTTTAAGTGCTATACAAATGTGACTAGTATTATTTTATTATTTTGCACTTGTTTTTAAATTATATCTTTGGCCTTTCAGCAACCGGTGAGGTTTGGCAGAGTTAATTCGACGCTTCTCACCATTTTATGCCACAATGGTAATTTTGATGCTGCCCTCCTGCTCCTGAAACACGGAGCTAACCCCCTTGCCGTCAATGCTGCGAAGAACACGCCTCTCTACATCATCCTGAAAAAGGGCAAAGTGAAGTATGCTCTACGATTCCTTTCAACTTGCCAGCATAGAGAATATGACATGCAGAAGGTGAGAGTCGTTCTTATCCAAGAAAATTGTGTCTTAAAGCACTGTCCTACTTGTAGCTACTTGCTCCCTCTATATAGAAAACTTCCCCAATTGGTGCCTGTTGGTCCCCCATATTATCCTCTATTTCTCATGTTATTTGAGAGCTGAGTTGATGACATAGCCACCTGTCAGTGACCTCGCTGTGTGGTCTAATCCATCCTAGCCAAAGTATTACTGATGGTCTTTAAAGGCAGTCTGTACTACTTTGGCTAGGAGGGATTAGATCACCCAGGGTGGTCACTGACAGGTGGTTATCTCATCAACTCAGCTCTCAATTAAAATAAGTAAAAGAGGATCATGGGGGACCAAGTAGCAAGTAGCTACAAGTGGTGCAGTGGGGCTTTAAACGGATTGGGTTGTCAGTTTCCACGTACACGAGGCCATATTTCGCTGACACCAGACTTAGTGAAAATACCATTAATGGATGTACAAGTCTGCACACAGCAAACCTGTAGGTCTATCAAGAAATACCCCTTAGGCTCTTGGAGAGCCTTTGTGTGAGGGAAAAGATAGATCATGACTTTCCAAATAGGATTATAAAAGAGTTTCATCATGATGGTTGTAATAATGATTTGAAAGTTCTTGTATCACATCCTGGGGGGTGTTTCAAAAAGATCCTAAGTTGAACTTATCTCTAAGTTGGACTTAAAAATTATGGAAAGCCATTAGCATCTTTGAAAATATTTTGTAAAAGTTAGTTTGAAAGGCATTAATTGTTTATTCAAATCATTCATATTTTTTATCATCAAGGAGATTTCATGTTCTGGATGCGGAATTTATAAAAAGTCTAAAATACTTGAATTTCTGCTTTTGAATATATTTCATTTTAAGACTCCAATGGCTGTCCGTAATTTTTAAGTCCAACTTAGTGTTAAGTTCTACTTAGGATCTTTGTGAAACACCCCCCAAAATGATAATATACCTGTAAAATTCACCTGTCATTCTGTGACAAAGTAATCGTCAGAATGAAGGAAAAAAAATGAAATTGGCGGCTTACTTTAGTCTGTCGATTCAGGGGAGTGTTTCACAAAGATCCTTAGTAGAACTTAACTCTAAGTTGGACTTAAAAATTATGGACATCCATTGGAGTCTTAAAATGAAATATATTCAAAAGCAGAAATTCAAGTATTTTAGACTTTTTATAAATTCAACATCCAGAACATGAAATCTCCTTGATGAAAGACAATATGAATGATTTGAATAAACAATTAAGGCTTTTCAAAATAACTTTTACAAAATACTTTCAAAGATGCTAATGGCTTTCCATAATTTTTAAGTCCAACTTAGAGTTAAGTTCAACTTAGAATCTTTGTGAAACACCCCCCGGGTCTGAGGTAGATGTCTGATCTCTAGAAATCAAACTGTTACATGTAAACATTCAATGTGTTTTATCATTGCAGATATTGTTAGCTCAGAACATATATCAGAAGACCGTCCTACACGAGGTCATCAAGACTGGTAACGAGATGCTGATCAGGTGCTGTATGACATGTGGTGAGTCACAAAGAATTCTCGCTGATGGATGTTTCTTTCCTGGGGACCTAGTGACAAGTTATTCCATTAATGGCCTGTTATTAATGAAGGAACTGTACTACTTTAAGAATCCAGTCGGCATACATTACATGAAACTTTCAATTTTGCGAGAAAAAAACCTCTGGTCTATTTGTTACAAATTTCAGTTCAGTTCAGTTCACTATACTTCAGTCAGCTTATTGTACTTGTCAAAACACAAAGTAAAATCAATTGTACATACTTAGGCATCAATACAGAGCAATATAGTGTATGTGTAATATATATTACTGAATGACTGGCTTGAGATCTTCTTGTTTGTGCACTTTGTATCTAATGAAAAGGCGGTTTATAAATTTAATGTTATTATTCTCACGATTATCATGCAGTTTGTCCTGTGGATCAAAAGAACGGCAATTCCTCCAATTACCTCCTGGAGGTCAAATCGCGCTATGGTTCGACCATCATGCACACTGCATGCAAGCAAGGACATCTGGACATTGTCCACATGCTACATGATCTCTGCCCAAGGCTCCTGGTTGTTAAGAACAACAAGGGGCTGACCCCCCTGCACTACGCCTGCAGGGGCAACTATGCTGAAGTTGCTGAAGAGCTGTGTATCATGTTGCAAAGGTAAATGTTCACACTAACATCAAATACCAGTATAGGGACTGCCTTGATGGAATCTAGAAAAACTACATGCTGCTTCCTCAAAAGTGAATCTGTTATTATCTCTTATCCTGCCATGATGAATAGAGCCTAATGCCACAGGGCTAATCCCTATTGTGCCATGCCTCAAATCCCCCTGCGCCAAGTTAATTTTGAGATAATCGGATTAACGCGATGGTACTATCAATAGCGGATGCAAAACACTAGGCACAGTGTAATGGGCATGAACAATAACTGCTATAACGAATGCGAGCATGCATGCAATAAGCAGGTAAGCGGTAGCTCGCTTGCATGAATGAAGCAACCAATCGGTAGTGCGCTCGCGTCAAGCACTATAACGGTAGCGTGCAAGCAGCCTTATGGCAGGATATTACTTAATGCCTGTGCATGCACAAGTACATATTCTTTATGGAGCAGGGGTTCTCAAACCTCTTCTTTGATGGTCCGGATGAGATTTCCATAAAGGCCAAAGGGTCCAAAACATGAAATGCCATTAATTGGAGCGAAAATTCTTCCGGTTATCTGTCTGCGTCAAATGAATTGGAACAACTACCTTAACGTATATCAGTTGCTAGAAAGTTGGACACGATCGATCGACTGAAACTTTACTCAATTTGGTTCAGATTCAGCTATCTACTCCTAAAATGTTCAATAACGACACTAGTAGTTGTATAATAAAGAAAACATGGCATGTTTAGGTATATAACTGATCTAGAGGGAAATTGTTACAGTTACAAAAACCCAGAATGAAGCATAGCCTCCAGGGCCGTCCAGACTTTGAAAAGCCCTGGAGCGTGTTTCACAAAGCCTTTGTTTCAATGACAAATGACAAAAAATCAGCGACAAATCTGCTGATAACCAATCAGAAGCAAGGATTTCAGTAGCTTATAACTAAAACTAGCATTTGACACTGATGACAAGTTTTGTGAAACGCCCCCCTGGTATAGAGCCTTATACTTAACCGCAGTTCTTTCATTTCTATTTCTATATTTTTAGTAACGATAAGGACCTGAAGCTGAATTTGGACAACAAAATTGACGGATCCCCGTCGTTGCTTAAGGTCACGGCTTTGAAAGGAGCGAGCGATTGCCTGGTTGTTCTTCTGAAACATGTGAAGGATTCCTCCATTATGGTAGAACTTATCAAATGGATCTCTGTTGAGAAAAACCTTTCGTTGGTCCTCCAGGTTGGTTTAATAATAATAAAACTTTTATGAGATTCATGATTTTTATAAACCTTTTACCATTGATTAGTAATAGTTTTGGACAAACCACACTTCATCAAATGAGGCCATAAACTGACTACCAAGCTCCTCCGGAAATTTTGAAATGCCCTTTAACCTTATTTGTTCCATTGGATTGCATTATTAAAGAAATTATTTTGAGATTCATGTTTCCTTTTTAACCTTTGAACTTTGACCACTGATTAGGAATCATTTGGGACAAACACCATGTCATCTCACAATCAAACTCTGCTCATAATACACAGGCATACTTGCATGTCTCTTTGTGCTTTACAGAATATGATATAGAGAAAGTGGAAATGATGCACTGGGTTCATAATCATGAGATCTTCCGAAGCCTCTATGTATGTAAGGTATTCCGGCCAGTTGTTCCATAAAACAGTGGCTGCATATGAAATGAACTTTCCACATATGACTTTGATTGTCACGGTTTGTGGGACATTAAAAAGAAGAAGAGATTTTTCAATTTTTCACATACTTAAAATTTTGCAAAATTTGGTAAGGTATGAATAATGAAGTTGTAAACTGTAAGTGCATTCTTGAAAGGCCGCCTGTACTAGTTTGGCCAGGAGGGATAAGACCACCCAGAGTGGTCACTGACAGGTGGCTATCTCATGAACTCAGCCCTCAATTAACATAAGAAAAGGAGGATCATAGGGGAACAATGGTCACCGATTAAGCATTGATTTCTATGAAGAGGGAGCAAGTAGCCACAAGCAGTACAGTGGGGCTTCAAGGTTTCTTTATATCTTTCTTTTTTTGTTGACCAATCAGGAATTGCTGAAAAGCTTTGATGACATCAGTACCGGCTGTGAATCAATGGAGATTGAGAAGATCATACTGCTCTGTGCAGCAAAGGGACAGACAGAGTAAGATGGCTTACTTTGAATCATCAGGTCAACGCGTCGGGTCGGGTGGTCATATTACCCGATCATTTGTAAAAACATGCCCCTTTATTCTCCAAATGTTGGGCGTAATTTTTGTGGAAAAACCCTTTATATCGACAAACAATCTGGTCCAATTTACCTGACACTTTGTGAAAACCCTAGAGAAAATCTATGAAAGTACACATCCGTACTGTGCATCTTCACATGATCTTCCACTTTGGTTTCACGAAAGGTTGTGTAACGTGACCACCTGACCGTGTGTCCCTTTTGCTTGAAAAAATCTGGTGTTGCCCCAAATACTGGACTATTTTCTGGAAAATGCAGTTTCTGCAGTACCTATAAAATATTATTAAGCCAAATGAAGCAGTCTTTGTGAAGAAATCATTTGATTTGCTTCTAAGATGACATTTTTCATCAGACCATAAAAATAGTATGTCAGGAGGATTCAAACATTTTTTTATTGGGTGGGTGTAATCTTGTTCACATTTAAGACCAACATATCCATTGAACCTTACTTTCAGTATTAATTTGAAATCAAAGCAGTTAAATTTAATGCTATTCAAAGAAAGATATATTAGCATAATGCTTTTGTCTGTTTTCTGGAGCATGTCCTGCATATATGAATCTGCTAGAATTGTTTTCTTGGCCCCAGTGTACTGTTCTGAGAAATTCTCAAGACATGCTAAACTGATGTGTGTCTATTCCTGTACACTTTGCAGGAGTCTGCTAGAAGTTGTTGTATGGCACAATCAGACTTTTTTCTTGAAATAAGCCCAAGAAAGAAAATCAAAACTAATTCCTTACGTCTATTTCTTGCATCCCTTTCAGGAGTCTGCTAGACTTTGTTGCTTTTCTGCACAATCTGCAGAAGGTAGGGCACACAACTCTCAACTAAGGCTCTTTCAAAGTGTTTTGCATCGCACAAGAGTACCGTTTACTGACAAGATGCCTTACCATTCTCTCGCAAGATGCCTTAGAAAACTTAAGTTCACAACTAAGTCCTTACGGTCTAATTCTTACATCCCATCCAGGAGTCTGCTAGAGTTTGTTGGTTGGCACAAGCATTGTGTCTTCCTGAAGGATTCCCAGGAGAATACCGTCATGCACCTGATAGCCCAAGGTGGTCATTTTGACACTGCCAAAGCTTTACTGAAGAACCAGGATGATGTCGGTCTCTGTGAACAGTAAGCTTTTGAGACTTTACACAAATTAAAGCTTTCAATATTACAGTCGAACCTGTCTCAGTGGCCATCTGTCTATAGTTAGAACCTGTCTAGGAAGGCCACTTGTCTACAGGAGCCACTTTTTCTGTTTTCCTTGAGTGGCCTTAATAGACAGGTTTGACTGTATACCTTGTAGCCTTTAGTTTATAGTGAAAAGGCTGTTTAAAAGGCATTGAAAGGATGCAAATTCATTGCTGTTGGTATATACTTTCCCCATCGTTTTATTTCGTTTACTCTTAATTGTTTCCAAGTGCTTCTTTCAAAGAGCTTGAGTTCTGGGTCTTGTTTCATAAAAACTTGGTATCAATAACTGCCTAATTTCTGTAAAACATTTGCTCTCAGCCAATCAAATGCTACAATTTTAGTAGCTAGGAACAGTCATTGTAACTTGATTTTGATAACAAGTTTTATGAAACGGGCCGGGTGAGGATGAAAAGTAAAGATTTGTGTTACCTTTGACCTTTGACCATAGATTGGGAGTAGTTTGGGACAAACCCCACTACATCTTCACTAGCAATCAAACAAGGTCATAAACTGATTTCCAAGCTCCTCTTGAAATTCTGATATGCTCTTCAATCTTATTTGTTGCATTAGATTAGATTTGTTCAAAATTATTTTGAGATTCATGAATTTTATTAACTTTTGACCTTTGACCATTGATTAGGAATAGCTTGGGACAAACACCACTTCACCTTGCAATCAAACGAGGCCATAAACTGACTACCAAGCTCTTTCTGAAGACCAACAAGGTACTAGCTGGCATGCAAGACAACAAAGGGGTAGGTAGCTGTTCTGATATTTGTGTTATGACCTATGACCTTTAGGGAATCGTTTTCATTGATGCATGCATAAATGACAGGTAACAAGCTTTTTTCGATTAGTTACAGCCAGCCTAACTTTATTCGACATCATATTATTTTGAAATTTGCAATGGTTTGTTTGTTATATATTTGTAAAAATGCAAAAGAAAAAGAAAATCAAACATAAATAAATAAATCAAATCAAATAAAATTAAAATCATTATGTGCTGGTCAAAAGGGCATAGACCTTGGATTTGGGCCAAAGCCTTTTGACCAACATTTTGTCATTTTGTAGTTTAAGGATAAGAGGTTAAAGAAAAAATATGGAGAAGTTTAATGTATATCGTCATGTACTTTGTAAAGGGCTTCATATTGATCCAGTTCCATGTAATATGACAAGAATGATTCTTGAATCTTTTGCCTCTGCAGATGACCCCGTTGATGTATGCCTGCAAAGCCGGGAATATTCTCATCGTTGAGATGCTTCTGGAGCTAGATCAAGGCAAGATCAGGTTCTTTGAGTGCGACCACAAGGGCCGAAACTGCCTGGACCACGCCATCCGCAACGGTCACGAGTAGGTTGCAGTAGGGCAGTTGTTCAATTAACCTGTTGACTCCCTGAATTCTTTCTTTCCCACAGGCATAATAAGAGAACCACTCGTTTCCTGTAAGCAATAGGTTAAAGAAAAATTTCAAATTGCCTGAACCATGCCATCCGTAATGGGCACGAGTAGGTTGCAGTAGCTTTGGCTTTTTGACCTGATGACCACTGAATTCTCACATTCCCTTAAGCCTTATACTGGAGCCACCCGGTTCCCCTAGAATATGGGTTAAATGAAGCATAATAATCTGGAAACACTGGAACAGCTAAAATTATGTATTTCCAGTTTGAAAATATAAAACATTGTAATCTGGAATTCGGACAGCTTCCATTTGATTGATTTGCAGTTGAGTATTATCATACTTGTAATGATGTCACCAATATAATTTTGTTAAGACATGTTTGTCGTCCAGGAAAATTGCTTTGTGTCAATTAGATTGTTAGCCTGTTGAACACTGAATTATCTAATTCCCATAGGCTTAACACAGGGACCCCCCCTTCCTTTCTAACTTTGGCTTGTAACAGTCTTTTGTTTGTGCATGCATTTCTCTGTTGATAGGATGGTGGCAGTGACTCTGTTATCCCAAGAGAAGTGGCGCGTCCTCATGGCCCACTCCACCGGTGAAGGGGCAAACAAGACCACGCCCATGAGGAACCTCATCACCAACATGCCAGGTAGACTCTAAACACAAAACTTTTTTGTCACCTTAACTCGTATCCTGCCATAAGGCCTCATGCACGCTACTGTCATAGTGCTTTGTACACGTGAGCACGCTATCGAATGGCTGCTTAATTCATGCGAACGAGCCACAGCTTTGTTGTTCATGCTCATTGTTCTGATCTGAGTGCTTCGGACACGCTATTGATCGCACCATCAGATTATATCAAAATAAACTTGGCATAGGGAGGATTTGTGGCTTGGCAAAATGGGGATAAGCCCTGTGGCACTGGGCTGTATTCATTACAGCAGGATAAGAGTAAAGCCTATTTAAAAAAAGGGCAGGTTATTTGGAGCTCTCTTAGCTTGGTGGCACCACCACCACCCCCCCCCCCCCCCCATTCGAAAAATTGGATCAATGTTCATTATTGCTAATTGGATATGCAGTTTCATCCGCAAGCCTACTGTACAGTTTCATCTTGTATTCATTCCCCCCCCCCCCCCACGGTACCTGTTGGTCGAAATTAAGTATCAACAGATGCTTAAGACTCTAGGTGATCAAGTTATCCAAGCTGGCGGCGGAAAGAATTGAGAAATCAACAACAACAAAATTCTTTAGGCATTTGTCGGTTTGTGTTAGATAATTAGACGAGTGCAACACCAGATTAACAGACGTTGATACAGATAAAATAAATCTTTTTACATTAGAGTCCTCCCACAAGGTTTTCAGATGTCAGATAAAATATTTGTATTTTGAGGTTATTTTCTGCATATGAGGAAATCAAATTATTTTTTCCCGGTAGGCGTGTGCCAGTTCGTCCTAGACAAGTGCATCACCAGATTAACAGACACCGATATCGATGACATGACTTCTGTGAATATTAAAGTAGATTATGAGCTCCTGGAAGACTGGTTTTCAGATTGGATGCAAACTCAACCTACATCAAGTAAGCCATTCACGTGCTTGAATATAATTTTAATTTCTGTAACCCTTTCAGGGAAGGTATTTTTTAGGGCTAAATTCATCACATATTCTTCTTTCAATTGGCAACAACAATATGATGTCTCTGAAATGATTTATGTGGGCGATAATCTTATCAAAAAAATGTTTGAAATTTTAATTTTGGCAAAACCAATCATTGTGAATCTCTCATTGTGTTATCAATTTAAGGATTTAATTTCCTTTAAAAAAATTCCTTGCATCAAATGCAATATACTCATGTAACAAAAATGGATGCAGCGTGTGCAGTAAATTCTGTGGTTGCTCCCCTTTTTTTTCCTTTCTTAAATATGGTATCATTTGATCATTACAGGAAGAGGAAGTAAGGGAAACGTTGCTGATGCTGTTTATGGCGTTTTAATGCCCACCATCAGCCAGATAGGATCTCTGGATGACCACATTGGCGAAGATCTGGTAAGACCAAATACCAGGACATGATATTTAAAACTTGTTATCAATAACACATGCTAAATTTCTGTGACAGATTTGCTCTCAGCCATACAAAGAATTAGTTTCTAGTGCAAACCAGTAGCCGCTTAGGCAGTGCAGACTACTGTGTCAATGGCAGACTGAGGAATTCGGAAGAATAAGTACCTTGACCAGGCCTTTGCATACAAAACCTTAAGAAAGGATTAGAATGCCTCCAAAAATAAAAGACTATCCTGGGTCGTACATTTTTCAAAAATTGCAATTATAGACATTTTGTGTGTTGGACCAAATGTGAAGGCTGTCCGACACTACATCATAGAGACATTACCGATTGAGCCAATTTGAAGAGCTCATACCTTTAGTGATTACGACTTTCAAAAATTGTCTTCTGTCTTATATTTTCTGGCTATCAAGGTTGGATTTGACTTTAAAAGTTATTTTGCGGGCCCTGAATTAGCTTTTAGGTTCCCCAAACAACCCTTTCCTACTTGACATCACCTTGCATAACTGCATCTTTACATTGTTTACAGGAGAACACCAATTTCCATGACGATGGAACACTGAAACAGGACGCAAAGATCTATGTGACTGACCCAGTATATCGTTCTGAGAACCATCCTCTCAGACTCATGGTATGAAACAAGGTTAACCCTAAAAGCCCCATTACATATGTTGCGGTAACAGCAATAGTTTATGGCTGGTTTCTTGTGTGTGTACTCGTCATCATTTCTAGTCATCACATAACTACCTTCCAATATCTAGCAAAGATCAGAGCCACATTGATGGCCAGGTATCAGTAAATCATTTTGACTCGTCTAGTAGACCGGTGTTTTTCTTTCAAACTTTTTTTTGTTCCTGTTAGATCTGATCCAAAATAACGAGAATAAGATGTTGACTGGCCATTTACAATGAAACTATTTCATAAGGATATCGAATATCGTAATTGGGATAGGGAGAATTGAGTGGAAACAATTGGTATCGCTGGGTTCCAATGTTTTGTTCAACAATGTTATTTGATCTGTCATTCTAGATCAAGAAGGACGAGAGTAAAATGTTGCTGAATCACCCTGTAGTCCGCCTGATGGTCCGCTACAAGAACAAATCGACTCGACTGAAATATTGGATCAGCCTCTTCCTCCATATCACCCTCGTCGTCCTCGTCACCGGCCACAGCCTGGTCATCCCTCCACCATTCTATGTCCAGACCAACCCTGAAGGCAACAACTACACCTGGTTGGCTGACGGAAAGACGAAGTGGCAGGAGAACATGAACCTTTTTGCTCTGGTCCTGTTTGGAAGAGTCGGGGCCTGGATCATCCTTGCGCTCACTGTCATCTACTTCATTGAATTTGTAAGATCACCATTAAATCCTTGCCTTTGACATACAGTAAAACTTGTGTTAGTGGCCACATCCCTGGAAAGATCACCTGTCTATAGTGGCCAGGTACTTTGTCTAAAGAAAGAATGGTGTGCTGTAGAACCTGTTTTGAAAGGCCACCTCTCTACAATGGCCTCTTTTCCTGTTTCTGGTTTGACTGTAAAACCATATAATATTATTTTGATTATTTCCCATGAATAGGTCTATCGTGTCTTGATCTACAGACACACAACATTGAACACCATCCGTGGAGTGGGTAGCATTTTGAGAGAAGTGGCGCTCGTAGTCTTCATCATCCTCTTCATCGTGCCCGGCCTTGGTGAATTGAGCTACAGCTATGGGGTCAACATAAAACCAGCAAGTATTCTTCGGTGCAACATTTGCTATGACTATTGCAACACATGCTCCTGTCACAATTGCTCTGCCGTAGTCTCCTACACTAACAGATTTCCTAACTTCAACCATATATGCTTTTGACAATATTTACGATTTCAGTATAGCTGGGCACTGTTTCATGAAACTTGTTATCCTTAAAGATAAACTTGAGTTCTGGTAATGCGATTGCATTGTGAAAGAAAATGTGTGGAATGGATCAGAAAAAATAATCATATAGCATGTAAGTAATGGTGTGTAATGCAAGGTTCTGGAGTCATCAAAATCATCATAAATTTGGCAGAGTCTTGGTAAAGTAACAATCACTTACACAGAAAGATGTATATGGAACAACACACATGGTGTCGGGGCTAGTACTACCCTGATTTCGTTATCTTTCTATGCTCATTACTCAGCCAGTATACATTTTCTTCCAAAATTGTTTGGCACATGACATTTAATTGTAATCTTGAACATTCAGTGTAAGTTTTGTTAGATTCTGTGAGAATTCATTTTCTTTTTTTACCAAAACTCAAGTTTATCTTTAACAAATACTAAATTTCTATGACAACTTTGCTCAGGTAGACCACCTTGTCCCTGTCCTCTAACAAAAACATATCCAAAGAAGCAACAAACATTGACATATCTGCTGGCAACCACAGAAATAATCCATACTGACTCTAAACCAATGCACCTTTTTACAACAACATACACAACGTAGAAAAAAGAAAATCATTCCCATAATCATTCCTATAATGTGGACCACACACACACATATTCATGCAACAAAAGAAATAGCTCTCAGAATCAACACATACAGCCAAATATTAGCAACTGACTCCCACACACTTATATGCATAACCAACACTAATTCAAACACACACCCTCATGTAGTAAATGAGGCAACCCACACTCGCGTATTCTACCAAAGCAACAACCCACATATTGACCCTTCTACACCCCACACCCCATGCAGTTAAAAAAACCACCCCACATTGACTCCCGAACCCACACACCTGCATACAGCAACCAGAACAACAAACGGTAACGAAAACTCAAACAATGATTCCCATACCCCTCCCTAACCCCCTCACTCACACACCTACATGTACATACAGCCAAATGACCAACTTGCATTGACTACCAATCCCACACACACCTGCTGCCAAGATGGAAGCAGCATCCACATTCCACACCCTCATAGAATCAAAGACACAACCCACACCCACATCCCACACCCTCATAGAATCAAAGACACAACCAACACCGACATCCCACACCCTCATAGAATCAAAGACACAACCAACACCCACATCCCACACCCTCATAGAATCAAAGACACAACCCACACCCACATCCCACACCCTCATAGAATCAAAGACACAACCCACACCCACATCCCACACCCTCATAGAATCAAAGACACAACCCACACCCACATCCCACACCCTCATAGAATCAAAGACACAACCCACACCCACATCCCACACCCTCATAGAATCAAAGACAAAACCCACACCCACATCCCACACCCTCATAGAATCAAAGACACAACCCACATCCCCATCCCACACCCTCATAGAATCAAAGACTCAACCCACACCCACATCCCACACCCTCATAGAATCAAAGAAACAACCCACATTGAGTCCCACACACACACCTGCCAAAGATGCAACCGACACCCACATCCCACACCCTCATAGAATTAAAAAACCCACATTGATTCCTACACCCGCACACACCTGCTGCCTAAGAATGCAACCCACACCCACATCCCACACCCTCATAAAATCAAAGAAACAACCCACATTGAGTCCTTCAACCACACACAGCTGCCAAAGATGCAACCGACACCCACATCCCACACCCTCATAAAGCCAAAGAAACAACTTACATCGAGTCCTTCACCCACACAGACCTGCTGCCAAAGATTCAACTAACACCCACATCACACACCCACCCTCATAGAATCGAAGAAACAAATCACATTGAGTCCTAAACGCACACACGTCCATCCAGCCAAAGAACGATTCCTACCAATTCCCATTAATATACCCCACACCCAGACAGCCAAATGAATTAATGTTGATAACCATATTTCGTCTTTCCTATTACAAATAATATTTGTGTATATGCATTGTTTTTACAGGATTGGCAATGGCAGCTTGGTGCATTCGCAGTGTTTCTGACATGGTTCAACTTCATCCTGTTCCTGCAGACTGTTCCATTCTTTGGTCTCTATATCTTCATGTTTCTTGGTATGATTGGCTCTTTCTTTTTTTTTGAAGATGATATGACGACAATAATAATGATAATATCAATAATGATAATATTAATAATAATAATGATACAGTGATGAAAATGATAATGACAATAATAATGATAATATTACTAATAATAATAACAATAATAACTAGACTTTAATTCGTCACTTAGACGAATTAGGTGATACGTATGATAATGGTCTACATAACGAATAATGCATTACACGATATATTATTTTGTAAAATGCTTCTCCCATTTATTTGCTTCTCCCATTATGATCTATTCATATGTCAAGATTAAATTGTGTCTCCTTGATTATCATGGATCTAGGGAAGATAGATTGAAACAATACATGACCTTTGACCCTGTGCAGTAACCAGTTACACATTTGACTCTAATTTACATCATGAAGAACACCTTTTGACGATTTTATCTTATTCAAAGAAATGAAAATGTTCTTGATAAATGATTATCATCATTATGATAATGATGATCATGATGATCATGATCATGATCATGACGTCTTATTGAAAAAATGAGGGTTGATTTAGATAGCATATAGTCTCAGGTACAACATACTCAAAAATCCACAAAATCCAAGCAGAACTAACGGCGATATTGCTCGCAAAAGACAGGAATGTAGACCCCAGATTTGAGAAAAAGTCATCTCCTTTAGGGATTACACGCCAAAAGTAATGGATTAAGTGAAAATTGGGTAATAATAAAGTAAAAAGGGTTGTTTATGACATTATTTGCGATTCTACGTGTTTAAATAATCAAAGGAGATGGTACAGTGAAAGGTCAAAAGGAAAAAAAAAGTGAAGAAAAAAAATTGTTGGAGACACCCGGACTCGAACCAGGGATCTCGAGGTTGGAAGTCAAGTGCGTTACTGATATACCAAAAAATCTCCCATAGCGATAACACGTAAACGGGAAATGGAATTCTGAAGTCCTACTTTGCAAGTAAAATATGAGCATGATCCCGGCATATGATCGAAAAATTAAGTGCACAATGGAGATAGCCTTTTGTCTCAGCTACAACATACCCGAAGCTCAGCAAAAACAAAGCTAAAACAACGGAGATATTGTTCGCGAAAGAGGGAAATGTAGAATCCAGTTTTGAGAAATAGTCATGTGCCTTAGACAATACACGCAAAATGTGAAAAATTGACATGCCTCCTTTAATCGCAAAATTACGACATGATACCTTTGTCAAACTGGAAAATTGTGGACACTCCATTTGTAGAAAATTATCTCAGCTAGAACATATCAAAATTTGCAAGAAAAAAAATCAATATTTACAGAGATACAATCAATTTTTCAAAAATATGCTGACGTCATAACATGCAAATTAAATTTTTGAGTTCGGAGGCCATTATAATGACGTCATTAGTAAATTGAGGGTCAAATGAGACATAAAATCATATTTCCGACTCATAATCTATCTAAATATGAAAAAATATTGGGAGTTCTTATCTATTCTGAAGAGTTACAAAGAACTTTGTATAGACATGTTTTGCTCATGTATTGTGGATAAAGATAACGCAGGTCCGCGCGCGCTGTCAACTTTGACGGACGCTCATTGCGTTATTAAAGGGTTAACAAGTTATCAAAATGCTAGGAAAAATGTGCTAAATATGATGATAGAGAAATTTCGGCGATTCTATGTTGCAAAACGCTAGTACGCGCAAAAAACGCGCGCGCATGCGCGTGAGCATTATTTTTTGTCAAATGCTCCATATGGCCTGAAACGTATGCAAACAAAATTGGGGATGATTTAGAGCATTTTAAATTTTTGCGCGCGCGTAAACGCGCGGACGAACGCGCACGCGCGCATTTGCGCACGTTAATTGACCTGAAATTGACCGGTAGGATATTGATCTTATTCATGATAAATATGAATTAAAAATTACTTTTCGTTATGAAGATATGATCATAAGTTGATTTTAATAAAATGGCGCCTAGATGACGTCACGATGATGTTGAGTTTATGAAAAGTCACGCAGTTCTAAGTTAGGCTAAGATCTATCATCATGGCAAGTTTCATGATAATGGCTAAAGCCATTCTTGAGATATCCTGCGAACAAAATTGAGGAAGAATAATAATAATTTCTTCTATACAGACACAAAATAAATACTAGACTTTAATTCGTCACTTAGACGAATTAGGTGATACGTATGATAATGGTTTACATAACGAATAATGCATTACACGATATATTATTTTGCTTCTCCCATTCATATGCTTCTCCCATTATGATCTATTCATATGTCAAGATTAAATTGTGTCTCCTTGATCATCATGGATCTAGGGAAGATAGATTGAAACAATATATGACCTTTGACCCTGTGCAGTAACCAGTTACACATTTGACTCTAATTTACATCATGAAGAACACCTTTTGACGATTTTATCTTATTCAAAGAAATGAAAATGTAATTGATAAATGATTAGCATCATTTTGATAATGATGATCGTGATGATCATGATCATGATCATGAGCGCGATCATGACATCTTATTGAAAAAATGAGGGTTGATTTAGATAGCATATAATCTCAGCTACAACATACTCAAAAATCAACAAAATCCAAGCCGAAATAACGGCGATATTGCTCGCAAAAGACAGGAATGTAGAATCCAGATTTGAAAAAAAAAGTCATTTCCCATGGGGATTACACGCAAAAAGTAATGGATTAAGTGAAAATAGGGTAATAATAAAGTAAAAAGGGTTATTTATGACATTATTTGCGAATCTACGTGTTTAAATAATCAAAGGAGATGGTACAGTGAAGGTCAAAAGGAAAAAAAAAGTGAAAAAAAAAAGTGTTGGAGACACCCGGAATCGAACCAGGGATCTCGAGGTTGGAAGTCAAGTGCGTTACCGATATAACAAAACATCTCCCATAGCGATTAATTACACGTAAACGGGAAATGGAATTCAGAAATCCTACTTTGCAAGTGAAATATGAGCATAATCCCGGCATCTGATCGAAATATAAAAGGCACACGTGTGATAGCTTATTGTCTCAGCTACAACATATTCGAAGCTCAGCGAAAACAAAACTAAAATATGGGAGATTTCGCTCGCAAAAGACAGGAGTGTAGAATCCAGTTTTGAGAAAAAGTCATGTCCCATAGAGAATACACGCAAAATGTGAAAAATTGACATGCCTCCTTTAATCACAAAAGTACGCCTTGATGCCTTAGTCAAAATGAAAAATTGTGGCAACTATACTTGTAGCAAATTGTCTCAGCTAGAACATATCAAAATTTAAAAGAAAATTGATCCATATTTACAGAGATACAATTAATTTTCCAAAAATATGCTGACGTCATAATATGCAAATTGAAATTTTGAGTTTGGAGGCCATTATGATGACATCATGAGTTAATTGAGGGTCAAATGAGACATGAAATCATATCTCCAACTCATAATCTATCTAAATATGAAAACATATTGGGAGTTCCCATCCATTCTGAACAGTTACAATGAATTTTGTATAGGCATGTTTTTGCCAATGTATGGTGGATAAAGATAACGCAGATCTGCGCGTGCTGTCAACTTTGACGGACGCTCATTGCGTTATTAAAAGGTGAACAAGTTATCAAAATGCTTGGAAAAATGTATCAAATATAATGACAGAAAAAATTCGGCGATTCTATATTGCAAAATGCCAGTACGCGCGAAAATGCGCGCGCATGCGCGTGTGCGTAATTTTTTTATCAAATGCTCCATATGGCCTGAAACGGATGTAAAAAAAAATTGGGATGATTTGGAGCATTTTAATTTTTTGCGCGCGCGTAAACGCGCGGACATAAGCGTACGCGCATTTTTGCGCGCATTTATTGACTTGAAATTGACCGGACGGATATTGAGTTTAATCATGATAAATATGAATGAAAAATGGCTTTCCTTTATGAAGATATGATCATAAGTTGATTTTCACAAAATGGCGCCTGGATGACGTCACGATGACCTTGACTGTCTGAAAAGTCACACAGTTCTAAGTTAGACTAAGATCTATCATCATTGAAAGTTTCATGATAATGGCTTTATTCAGTCTTGAGATATCCTGCGAACAAATTCGAGGAAGAATAATAAAAATAAATAATAATAATAATAAAGAAAAATCTTGACGAAATCAAAAGGTGATACGTTGACTTCGTTACGTATCACCTAATAATAACAACAATAATGATACAAATAATGATAATAATAATAATTATGATACTTCTTCCAGTGCTACTACTGCTAATAATAATCGTAATTTACTTTCATTTTTTCATCTATGCTCGCAGCACTTTAATATGCATTTCTGTGAAATGGATATGACGCTTTACAAATAATCATTTTTTGTAATTATTATTATTCATTTGTGACAAAATAGAGAACGTGCTGGATCTTTTTCTATCATTTCATGGCTTCACAGTTATATTTCAATGCTAATTCTTATGCCCTGAATCTTCTGGTTTTTCCTTATTTAAACAGAGGTGCTATCTACTCTTCTGAACTTCATCTTTGTTGTCGGCATTTTCGCAATCGCCTTTGCTGTGGTGTTCTGTATTTTGCTTTTAAATCAGGTATGGACTGTCTAAAAAAATCTCTGATTATAATTTCTTTTTCATGGAACTATAAAGCATTACAACCATTTCTTTAGATGTTGAATTAAAGGAATTGAGAGTCTTATGCCTTTCATAAGAGTATGAGTAGTTGAACAGCCAGCAGTTATATATAGTACTGTAGATAGGAGACATAAATTTCTGGAAATACATATTGTGTTGGTTGCCCTCAAGAATGCTTTAAGAGGTAAATATTGTCAATGACACCAGACTTTGTGGAAATACCATTAATGTGTGTTCAAGTCTGCACACAGCGAACCTTTAGGCCTATCAAGAAATAGACCCTAGTCTCTTGGGGAGTCTTGGGTGAGGAAAAAGTAAACAAATTACTTTACCATATCGGGATAAAACAGAGCATTGCATAAAGCTTTTTGGTCATAAAACTGAAGGCTAATCCTAGTGATTGATGACACCTGTCATTAGGTAAACGCCGGAACAATGTCAAATTCCCCATTAGAGCCCACTTCTATGTGTTTTTATAAGCATTATGTTTGAATGTTTTTAGTTGGGTTTTAGTTGGCATATTCATGTATTAAAACTATGTTGTACTCTCCTCATGCTTTTAAGCACTTTCAACATTTGTCATAAGGGGACTATCGAAACAAGGCCACCTTAGTCTTTTATGGTAACCTAGATTCCATTTGTAATGATTTACATCTGTGCTGATTTGTATGTGTAAATTCTTTGACTGGAATTAACTGAAATTGAACTTGATATCATTACCTTCCTAGGCACCCTTTCACACCCTGGGGAACTCCCTAGCAAAGATCCTGAGCATGGCAAGCGGAGAGCTCAACTTCGATACTGTCTTTCATTCCCTCGACTACCTCTACCAACCCGTGGCCTCTGTGAACTTTACAAAAATGGTCTTCTATCCAGCCTCTACACACATTATCTTTTTTCTCTTCATATTCTTCATGCCAATACTCATCATGAATCTCCTGGTAAGAAGTCTAACTATCACACTAATGTAATGATGTAGTCAATATAAGTGAATGTAAACAGTTAACAAATAAATTATTCATACCCTTAACAACTTTTGTAATTTGTAAGTATTTGAACAATTTACTTGTCCCGATTTATGTTTCTCGAGAATGTGGCATATTAAAACTTACATCTAAAAGTACTCAATAAAGCCCCTACTTTTTTAAGCAGCCTCTCTTTCATTCTTGAGTCAACAGAAAACACAAAACAATTTTTAAGTATGTGAAAAATTAATTCTTTTTTTCCAGATTTATATTTCTTGAAAATAATACATATCTAGTTTCAAGATATATTTATATGTTTTTAGAAACATGTATTGTTTCTGCATTCGATTCATGCATCTCGTATTTGTGTAGTTAGCTACCTTGTGACGCCAGACAGACAACATATTTAAAGGGGAAGTCCACCCTGTTATTTAGTTATTAAGTTATACTCCATTACTTCCTTTGTTGATATCATGATTGTTAATAAAGTGATTTTGAAAAAAAACAATGTTTATATTTCACATTTTGATTTGTTTATATTGCAGACTGGTTTGGCTGTGTATGACATTGAAATCATTCAGAAAAAGGCGATAATGTGTAAACGTACGCTTGAGGTAAGTTTAATCTTGTAGGAAACTCCAGATTTTATTCTCTGTGTATTATCTGTATACCTTACTTCACTATTTCATCCAGACTTCTATCAAAGAGGTTCTATCCAAGCATATATTTTTTTTCTTTTCTTTGATAAATACATGTGCAAGAGACATTTTCTTCTGTTTTATAATTTTTTTAAAAAAATAGCAATATTGGATTCTTATATAGCACACATATCGACCTTGCAAGGTCCTCAAGGCGCCCCAACATTATCCGGCTATGCTAGACTGCTAATTTTGATGCTCACAGCATTTAAGGAATTCCTTCAAAATATATACATTTTCTCTTGTTGCGAAAGAGAAATATTTTATGAGCACCACTAGGAATGTATTGACTGCAATATGTACAAGTTGACAATTTAAGGCCAAGCAACCCTTGATCTTGCAGGTATTCCTCTTGTCATGGAAAACATTTCTTTTTGGGGGGACTTTGGGATCTTCAAATTTCATTTAAAAAATGCTTGTATACCTCAGCAAGTTTTATGTAAACATATATCTTTATAAGTGCACTTGACACTTAATCAAAGACATAAGGGTGCCAATCTCAGCCCCAACATTGATTTGATGTGCTACTTTGAGTCATGCAGTTAACTGTTTTATTTGTTTGCTCCTTTTATATGATACTCGATTTAGGCTAAGGGGATCTTGGATGTCCAGGACAACTCTGTCCTCTTGATCTGGAAGCGCAGTGTTCTGAGAGACCAGGTGAAAAGTATCAGGACGGAAATCTCGCCCATGCACAAGCTCTACTTCAAGGCCATCGGGTACAAGGAGATACACGATCAGCTGGTGACATTTCTCGAAGAACTGGAGAAGACGGTAAAACTTAGTACCCTCTATATTCCAGCCTTTTCTATGATTTCTTCCAGTTGATACCCCATAACAGTTTACCATCACCTTTTAGTGACGTTTTAATGTTTGATTGCTGTTTGGTCTACAATCAGTTTGTCTACTACCCATTTGGCCTATTCCCATATGGTCTACTCCCAGCCCATCTACCATCCACATGGTCTAATAATCATTTGTCTACCTATCATTTTTGCTAATTTAGAAGAGCTGATTCCTTTGGACCTTAAACAGAGTTTTTCGGTTATCCAGTCTAATTGACCAAGAGACATCGTAATTCTCTGTGTCGCTCGATATTGCCCTTATGGAATCTTTTACACCAGAAATACCTATTAATTAAAAAAAATAATCAAGAAAGAAGTGAGCAATAAAGGAGTAGAAAGCATCAAAAGAGCTCTGGAAACCGTCATAAGTCAAAATTTGTGGAAAGCGCATAGAAACGCGTATATATTCTATAACACACGTTTCAAAGGGATGTCCAAGAGGTTATAAGACTTATGACAGTTTCGAGAAACGGCCCCCTGTAATACTAACAAAAATTGCATTATTCGTTTTCTGTCATTTCAGGGGAGTGTGCAATTCACCAAAACAACGGAGATGAAGATCGAAGACATGGCCCAGCACATCTGTGACATGAGGAACAAGCTCAACATGCTGTCTGAGAATGCCATCGACTCCAAGATTGAGCAGCTTGAGACGATGACCATCATGCAGGAGATCAAACAGCAAATGCAAGCTCTCCAGGACAGGTTTGATAAGATGGAATTGAAAAGGGGTTACTAGACATTAATCCACATTTGACACTCTTCACCCAGGTGATCGAACAGCAATTTTAGGCTCTCCAATATGGGCTTGATAAGATTGATATTAAAAAGGGTTACTAGACGTTAATCTACATTTGCCACACTTTACCCAGGTGCTCATAACAACAAATACAGGCTCTTCTATACAGGGGGAAGAGGGATTTGTTTGAAAAGATTTTATATTGTTTATCAACAAGCAGGTGAATTCGTCTGACAATCTGAATAGAAAATAAACTAATGAAATTATGCTTGCAATTCACTTTATCAAAAAGCTCACTGTACTTTGACCACATGCTATGCATGAGGATCAATACGACTAAGCCGTAGTACTTATTTTATCTTGCCAATTTATTTATCAGCTTTTTATATATTCTACCAGATTGCTTTGCAGATATTATGTAGTTGTACTTTTTTGAACATTGAAAGTAAAATTTTGTATGATTTTGTGACATTTATTTTCTGTTATGAACAGACATCTTATAATGATATTTTTAAAGTTAAAGAGCTGTCAATTTTTTAATGAAAACTGCTATTTTGTTTTGCTTTTTGGTTTTTGTTATCTACAGGTCATCCTGGTTACGTGCAATGATGTTGCTAAAACATATTGTTATATCATGTTTGTTGCGTTATTGTGAATGGTACTAGAAGCAGTTAACTCTTATCAGGGCTAATCCCCATTGTGCCAAGCCCCAAATCCCCCCGTGCCAGGTTTATTTTAAGATAATCTGATTAACGCGATGGTTCTATGAATAGCGCATGCGAAACACACAGCACACTGCAATGAGCATGAACAATAACTGCTATTACGAATGCATGAAAGCATGCATGAAGCATCGAAGCAATGGCTCGCTTGCATGGACAAAGCACTATAACGGTAGCGTGCATGCAGCCTTATGGCAGGCTATGAGTTAAGTGATCTTGAAGCTTTTGTTATAATCTATCCCACGATAGGTACAAAGTAGCACAGGGAGATTATTTCTGTGGCATATAAAGAGAATATATAAATAAGAATCAAATATCAGTTCTTAGACAAACAAAATGTGTGAGTTTCAGGTGGCTAAAATCAAATAATTGCAGCATTGCAGCATTATTTCCACGTTGCCTTGTTCGTCAGTTCGATGAAGATGTGCTTGGCGGCAATCAAACAACTCAGGGTCTTGTTTCTACACCAAAAATACAACTGTTCTTTCATATTTCATAGAACATGAATGGGTAAAATATATATATATATATATATATATGTAAGAATTATTTGATGATAAGCATTCCTGAATGTCAGGTAATGTGGCCTTAATGATAATTAATAATAATTCTGCCTTTATATAGCGCTTAATACATCTATGATGTCTCTAAGCGCTTTACAGATATATTATTACCCTGGTCATTGGATTCAATACTTGCCCGCACACAGTGTGTGCACAATCTCCACTCCCTGGTGCAGGTTAATATCTTGCCAAAGGATATTAGTGCCATGTCGGGACTCAAACCCTCGACCTTCGCATCGCCAGTCAAACGCCTTAAACCACTTGAAAACGACACTCCTATATCATTTTGTAAGATTTTGACCACTGCCCGAAGCAGCTAGTTAACCTGATCAAATTTTTGGAAGTGATGTAATCAAAATTCACAAGCAAATCAGTTTGTCAATATTACAACTTTTATTTTTGAGTGGTGAATACAAGACTTAGAATCTCGTTTTAGAGACATTTAAAAAAAAAAAATCTTTTAATCCAAAATAAGAGGATTAGAGGGTCAAATTTCTTGGAAACAAAATTCACAAGCAAAACAGTGTGTCAATAGTACAAAATTTGTTTTTGGGGTGGTGAATACAAGACTGTATACATTTACCCATTGCAGCTTAGAATCTCGTTTAAGAGACATTTTCAAAAAAATATCTTTTAATCCAAAATAAGAGGATTAGAGGGTCAAATTTCTTGGAAATAAAATTCACAAGCAAAACAGTGTGTCAATAGTACAACATTTATTTTTGGGGTGGTGAATACAAGACTGTATACATTTACCCATTGCAGCTTAGAATCTCGTTTTAGAGACATTTTCAAAAAAATATCTTTTAATCCAAAATAAGAGGATTAGAGGGTCAAATTTCTTGGAAAAAAAATTCACAAGCAAAACAGTGTGTCAATATTACAATATTTGTTTTGGGGTGGTGAATACAAGACTGTATACTTTTACCCATTGCAAATTGCTGTCTCGTTTTAGAGACATTTTAAAAATTATTATCTTTTAATCCAATATGCTCAGAATTACTGAATTTCTTGGAAACAAAATTCACATCCAAAACAGTGTGTCAATATTACAAGTTATGTTTTTGATTGGTGAATACAAGACTATCTATTTACCCATTGCAACTTACTGTTTCGTTTTAGAGACATTTTTTTAGTTATTATGATCTTATAATCCAATATGCTTGGAATTACAGATTATCCATGTACAGGAGCTGAAAGACCAAAAATGTCACAGAAATGTTTTGATTCCATTTCTAATGCAGTACTGTTGTGAAATTCATGAATAAGAATGATTTTAATAAAATGTATGTCCGAGGTAAATATCTTATAAAATATATATATATGTATTGTTATTATCTCGTCAACTTTCGCAAGCCTGGTCGTTCTGGTCTCCGTTCTGCCAATACATCAACTCTGATCATCCCTAAGACCAGAAAAATGAGACAATCATGGGGAGATCGAGCATTTGCCTCAGCAGCTCCCCGATTGTGGAACAGTCTCCCTTTTACACTTCAGGACTGTAGATCAGTAGATCATTTCAAGGCCGGTCTAAAAACTTATCTAATGGCCAACTTTAACTTATATCATTTTTGTTACCATGTATAATGTTATGTAAGCGTAATTGTATCTAAGTATAGTTTATATGTAGCTCATTGTAAGCACCTTCAGCACCCTCTGGGTGAATATGTTGCACATTATAGATGTCTATGTTTTTTTGTTTTTTTTGTTTTTTTTTTTTTTTGGGGGGGGGGGTTTGTTTGTATTTATTAACATTTATTTCCTTCTCAACAGTACAATATGAAACACAGTGTATATATACATGATATATGTAACAATTATTTCAACATAGAGTATACAGTAAATAATTCAGATACGGAAGGAGGCGAAAACCCGGAAAGTATAGCTCGAGTTGGGAACGCCCATAATAAATTAACATAGTTACCGAGAGAAAATTATAGATATAATGAAAATTACAGTTTATGTAACAGAAAGTGTTAGTCGTCACTTTATTAGTTGTCACATATTAACAGAGCCTAGAACTTACAGAAATAGTACAACATGTGTCATATTTATACAAGGTTTGTGAATACTTAATACTGTAGATTCATCAAGGCAATTAAAATAAATGGTATCATGTATCAAGTGTTAGTATCATCTCATTCATATGCCTAATATGTTGCCAAATCACTTGTCTCGAGTCAATCTTTAAGTGCATTAATCTAATATTTCTGCAGAATTATAGCCACTCTCATATCTTGTAAATTTGTAGCTAGCCAAATATTATAATGAATGTTAGAAAAATGACCTGTGTATAGAGCCTAGAAAGGCTGCTGCATACATTGTGTTTGTACAAAGTTTGTGAATGCTTTCAATTCTTCAAGATAAATCTTCAATGTTATCATGTATCGAGTTTTAGTTGTCAACTCATTCATATGCCATATGCATTTCCATATCATTTGTCTAAATTAGTCAATACCTAAGTAGAATATAATCTAGTACTTATTATTTGTACAGGGTTAGTCACCGTCATAACTTGTAAGCTCATAGCTAGCCAAACATTAAGAAGGAATGTCAACCAATATTATAGTTTTCATCTGCTTTTTTTATGGTTATCTCTAGATATTAGTCTTAACAGTATATTGCTTAATATGTTGAACATGTATGCAATATTTATTCTGATGGATAAAAAGCATGTTAAATTGAAAACTATTTTTTTTGTGCCAATATTTGTATAATATTGACTGGCCTTGATGGAGATACCCCAGATATTGCCAAAACTAGACTCATATTGCCCCGAGTCAAAGACGAGGGTCTTTATGGGTCTTGAGAGGGCAATATATGTGGTATCTCCCGAAAGTTAAGCCAGTCAATATTGTTATTGTTATCCAAATCAGACATCTAGAGCAAATACATAAATCAACCATGATAATCTCAAAGAACTGAACAAACTTTGTCAACCAGCAGTGCTTGACGAAATTTTTGATATAGGTACTGCAAACAGTGTGCCTTGGGTGTAATTATTACGTCACAATAGAGTGTGCGCAAAGTGCACAGGTTTAATAGATGCGCAATGAAAATGACAAAATACGGCGCTGTCAATACAAGACTATGTTATCACTTGTCTCTACACTCAAAGTGTACGGGCAGGGAGACCAAGGAAAATAAAAAGAATATACCCTTCCGTTCCCACTGCTAATGAAAACTAGGGCAATACGGTTTTGTAAATGACCAGCTCAGATGTCTGATATGGGTAATAATTTTCCTGATTCATTTTAAGAAACAGTACGAGTGCTTTTCCTGAATATGTCATGGTCTGTATGATATCACTGTTTAACATTTATACATCTTTCACTGTGCTCAGTTAGTTTTATCCAATGACCTCTACACTCGAAGAGCAGTGAAATTGCTCGTTGTAATGGGAATGATTAAGATGCTATATTTAATAGCTTGTAAAACTTTACATCTTGTTACAGCCAATCTCTCTATAAAAGGTTCATGCTGCCATAGACTTACATGCAATTCAGATTTGGGCCTGTGATGATGCCTAGTTCTAAGCGTTACATCGCTATAGCCGACCTCGTTATATCGAGTTTTCCCTGCCCTCATTAACCTTTGTGATCAAGTCATGTCTGTGTCTATATACAAGTTATGAGAAGTACATGTTTATTTAGGTCACTGTATTCAATTTATATTTATACCATACAAACGAACAGGGGTTGCAATTTTCACATATGCTTTCATGTACCTTGGTTAATGTTTGTTATCTTTACAAACCAATTTGAGATAATATTGTAACAAAGTAAATTCTGAATATCTTAATGTTCTGCATAGTATATCTCTATTTAATATTTCTTGTCCTAAAACATGTCTGAAACTAGAAATAAATGTTTCGTCTAGGTTCCCTTTTTTATTTAGATGAAAGTTTGAAAACAATTATGCATAATGTATCTACATTAAAAATAAACTCCAGTTCTGGTAAAAAAAAGAAAGAAAATTAATTCTCACAGAATCAAACGAAATTTACACTGAATGTTCAAGATTACAAATAAATGACAAATGCCAAACAATTTTGGAAGAAAATGTATACTGGCTGAGTAATGAGCATAGAAAGACAAGGAAATCAAGGTAGTACTAGCCCCGACACCATGTGTGTTGTCCCATATATAGCTTTCTGTGTACAGTGCTTGTTACTTTACCTAGACTGTGTCAATTTTTATTGATTTTGATGACTCCAGAACCTTGCAGTGCACACCAATACTTACATGCTACATGATCAACTGTTTCTGATCCTTTCCACACCTTTTCTTTCACAATGCAATCGCATTACCAGTACTAAAGTTTATCTTTAATTGTTAGTATTTTTACTTAGAAAACATGTTTAAAGTCAGGGAAGATGCAATTTATTCTCTGTGCCTTAAATTTTGGGTTTTATTTTTAGAGCCAATTTGAGACAATCAACAAAATCAATTTTAATAAATTAATTCGCTTTATTTCACTTTATTGCAGGTAAATATAAATGACAGTGTGTAAAACTGTAAATCATATCACTTGCATATTGTTTGTATATTTTGTATCCTTTTTTGTACTGAACTGTGCTCCTATGAGGAAGTGTGTGAACATTCCATATGATTTTATAGACTGAAAGTGTTCTTCTTTTTTTTCTTCTTGGTCTTTGCCTGCATCATGAGGCTCTAGTGTGTATGTGTGTATGTGTATAAGAGAGAGTACCGAGGACACTAATAAGAAATTTACCTTCACTTAGACGACCATTCGCATTTCGAGGACGTCCGCGGTTAAAAAAAACTCTGTAAATTGTTTGGAATTTGATGCCTTTTCATATAGGGGAATGTGTATGTAGGTGCTCTATTAGCATGCAAAAAGTAGGTCCTCGGTTATGCAGTAAATTTCCAGATCGTCCTCGGGGCGTTATATTTATACAAATGTGTGTGTCCTCGAACATGTAGTAATACTGATGTTTATTAT